ACATGAAAAAAATAATGTGAATGAATGCAAGAGCAGGCTATGGAATTATGAAAACAAAATGGAAATGTCAAATAAAAACGGGAGCTGTGATAAGAAAGTATAACAACTCATTTGGCCCCATTCAAAGTGCGTAAAAGTGGCTATTCAATTAGGTTTAAAGTCAATAATATACAGCTATACTTTATTTTACCAATCGTCTTAAAAATACGATGCATCAGAATTTACATCTTATCTCCAGTTTCACATTTTCAATAGAAGAAAAACTGGCTTCACTGAATTCATTATCTTTGCCTTGGCCTTTACTGTGTTCAATCACACATGTCCAAATGAGCTGATTTTAATTTTCCACGAGAACCGAGAGGGCAAATGGAAATTTCGGTGGGAAGCGTGATTTAAATAGTCTGAGCAGAGAAACACTTACCTCTTCACGTAACTTTATCACCTGCATCGGGAAAGCAGAAAGAAGAGAAAGATATAGAGAGTGAAGGGGAGATTAAAAAAAAAGCAGGAGATAGCAGGAGCGTGGACGGGTAAAGAATGAACCTTGCCAACGTATCCGCTGCATGTTTAGCATTTCGGAAATCACAAGACAGGCATTAAACGGCTAAACGTGCAGCTTGGGTTTGGTGTGTTTTTGAACAAACAAAGATCAAGTCCTGGTACTGTCACATTAAAAGCCGTGCGGGAATGGATCGCTCTCCTCGTGGCATCAGCTAGCATTATCAAGGACGTCACATCACTTGGCTAATGCGGCAAAGACAAAACATGGCACACGATTACAACAAGTATTTTCGTAGATATGGCTGCAAACACGGGTCCTGAGATAAAGTTATTTCACTCGTTAGTAAGCAGCGGATTCATTCAGGGTTGCATCTCTCTCCCTCTCCACTAAAAAGGTGCATTATGTATATGTGCGAGACCAGTGTACACATAGATACATGCGCCGAAGCTTATTATTGGGACAGGCACAGAACATGAAAAATACATCTCAGCGCGGCGATGCATGTTTGATGAAAGAGAATAGAAAATAAAAAAAATAAATGGTGTTATTTTGAGTCCTCGAACTGGAAAAGCGTGCATTTCTGATAATGAAGCTGCCAGTTACAGAGCAGCATAATCCCATTGGCTATTAATTATGACTACAACGATTAGAAAGGTTATTTCAGTGGCCTCCTCTAAAGTGAGGGCTGGGGACGAGGGAGGACAATGAGAGGCAATACATTTGACAGGAAAAGGAAGGACGTCAACATATTAACCTCTGGAAGACAATACTTTACTTGGCTCTAAGATACAATAACAGGCACATGTCCCAATTACACAGGCGATTTATTCTGTGTGCGAAGTAATAAATACTGCAACAACATATGGCCTGTCTGCGGCACGATAAGAAGCAGCAGCAACATTACACAAGTAAGCTTAATGTATTTGATTATGCAACAGTCCAGTTCAATGATATTCAGTATATCTGTAACTAGATTATTATTTTATGACCAAATCTAACACTTCTTTTTGATTTAATTACAATATCATTTTTTATGATGTATTGTTCAGGCTTTGGCCATGCATTTTTAATCACCTTGTGTGTGTGGCACTGTTTCCTGAAAATGTGAGACAAGCATTAACTCAGTTTTTCAAAAGCCGTTCTGGTCAGCTGAGCATAAAACTAAATATTATACTTGCACTCACAAAAATAAATGTAACATGTGATTATGTTTTTACTTGCTTTAGATGACTTTAAGTGTCTTTTTCCATTTTTATTCCCCATGTGAAGCGTCTTTGAGTGTCCAAAAAGCACTATACGCATTATTATTATTATTATTATCATTAAATAAATGTGCCTTATCAAACCCTGCCACTTAGTAAACATAGTTAGCAAACATGCTATTGATACAAAAATACATGACCTTGACCTTGATCAAAAGTAATGATATATCTTGGCTGATGTCTGTCTAATAATGTAGTTTTAGCGTAGTTTTTGAAGATTATAAGTCACTGAACCACATCCCCATTTGCTTACACTATCAACACCACATCTCCTCTAAATATATAAATAATATCTCCCTGTATAGTGCACAGACCCAAACAAATATTGTGCATGTTTATTTAAAGAGCTCTTACCCTTGAAAATGTTGGCACTAACGAGACGAGAACTCTTTACCAACTTAAGCAACAACTCCCCACTACGGCTGTTATAATGAAGGGGCCAAAGTTTAAAGCGGCGCTGCAGAGGACGTGATTACGAAGGGCTGGAGGAGACTGGGGATCCCAACGCCGCATCAGTCAATGGTCACCAAACAAAACGTGTTGGTCCCCATTTGTGCTGCCTGAGTGATTGAGAGCGGATTTGTTAAAACTATATGACAGGCAGTCCGGCTCACTTTTTCTCTGGCATCTGTTCTCTTGTTTGTCCACTTCAGGCTGCCGTACCTCGGAGATGCACAAATGAGGATAAGCTAAATGTTATAATTACTCAGGTTTGGCCCGAGTGCGCTTGTCTGATGCCAGTATTCAGAATTGCACGGCTGCATTTTTTTCCCCCTGTTATGATAATCAGCAGTTTTCCCCCCACAAACAAAAGATTTTTTTTTTTTTTATCCAATACGGAATTCGATACAAGTGGTAATCTGCTGTCTTTGTAGGCTGCGAAATCTGGTCGGTGCTGGCTCAAACCGGCGCAATCTCTTGTGGCCAAGCCTTCTGCTGTGACTGAAATCGAAACTATTCCGTATACTGTTTGTGTGTTGTTAAAAAAAAAATTGTACGTGCATTTGCTGCTTTGTGTGCGTGCTTGTGCGTGTGTTGCATGCCGAGGAAACAGAAAGGGGGGGGGGAAAAATGTGCAACGGTAGCCTAGCACATTATAAAAAAAAGTGATAGTGCCAATTCAGTCTCTGTCCGCATACAGATAACGAAGAAATGCCCGACTCTATTAAATCGTCCTTTAGCCATTATCGCGGGGCCAACACGGCATTTTCAGAACTTATGAGGCTACCCTATTTACTTAGCTCCAAATCCTTGCCGTGTAACCAGCAGATTTGTGACTGGTAATGATCGGCGCGGCCAGGCCTATATGAAATGATCCTGACCCCTTTCAGATCGGCAGGAATTAAATTGACCGATTGCCCCGCGGCCCCCTCTGCCTGCGCCTCTCCCCACTCCTATCACCGCCGCGGTCTCGTGAGATAAAAATAAAATAAAAAGTGAAGTTGCAAGTGCTCCACTCACAGCAAGACGGCAAAGAGTATTATCTGCACAAGATGGGAAATTATTACAGGCAAAAATGAAGGTACCGCGGAGAAAAAAAGACGTTTGGCATCAGAAGTGGACCAATAAATGACATTATTTTAATTTAGTGCTTTGGAATATATGCATAAAAATATTATACTATTAGAAAAAAAATCAAAATAATTCAGTATAATTTCGAAATATTTTCTTGGACAAAAAATTATTTAGAAAATATCAACACAACTTAACAATTTATAATTAAATATTGTCTTAATTGTAGTCATCGTTTAAAGATTCATTCATAGATTTAAAAAATGCATTGTTCTTGTGTATTTCAATGCTTAATTCCTTATTCAATTATAACAGGAATTATTTGTATTGTTAAAACATATTTAGGTATAATTATAATATAAAATGGTATTCGTTTAGAAATAAAACAAATATTTTTTTAAACAAAGTAATTATATTTGTGGTGGAAATGGACCTAAATCAAATGTAATTATGTTCTTGATTTTAAATGCAAAAAAAACAAAACACATTTAATACTAAAATACAAAATAAAAAAAACAACTGTTTGATAACATTCTCTTTGAACAATAACTTTAGAAGATGAAAATATTCTATGTGTTTCTGTAAAAATATGTCATTAATATTTAATGAAAGTGCAGTATTTAAGCCGAGCTCCTTCTGCAGATGTTTGATGGAAGGCGCCGCGGCCCTGACGTCTGACAGACCATCTCTCTCCGAGTCACAGTCACAGTCACTTTTGTGTCCCACTAATTTGCGGAGAATATGCAAATCAATTACACATCTTTGGCTCGCGATACATATGTTTCCAAGATGCACGGTTCAGGGGTCAGCATTGAAATGGTAATGTTTTAAAAAAGGGAAAAAAACTGACAACTTTATTTAGCACGGAGGGGTCCAAATGTGTTCAGATGCACCTCAGAGTATTGCCTTTCATATATTTAAAAATAAAATAGCAATTATTTTACTTATGTAGACTTTGAAAAGATCTGCCGTTGGACCTCAACAGCTGACGGGCCGTTATAAGACAATACATGAATTACATTACTTTTTTGTTTTTTTGTTTTTTGTAAATAAAAAGACTGTAAATTCAAACCAATATGTATTTTTCTGGTTTCTTTGAAAATATGGATGAGGTCAAAAAAAAAAAAAATACTGTAATCAAAAATGCTTGAAATATATATCAATTTATTTATATATATACACGTGATATAAAAAAATGTGTGTGTGCGTGTGTGTGTCTATGTGTGTCTGTGTGTGTGCGTGTGTGCGTGGTGTGTGATCCAATTACAATCCACAATATTTTGGAGCAGTCATTGTCACTCACCATTAAAACACGGCTTATTCATTTTGAGTGGCTGCATTGTGCCGTATGCCACCCTTGGAGTCTAAAGAAAACTGTCCACACCAGATTTAGCCCTGTGCCTGTGTTGCTCGGGCCGGGACCATGGGATCAGAGCGGAGTCAGGGTTAGCCCGCTTTGGCCCGACTGCGTCATTGTAAAGGCCTTGTGTGTGTGTGCCTCAAAATCTCACAATGTGTTTTTTTTTTTTGGAATAAAAAAGCCGCTGTCTTGAGCTTTGCATTAAACAGTGTTGCTTCCGCCTGACTTGATGACAATGCGGCAGGTTTTGGTCCTTTTTTTTTTGGATGGCGGCTATGAGCGTGGGGGTGTTTTTGTGTGGCGTTGGAGATGTGGGGGTCTCGGTCAGCCACCCACATTGGCTTTCCTTGATTAGCAGTCTTACCTGATGCTCTGAGGATCCAGCGTCATCCCCCAGGAGCTCGTTGCGCACTTCGTCACTATAGGCGATACGTGACCTTTTCTGCAAGGGGGGACCGAAAGAAAGGAAGAGCAGAAAAGAGAGGAAAAAAAAAATAAGTGGGAGAATATGGCTTTTCATACTATAGTGTTGACACAAAAAAACACAGCAGACATTTCTTAAGCACGGGAGCCCCCTAATGGAACTAGGTGACAAACTTGGAAGTCGCACACTGCTCTTGCTAGTGCAGGTTTTACAAGTCACACAATATACTTCGACTCGTTTGGGGCACCTGGCTTTGCTATCGGAGCGAGGTGATCCACAGACTAGTGCAGTTGTGCTGGGGAAGTGCAGAAGTGGCAACCCTCCTGGCCCACTTAAACAAATACAAGTGGAGGGATGAAACGGTTGATCCTTGCGGAGGAAGCATTGGGGACAGGGGCAAGCAGGAGAAGTGGAAGGGAGAGCGCATAGGAGAGGAGATGTATTATGAGGAAGTATCACTTGTCAGGGCTAAATCTTTTCTAGGGGGCCTGTCACTAGCTGTCACCCTAGTGCAGTGGCAGCCAGTGTGTGATAACGCCGATGCTAGGGACTCAAGACAGGGAATTATTCATCAACCATTGGCGGTCCATCGGATTTGGGGTTGTCTTGCGCGCACACATACACACACATGCACTCAAATAACAGGGAATGCCATGTCCAAAAAGACTTCCAAGACTTTGCCACCTTCGATTGTTGCAGGGTTGCATGGAACTGTACTCCTTGTTTACAGATGCCCTGGTCCCATAGAAAAACAGCCTCTTGGCAAACCCTCTCAACTAAAGCACACATCACCGCAAGCACAAAAAAGTGTTTACTAAGCTATGCTACACTTTCACTCCCTTGCTTGACGGGGGTTTTCGAGGTGGGCTAAAATCAAAGGCCTACAACTACCTACCGGCACAGCAATGAAAATATCATTTCTCACAACAGGAATTTTCTATATTTATTTAGTCCTCCTCTCGAAATAATAAAGTGCCAGCTTTGCCAATTACCTGCTGGGTTTTTCCTCAAGTACTATCTTTCTACTATCAGCAGAAGTCTGAAGTTATTACTTGATGCAGAGACAGAAAGGGAGACACCTAAATAAAACCCAGATTGAAATACAGCAGAGCCAATTGCAGGCAAGTTTTTTTTATTTGTATGAGCTGGTGATTTGAAGCAGTGAGCGGAAAGAGATGGCTGATGTGATGTGGGTGTTGTGGCAAAAGGAGAAGATCTCTTGTGTAATTATAGAGGACAGAGAGAAGCTGATTGACCCGGCCACAAAACCACATTAGATAAAGACTGGGCAAAACAATAGTGGGCCGCGGGGACTGGAGTGGTCGCACACACACGCTGGGGAACTGAGGAAATAAGGAACAAACGCCGCTGTGATTAAGCACGTACTGTGACCATTTCAAAACACAAAACATGCAGTCAGTGGCCAAGTGTGTTTATGAAATGTGCTCTATAAATAAAGTGGGTTGGGTTGGAAGAAGAATACCATTTATGTGTTTAATGTATACATTTATTTTTATACAATCTTATGTTAGCATATTTCATGTTAAAAAATGTATGTATTTCAATAAATATTTAACTACATTCACACCACAGCTGCTTTTAACTTCAAAGTCAGGATTTACACGATTTAATATTTTCTTAATTGATTTAATGCTTTTTAAATTTCAATTTTGAATGAATAATAAAACCAACACAACAAGATTATTAATATCTGATATATAATAATTATATATTTTAAATGCTTTAGTCAGATCATCTCATAACAAACATGCCTTATTCTTTTAAAATTATAACTTAACAAGCATTTTGCCCTAAACGTTGGTATTTTTATTACTTCCTTTCCTGTTGTCGCTGCGAAACACCCACAGATCTGTTAAGTGAGTTTCATCCTAAAGACTGAGGTGCGACGAGGAAGCGTCAGTGGCAGTAATTGAGACGAGGAGCAGAGTGACGGTTGAACGTTATGTGACTTTAAACTGTTTTCTTCAGCTCGGGATTTGTTCTAAATAGCTGTTTGTTGCAGATGCACTTCCTGTTTTAAGGGAATACAGAAGTAGGAGTTGTTGAAACAAAGTGCTGTTGTACATACTGTAACTCCCACTGGAAAACAAGAGCTTTGGTAATGATTAGTGCCTTCCCTCTTGATGTGCCACACAGCAGCTTATTGACTGATGACAAAGTGACAGGTTTGGATCATAAAGTTGAGCATAGAACAAGAGTATTGAGGTCAGAAGTGCAGGGCTGTTCCTACTGTAATCCTACACATGATTTAAGATCTATGAAAGAAAGTCTGTCATTCTATAGCCGCAATACAAGAGGATCTTAAAACTAACTCTACTAATCAGCCCCTAATCTAAAAACGAAGGAGAACTTCCAAAGATACCTTATGCTCACAAAGAAAAAGTCTTTTTTTAATCCTTTTGAGGTCTGTCTTTTGTCAGGGTTTTAATCTTGGGTGAGAATTTGCTTCTATTCCCGGAAGCTCACAAGAAAAGTACAAAGATACATCTTAACTTTATGCAAAGTGGCCTCTCTCCTTTTAAAAGTCGGAGCGTCCCGTCAAATGCGTCAAGAGGTGCGGCCGTCCTGTCACAAACACACGTTTTTGCCTCTGCTGACATGGAGCGCCGAGAAGACTCACAAGAAAAGGCATCAAAATGTAATTACATATGCATGCATAACAATTCATATCAGATATGCTAATAGGCTCAGCATAATCCTCCCAGTAGAAAATGATATTTATTTAATTATAAGAAATATATGGATGTTTTTAGAGAAAGTCTTTTAAGTGCAAGGGCTTCTGGGAATAATGTCCAAATAACCTCCCCACTGACAAATCAAATATTAGTTCAGAAGCTTTTGTCAATTCCCATCGTATAGTAAGATCTACAAAAATGTCCATTTCTAATAATTACAACTGTATCTGCATTTCAGTGCCATTACTTTCCCCTCCTCGCTTTTTGCCCGGTGCGACGAGTGACACGAAGGACGAATAATTGTGGCGCCTGGAAAGCTGAAAAATGTAAACAGTTCATTAGATGGGGAATAAAAGGCGTAAAAATACCCAGGGGCAGAGTGTAATGAGGGCCCTGAAGTCTCCTCTTCCCCAGCGCTGCCTTGTTCCTCCGGAGCACGCCACTGGAGGCAGAGCACCAGCAGTAATTAAGAATGTGCCTTTACAATGCTGCCTTTTACTGCCAGTGGGAGAAGAGCCAGTATGTGCAAGTATAGACCTAATAACACTCATGTCCAAACATTGTTTTTATACGGGCCTGTGCAATACGTACGCAAGTGCTGTGTGTAAACAACTCATCTATTTTTACTTTGGCAAAATCGGCTCTTGGCACCTCCTCACGCTGATACATGTCATACTGTACTCTCCAGGAAAATAATTCATTTACTGAGAAAGTTAGGGTTTTTTTTCAGGCCAGGTGTAGAATACTTAATTACAATATTGATTTGTTCCAGAAGACACAGGAATGAGCAAAGTATCGGGTTCAACTTGTTATACACAAGGGAAAAATACGAAACAAAAAGGCAACTTGAGAAACGTCTTCAACAATCGTCTTCATCAATACATTTTATTCAGAGGTTAACTCTTTCTTGCCTTCATCTTCCTGCTGTGATTTTCTCCTGGTGTGGAGAGGACCCTACGCCCCTTCTTTACCTCACTCTTGTGCGGCAGAGGTGGACCAGAGCAGCACAGCGTTAAAAAGGAAGTCAAGACCTTTAAGCACCTGCAAGTATCACAACAGTGTCCTCAATAATGCATCTTGCCTTGGCAGGGGTCTTCACTCACTATTGTTCCAACAAATTGTGAGAAGTGTTCAATTAATCCTCACTTTTTTCTGCTTGATATCAGGGGAAGAACAAACAAAGCTCTCCACATGTCACAAAAGGGTGTCATATGAGTGTTTTGGTGTCATATATCCAGAGCGACTTGCTGTATCTACAACATTCGAGGGAGGATTCCTTCAGAGGACATGAGCGTGCGCTAACCCTGTGTGTGTTCTGTCTCCCTAATAGAAGAGCAGCAGCAGCCTTCGATAACAGCATGGGGCCTCTCATTAGCTCACAGGTTAGGGCTTTGGTGGCTCACACACACACACATATATATGAACAAGATGCATTGTATTGTGTTTTATGTAGTGTCAGAAAATAGAACCAGAGGGATCGAAGCGGTTATGAAGAACATAAAAGGTAAGTGATCACCAGGGCAGGGTAATGAAGGGAGCCTACACCACACAAGTGCACCAGGCAGGAAGCTTCAAAACAATCAGAATGGACAGAGGAGCTGACATAAGAGCAGGCAACTTTTCAAGATTTGATCTGTGTTTGAGTATCTAGTATAGTGAAGGGCTTGGATTGACTATTTACCTGTCAGAGTGATGTACAGCAAACAGACCGGTCATAAGCAAAACAAAATGGAGAGGGGCCTAGACACTGAGACAAGAGGAGAGGAAAACTAAACAGGAGCCTGTTGAACAAGGCCCTGTTTGAAGCTGCAGGTTCACATCTCTATGGTTGTTTCTTTAAGGCATGAGGAACCATTAAACCTCATATTAAAATATGAAGGCTCTTGTAATGAAAAAATCAAAGGCCATGTCTCCCTTCTATCTCTGTGTTCCTCTGCTGACAGTGGTGAAGCTCCAGGCCTTGGTGCAGGAGGGGACAGAGGAGGAACCACAGTAAAGGCGGCAGTCGAGGGGCCGTGGTGCAGACAGAGCTGGGTCCAGGAGTAAATCAATGGAGCCCAGCCGACAGGGAGGCAGGCAGCCAGGGCCCATCACAACGCAGGCTCCCGGCGTGCAGTGGGGAATAAAGTGGGCCTCCTTAGGTCAGCACCAGAGAAAAAGGTGAGATTAGAGGGAAGTGGAGGAGGATTTTTCCCGATTGAAGGTGGGAGGGGTGAGGAGCTGTACGGTGCGGGATACCTGGTAAGCCAGGGACCAGGCGGCCCATTAGCCTGTGGCTACCTACATATGGTTCAGTGAACCCTCTGCTGAGAAGAGCTCCTGTGCTATCTGTCTAGCATCTCTGTTTAAAGAAAGAAATAGCTTCACTCATAACCCTTTCTGAGCTTTTAAAGAGCTACACTTCTGACCTGCATTTATGATTCATGTGTGTTTGATGTCTATTCTTGGAGTGTTATCTAAAATTGAAAAGTGTAATAAAAATCCTAGACACAAAAGGCAGAGGAACCGGGCCTGCTGCGAGCATGAGCACGTCCGTCAGCGGACACGCTCAGAGCACAATCTTCAGTGTGTCGCCTTTTCTTCTAATGCCACTATTGTTGCACCTGAATACTGGTGAATTAGCATAAGAATGCAGCCGCACACACAGGGACTTAGGCAGATCATTATCTCTATATATTTATGTATACTTTGTTATTTCAGTGGCCTGGACATATTCACATGCTGATGAGGCCAGATAGGCCGTCATCCAGAAGCCTTTCCAACATGCGCTCTCCTGAACTGCCCACTGCACAAGCTTTATATGTACTTCCCAGGTTTGTGCTGGAATCCAGTTTGTTTAGAGACAATGTGAACTGCCCAGCTAAGGGCCATAAAGCGTTTACATTTCTTAAGATAAGATTTAAAAAAGGCAATAAAAGGGGTATTTAAACAGTGCATTTTCTCTTTCACAACAGCACTTAAAGCACTAAATATGTTGTGTGAAACTGACTTCCAAACAAAAAGCACAAAGCAGGGATTGTAGTTTCCAAGGCAGAACAAACAAGAGCTCTATGGCAATGAGAGGAAGAAAACTAAAGACGTTCGTCTCACTGCAGGAGTAGGCTGATGCTCTAATGGTGGCCAACCTCTGGGATAATTGAAAAAAAGCCTAATTCATCTTCTACAATGTAATTCTGATCAAGGCCACAGCCAGAATACTCTGCAGGCTTCAAAAACACCAGAGAAAAGGCAAAATTGTCAGACGCTGAGAGCAAAACACACTTTGCCTTTTTGTGCTGGGTGGCTCATTACGAACACTTAGGACGAGAGCAAGGAAGACTGTTTAATTGTTTGAAGGGTGTGAGCATTGGGGTTAAAGCACGAGCAAACAAGGAAACGAGCAAGAGGGCCATTGGTTAAGGATGCGACGAAGTAGACTTCTTCCTCTCTGCTGCTGCCTTCTTTTACTTATTAAACCCAGGGAAAAACACAGAGCCAATGATTCATAATATATTTCATAAATACTTCATGAATCCTGCGCCATACTTAAGCCAGACGGGTAAAAAAGAAAAACATTGTCACCTATTCTAGTAGCGGCTTGTCAGCACATCACTGGGGAGTGGGTGTCACATGTCACTTCTGGTTTACCCCAATGTGTGGGACAGGCTGCAGACTGGAGGTAGGACAGGATGGGGAACACAAGAAGTGAGTAGACACAGAGAGGAGGGGGGTTTATCATATCATTGCCCCGTGTCTTTTAGATTTTTTCTCCTTATTATGTTTGGCCTGCGCTGGCTCCAGTCACTCAATCACACACGCCCCGAGGACAGTCAGGCCTGGGAGGGCGCGTCTGAAAGCTATACTGATTGCTGTCAGTGTGCGCGCGGCGGGCCACTTCCATCGCAGGGCTGTGTGGGATGGGGGCAGAGGCTGAGGAAGGAGGGGGGGGGTGGAGATAAGCGGCGAAGGAAGCGATGAGGACGGATAACGCGGACGGAATTTGCACACTGCCAAAAACAAAACCAGCGCTCCGGGCGTAATGCAGATGGGGTTGGTGTTCAGATCCGCGTACAAATTGCAGCCCGTGGACTTGTCCAACGCCGTCGAACACTAACTTGTCGACAGCGTTAGTAGAAACGATTAGATTAGCGCTGCGTAGAGATGTGACGATAGGAAAGTCCACGATTAGAGTCATGCAGAAAGTCTCGCAGGATGACTGTAAAGAAGTTCATATTTGTCATGCTTAGTGAAAACAAGATGGGTCCATACCGTAAATAGCACGTATTTTTATGTTCTTCACAATTGTTCTGATAATTAGCTCAAATCAGACCAAATAAGAGCAAAGTAGTTGCAAACAATGAATAAAAAGGCATACATGGACATCAGACTTTGGCATCTCAAGTATTGAAATTTTTTCTGGCATGATGCAACTAAAATTATAGACAAATAAGCTTTAGGTCAATTATTCGTAACATTTCATTATTTCTGATGATGATGAATTATTCAATTACAAAGTCAGAAGTTTAATCAGAAATAAAATAAATGGCGTCTTTTTACAGTGTTTGCAAACTTCTGCTTTCTACTGTGCACATGAGACAACATAAATGAAAGATCCAAAATAAATACAACTCTACTGTAGCTTCTAGATGTCGAGAAAGTATCTTGACCTTTTATACTCTCCTAATGACATTGTCTTCATGTAAATTATTTTGCAAAGTATGCCCAAAAATCTTAATCCACCAATTAATCTCAAAATGTGGAGGCAATGACAGAGAAAGACGAATGGAATCCTCAAAGTCCTGACAGAGGATGTACAGCACTCCACAGCTTCGAAATGGGAGATCTGTTTGTTTACATCTCAGCTCAGAAATATAAGGGGAAATTCTTGTCAAATCAACCATCCTTTCATGACTAGTAAAGAGTGATTAGACTTGGGCTGTGTTGCTGGCTTGTTCAGCAGCGAGCAATGAAAGGAGAAAATTGGTCTGTAAAATATGTACGAACAAAGCCAACGGAACCTAAGGCGATTTCGAGTGTCCGACACATGATTTACTACAGTTTTTATGTTGATGTAGTAAGAAGGATAAGGGTCACAACGACGTGTATGAGGATTACAAAAAGAGTCTGAGTATTTGAATAAAAACATTTTAAGTTTGAGTGACTTTATGGACTTTTGAAGTTAAATGTTGGGAAGTCCTTGTAACCTTGAATGCAGGTCACAGACTGCTAATTACACTAATGTTCATTCTTGGAACTTAAAACATGGAATCACAAAAGGTCCTTATCGCTTTGGAGGACTTTGCAAATCATAAGCCATAGTTTATAAATGATCATTACTGCAGTTAAATGAATATGATAACACCACCTTGACCTCTTGGTGTGAATTTCTAAATTAAATGAGTTTAATTTAACGAGAAATAATCTCATTAGTCTCCCAAAATTTCCAGGATGAATACCTTACATCTCGTATCCAGAAGGTCGCTAAACCCTTCTGATACCAATACACCATTTTTGGTTCATGCACTCAATGGATCTCAGCAAATAAACTGTACAATATTCAAGGTTGTCTTTAGAAACCATGTAATTACCTCTTTTAGGACTGAAGAGTTTAAGAAAAGCCAGACTTCCACTTGAACATGACCAGATCCACAACAATGACAGGGAGGAATAAGCATGTCTTTTAGAATTTGCTTTGTGATTGAATATAAAACACAAATAAGATCATTTTATTGGCTCAAGTGTACATAATTGCTTTGCATAACAGATATATTTGACACAAAAGGCAAGTATGACATGCACATTGTACCTAGGACCAATTTAAGTGACTTATTTATAAAAAATAAAGTTTTCTAATATGCTCTGTAAATGCAAACACTTATTCTGAACTGCCCAGAACTATACAAAAAGCAGATATTATATATCATGACCAAATGGGAAGGCAGATAAAGCAGCACAGGACATTTAACCTGCACTGTTGAAGATACATATAACATTGAAAAGGGTCAAATATACTGTAACAATCTTGTTTTTTTATGAACAAGCCACTGATGGAGAAATTGTCCTTCACAGAAGTGACAAATATTAGACCAATATCGCCATCTGCTGGAGAAATAAGGCAACATCAAGAAATTCTGATCATCTGCAATCTGTGACCATTCATAGTAAAGTGCCACTTTTTTCTCCTTTTTACGAACACATACATTTTAAAATACTCAAAATAAATTACGTCACTTAATACTTTTGGCTCCAAATACACAATAAAGTTTCATATATTAATGGAGACAAGAGGGGAAAGGCTTTGATATTCAATATTCAAAATGCAGAGAATTGAGAGAAATCTTCATTTCTGGGACAAAAATACTTTGTGACACTTTATAGACGGCACTTTGTCACGCCTCACGTGATATCCAGCAGAGCAGACAGTTGCCGTGCTCGAGCCACATCCAGCCAAACGTATTGTGTTTTGTAAGACACAACAGACGCTGTGGCCCCCCACCTTCCCCACTGGGACACACCGAACCAGGCCTTTTGAAGACAGCGCCTCTGTTTACCCGATAGATTTCATTAGATTAAGTCTGCGTTAGACAACTTCTTTTCCTGATCAAAGCAGATGCTAAGAGCTACGCCGTTCTGCTGCCACCACCTTGAAGGCACTGCCATCAAATCAGATTTTCATTGTCCTGGTTAATTTCTGTCTTCACTTCATCCAATCCCACTGTTGTCCCATTTACATGCTTATTTGTCACAGGCCGCTTACCTTTAAGATCCCCGCTATCCGGCTGTCACTAACCAACTTTAACAGGATTTTTGTTTTAAATGTACCATATAATCCCAAAGCACAAATACAAAACATGTTGCAAATATACAGCATCTTTCAGTGACGCAAAAACAAGTTTCTATATATTATCATTTTTCCTCCCTTAAAATATTTTACAATTTGATTTAGAAAGCAAAATTAACATATTCTGGTAGTATTGTGTTGTATGTTCATAAGTTAGACAATATTCACTTGATCTGAGACTTATTATTAATCTAAAAAAGTGTGTTAACCGTACTTTCATCACTATAGTGTAAACAGTTTGTATTGCCTCGGACAGTGTGTGTAAAGTGCAAGAATGAGGTGTGCAGCTGGCACACTGGTGGTGCAGACTTCAAACTGAGGGTGAAGAAAGAGGGTTAAGGTTGGAGACGCCCATGGGAGGCCGGTGGGGGGTACGGAGGCTGAGAGGGGGGTGGTACTGAGGGAGTAGAGGAAGATCCTTGATATCCGCCGAAAGCACAACAAAGCCCGGGCCTTTTACATTAAAAAGAAAGGCGATTTCGTTCAGAGTGTCATGTCCTCCATGGGCCAGCGGGAGGCGAGAGGCTAAAGCGTTTGGCACATCTGAGGCACATCTGAGGCACATCTGAGGCACATCTGAGGGGCTGCAGTCCTGGCCTTCTGAACACTTGCATCAGATTTACGGCAGAGTGGTTAAACTCCATGTTCCAGTGTCAGGTGGTTGCTGAGGGTTTAAATGCAACTGTGATCTGACCAGGCCACACACCCAGAGCACAGGCAGAGAGGGCAACACCAGAGAGAGACCACAGCACTTCTTACAGAACACTGCTACACATTCACACTGGGAGAACACGCTCAGAAACTCGTGACATAGCATATGCGTGTGATAAAATGCACTTCCATGAGTAATAGACCCTCGTATAGAGAAGCTTCATTCTCACCATCAGGGGCGACTGATGAGGCGTCAGTGCATTTATGAAACAAAGACGATCTTCCTTGGTGAAGATTTATGTGAGCAGTAGCCTTTTGGCAACCAGGCCATCAAGCAAATCAAGATAATTACCCAAAAATATATATATATATTAGTAAACTGTAGGAGTAAGTAAGTTGTAATCTTTATTTTAATAGCGCATTTTTACAGACCAAAGTCACCCAAAGCGTTTTACAATGTTCAGACTCAGAGCTAAGATAGTGCTTCATTCTCTCCACACGGTGATGACGGATGCGAGACGCCGAACACACTGGTATTGTGCATGTTTTTAGTGGTTGGGGGAAACCGGAGCACCCGGAGGAAACCGGAGCACCCGGAGGAAACGCAAACTCCACTCAGAAAGGCCCTGTTCCAACCGGGATTCAAACCCAGGACCTTCTTGCTGAGATGAGAGAGTGCTATCTACTCAGCCACTGTGGTGCCTGGGTATATCTTTGACAGTCAGTGAGAATAATAGAATGAGAAAACAAATAGAAAGTATTTAATTGTAAACTGATACAATCAGGGGTGAGACGGTCTGTTTTGACACTAACTAAAGGGGACTGATGCAGTTTTCTATACTAGTCCTTTCTTTTACCACGTTGTCTCTTGTGCATACTCAACCTCCTTGAGCTTGGAGTGAATTTAGAAACTACAGTAGTGCCATAACTTTGAGGTGTTCTTGGGTTTCATTAAACTGGCCAGTAGGGGGCGAGTGAGCAGAGGTGGGACAACTCAGTTTTGCTCCCATTGAAAACCATGTAAAGTCTGTTTTGGAGTCAAAGGCTCTCCTCCTGTGCGGTGTACGGTTGTTGTAACAGTCTTAATCAGGGACACTCAATTCTAAGGAAGTACTAACAAATATTTCTCAAAAGAGTCTTGATTTCGGGCATTTTTGGAAAGAAAAACAGAAGAAATTGCTGCATTTCATTGGGGTGGCCTGCAGGGGGCGCTTATCTGGGAAAGCCTTGATCCACCTCGCCTCATTCCAGTGATTTTTTTCAAAGTGTCCTCCTTTATATGAGACCACAGTTGGAACATGAACAAACTCTTGTCTTTCTCTCTATTTGTGCGGTTGCTACAAGCGTACACCGCACAAAAAGATGGTGTTTTGACAGCGCTTCTTCTTCTACTATATCTGCATGTATAAACCGCTTCTTCTTCTACTATATCTCCGTGTATAAACCGCTTCTTCTTCTACTATATCTCCGTGTATAAACCGCTTCTTCTTCTACTATATCTCCGTGTATAAACCGCTTCTTCTTCTTCTACTATATCTGCGTGTATAAACCCGGCCGACTGCACCGCCAGGATACGTCACGTCCTGTCCTACGTTAGTTATTCACGCCACTGCCCTGACGTCATATGAAACCTAAAATAAACAAACATTATCATTCAACTCCGAGTAAATGATCAAAATGTTACAGTGAGAGGAATGCTCTGAGATTTTCTACTTCAATTCTTGCTGTTCTTTCACTCAAGGTCACTCTGGATTTGTGCTTCGGTTGTCAATCCAGTTCTAGAGATTCAAAAATATGAGAGTTAAAAACAAAATAAATGATGTATTGAAGCGAATGCCTCCTTCATGTTCCGTGATTGAAAAGGTGTTGGGAGTCAGCGTGACCCAAAACACTACAATCCTCATTAAGCTTTGATGGAGTCTGGAGATCAAGTGTTAGAATCTAGTTATTTATGAATTACTAAACAAGGCCAAACTCCTCCACAATACAAACAAATACAGAACCAGGTCGATCTCAACAGACAACACAACAGCTCCAGCTCTGTGGGCACACCTCTTATGGGGTAAACATCAGCATCAGCGATTGACCACCGACATCGGAGAGTGCAGAACCACCATTAAAAGCTGGGGCACCTAACTTTTTCATAAATAATACACTTTGTATGTCCCAACAGAAAGAGTCTTGTAAAAGTAAAATTGTATACAACCAACGTTTCTATTTGACAATTTGGGGCTGAAAGCTAATTGGTCGCTCTCTTTAAAATCGATCGGAAAAATTGTGTCTTAAGCTGTGACGGAGGCCACACAAACACAAATGATTCTTCTTGTACTTTGATAATTAGGGACCAGATAATTCCTATAGGGGGCTCCCGTTCACACATATAAAAACATACACAATAGTAAATAGATGTAAATACAAAGAGAATGACCAAAAACAGTGGAAGAATTTAGAACATTGAGAGAACTTGTGAGAATTGGTGCCACTGAAAATGGAGGCCCAAACAAACTTCCATATTTGACTGTTCAGTGATCAATAAATCCAATCTAATTTACACATTTTTTGACAGATAAACTACTGAACAAAATGTGAGATGACATGTTATTGCGGTAGGCACCAATAAAAACACTGGTGTTTATGGGAATCAGTTCATAATGTATAGGTTTGTCAAATGTAAAAATTGTACACTTCTTTTTTAATTATTATTATGTTCAAGATTGAAATTTTATACTTGTTATTCGATGCTAGAGTTTGAGATTGTGTTTTAATTAGTATAGCTATAGTTCACTTATCTTGAGCTGTGTGCTTCTCATTCCTACTGTTCTAGAACTTGTGATGCAACACTGACATTTCCCCACTGTGGGACGAATAAAGGATCTCTTAATCTTATAATTAACAGCATTAACAGTGTTTGTATTTACAATTCTGATCAACGTATTTGATTGAGTTAATGAATATGTGTTTTAAGTTACTCTCATTCAGCACTGGTCTCCTATTGGCTACATCAATGCATCAAAGCTGAAATAAGAGCCTACTTCAAACCCTTTACGGCAGGTGTGTCAAACCGGTTCCAGAAAGGGCCGGTGTGGCTGCAGGTTTTAGTTCCAACTTGAGACTCTACCCATTTCCTCAAATCTTAAGGTGAAAAATGGTCTCACCTGAGGAAATGGGTGGAGTCCGGTGTTCTCCTGGTAAGGTTGGAACTAAAACCTGCAGCCACACCGGCCCTTTGAGGACCGGTTTGACACCCCTGCTTTACGGGGCAGAATTCTTCCACTGTCCATGGTGCTGAATTTGTTGGAAGTAACTGTACTCACAAAGTCTTTTTCCAGTTTTTCCACCTCCTGTTTGTAGCTCTTCAGTCTGCTGTTGTACATGGCTCTGCTCTGGATGGGGATCTCGCGCACCTCCAAGTCCATCTGCTCCAGCTACAATACATTCACAAAAGCGTGAAAATCACATCTGAACAGGGTATTTAATGAACATGTGTGTAACGCTGTCAAACAACACACGCCAAAGATAGAACCAGAGAAACTTCTGTGAGTGAATCCGACTTCCTGTATCCCCAACCACACATCGTATATACTTAAGCTCTGCACATAGGCGCCGCTGTGTCACAATAAATGATGCTGTGTGGTACATTTGATCTGTGGCTAGACAGGTCTCTCTGCAGAAGATTTCCTGAAAATCTAATCATGTTGACAGAACAAGACAACAGCAACAACAATTTGTCTCAGTCAGGTGTTCATTTTCTAAAACAGCTACAAGACTCCCACCTTGAAATAATGGCTTGAAACATGTCATAGGGGTGTCACTTAAAAGCGAATTAGTAGGAAGTAATCAGGGAGAGGAGAACGCCTTGGAAGCGCGTGTCAAGTCGGAAGAACACACAGGTGCTTGTTGTCTAGTGTGAGTGGGGAAAAAAAGGTCCCCTCCTCCTTTTCTTTTCCACAAATTCATTATTTAGGAAATGAAAAATTACTGATCAAAGACGCACCAACTCTCTGACTTCTTCAAGCTGTTTGTCGACATTTAGAACCAGCTGCGTCTTCTCCTCTGCAAAAAAAAAAAAAAAAAAGAGAAGGGAAAAGTCACAACGACATATTGATCAGCCGACAGAGAGAACAGCGCATCATGACAACAGTCTGACTCCACCGCAGCAGAGGAGTCGGAGGAGGGGTGGTGGTAAAAAAACAACACGAGAGGACACATTTGAAGATATATTTACACATTCTGCACATGCGACACGCCAACATTTGAAGTCTGGTAGTTATTGGCGTCGCCGAGGCCTTTGTTGGATGGCGTTGAGGAGCGACAGAGACACCTTGCTGCAGCCTCAAAGGGAGAGGGAGGTGTCGGCGCCGCTCCGTTTGCCGCGAGTGAGAGGCCCGCGTAGAATGACTAACGCGCCGGAGTTTGCCTTAGACCCTGTGGCTGCTCCTCAACATTACCCATTGAAACTCATTAGGACCAGCAGCGCTTCAAAAGAGACACAGATAAGTCGCGGCGGACCCGAGATTACAACAGACAGGGTTATTTCAAGCAGAGGAGTTACAGACTCATTTGCCAGTTGCAGTATATCACCTCGTTGTTGATAAAGTTTCAAGTTCAGAAAAACAAAAAAGGACTTCCTGTAAATAACTATACACATGCAACTGTTATCCTGCAGAGTTCACATCCCACTCGTCATATTCATCTCCAATCAGACAAGCATCAGTTATATACATCTGACCGGATATATTGTCCAGCAGATATAGGCACACTTCCAAAAATTATCTATTTGAACCTAAAATGAGAAGATTCTAATGGAGAATTCACAGCAGTGTATGTAAAAATAAAGTAACCCAACACTGTGGCTGAAGTTAGCAGGAAATTGTTAGTTGGGAATAGTAATATAAATTAAAAAATCCAACATTGGAAATAAAAAACAAAAAATATTTAAACCAAAAGAACATATTTGGTGGTGATCCTCCACTGATGACTGCTGTCGTTGTGTCCTTGGGCAAGACACTTAACCCCACTTTGCCTGAAGACCCAACTGAAAGATCTCAGCTCCTGTGGACTCACCACCTGCAGGAGGATCAGTGAGGGGCTGGTGCTCTGTGGACTGGGTGCAGCTCTGACTGCCACCCCCCCGACCCAGAAATGGATTAAGGGGAAGAAAATTGATGGATGGATGGTTTCATAACAAAACAACCCAAACCTTTTACACATTCAAATGCACAGAGATTGAATCATTAATTTGATTAATTGATTAGTTGATTTTAACCAAAATAAAGCTCAAGTGATGTCTCTGAAAAACTCCATAAATTCATTAATGACATTGAGTTCTTTGATTAACACTTCAAAAACACATTTTCACATATGAAAACGATGCAATGGGGTTTAGGGAATAATTTCATACTAAAAATACTAAACATAAAAGAAAAAACATACAACAATATTTAAAGTGGCACTTTATCTGGTTGTAACTACACAGAGATGACATTAAGTTGATGTTTCATGAATTATCTACAGTTGGAAAAGGTTGGTATAACGAATTTCATTCCATGGACGAGAAGGTGGCATCACCAATATAACTACAAGTACAATCACAGCAGGATCTTCCCGCCTGTGGCACATGTAGCTCCTAAGCACTGATTACTGATCAAACCACCTGCTGGAGTTTAGACAGAAACAGAACAAAGTTTGTGTATTACATATAACTACTTATTTTTAACATGCTTTTCATTTAAACTGAAGATTTTTGTGTGAATATTGTTATTAAAAAATACAAATGTAAAGAGTTCAAATCTACTAAATTGATACACAAAAGTGAAAAGTGTAAATATAAATGTTATACTCATCATGTTCCTTGTCTTTCTAATTAAGAATAACTCAATTAGTTAGATATGACTTATACAAGTGACCTATTATCTGGGGACACATAAAATAAAGATGTCCTAATAAAAATAAAATAAAAGTAAAAATTACATACAATCCCTTTAGTGACAGATCTGTGAAGAGGCAAACCCACACTCACATAGAAAGACCTATAATTGAATAAATGCTTGAAAACTGTTTTCTACTGTGGGGTGATTCAAGGTTCACACGCAAGTACCTATAAACACCTATAAACACAAGTACCTATAAACACATATACACACAAGTACCTATAAACACATATACACACAAGTACCTATAAACACATATACACACAAGTACCTATAAACACATATACACACAAGTACCTATAAACACATATACACACAAGTACCTATAAACACATATACACACAAGTACCTATAAACACCTATAAACACATATACACAAGTACCTATAAAAACATATACACACAAGTACCTATAAACACATATACACACAAGTATATCTATAAACACCTATAAACACATATACACACAAGTACCTATAAACACATATACACACAAGTACCTATAAACACATATACACACAAGTACCTATAAACACATATACACACAAGTACCTATAAACACATATACACACAAGTACCAATAAACACATATACACACAAGTACCTATAAACACATATACACACAAGTACCTATAAACACATATACACACAAGTACCTATAAACACATATACACACAAGTACCTATAAACACATATACACACAAGTACCTATAAACACATATACACACAAGTACCTATAAACACCTATAAACACATATACACACAAGTACCTATAAAAACATATACACACAAGTACCTATAAACACATATACACACAAGTACCTATAAACACCTATAAACACATATACACACAAGTACCTATAAACACATATACACACAAGTACCTATAAACACATATACACACAAGTACCTATAAACACATATACACACAAGTACCTATAAACACATATACACACAAGTACCAATAAACACATATACACACAAGTACCTATAAACACATATACACACAAGTACCTATAAACACATATACACACAAGTACCTATAAACACATATACACACAAGTACCTATAAACACATATACACACAAGTACCTATAAACACATATACACACAAGTACCTATAAACACCTATAAACACATATACACACAAGTACCTATAAACACATATACACACAAGTACCTATAAACACATATACACACAAGTACCTATAAACACCTATAAACACATATACACACAAGTACCTATAAACACATATACATGGGGCAGACAAACACAATAGCAACACTACAATGTTTTTACTTCATAATCACAACATGACATGTAATCTTGCATTAGTTTGGAAACCACATTAGAAAAACCATGCAAGAAACGCATCATTCAATCTGATGAGTTTGGGGAAAGAAGACTGCATTTTATTACATGCAGTTATATGGTTACTTACTGATAATGATAGTGTGAAGTTTAGTGTTCATGTTTTGATTTTTGTTTACATTGTTTAGTTTAATTTAAAGGAAGAGGAGAAAGACCAACATAACAATGGACGCAAATGGAAAGCCGCACGTGCATTTGAAACATTATAGGAGACAGTATCACATTTAACAAGTGGTAAATGACTTGCAGAAGTAAGTTACAGTTGTGTTAGTGATGCATGAAAAACATAAACAGGTCTGTTGAAGGCGAAGACCTGTCAATGTTAGAGAGGCAGAGTATGCATGAACAAGGAACTACCCTATTATCATTGAATTAGTCTCCTCACGTTGTAAGTGACACCTGCCCCGTTAGCTGCCCGCATCAGCTGAGCGGCTAACGCAGGGCTAGCCATTTGTGCTAAACATTGGACTTGGTTTACCTCCACTTAGCTTAGGAATTCTTCCAATCTTGTTTGTTAGATCTGCCGTGAGTGTCCCAAAATCCTGCTCGTAGGTCTCGAAGTCAGAAGACATGTTGACAAAGTAGTTTAAAACAGGTGGCTTTACGAAGGAGTTAGCTCAGGATAAAAACAACACGGCTCGGATGAACAGCTGTCTTCCGTGAGTCACAGTCAAATAGGTTCGACGGGAAACAACATGTAGCGTTTCACTCCCCGAGTCTCCATAAAACGGTTAAACAAGTTAAAATATGTGTTTTATGAAAAAATATATAATGTAAATGCGTTATTATAATTTCTCTTTACGATCTGACAAGGATTGAATTAGACCTGCTGAAATATCAATGTACAGTAATACAGTAATATCGGAGGGAGAAAGGTTCCTACATCCGCTGCTGAAGAAATGCAAGAAAAAATCCGAGAAGGCGGAAAGGTTTGACATTTAAAGTGACAGTTATTTATATTGCCCATGAAAAGAGGCAAACTATACTCTTGTTTTGTTATGAAGGTGGTGTAATCTTAAGCTTTGAATGCGACGCGCTGTAACTTCATTCAGATCAGATAAGATGCTCTGTCAATGCTGTGCAGGGCTAGCAGCTAGCTCAGCTGGATGTGGGCTACTACTAACATCTGAGGATATTTGAGAACAATTGCATCATAGAGTGTGTTTGCACAAAGTCGTGTTTGTTATATTTGTAGATGTTTTACTATTGTTTTGACAGTACACCAAACTGATGCTATTTAGTTCGTCAATTAGCTAGCTTTCTTGTGAACAGCTGCTAATTACTGCTGCTGTAGTTTAAGTGCTATAAAATAATGTTAATGTTATGTTATGGTTGAGTTATTCGTATATAATCTAAATCCATGTGTATTTTTCTCTGTTGTAGATGAAGATGGTCAACATGACAAATTGAGTGTCCCATAAAAAGAGGCAAACAAGAATGCTTGAGTTTGTCAGATTATACAACAATGGGAAAGAAAAATGCCATGGTACTCAAGACTTGTCGGCTTGCTGGATAAGCAGAAGACAAAGAAAACCATGTGCACTGCCTTCACTGACATCCTTTCAAGATAACAGGGAACGAAAGAAAAACATCTAGGGCTACATTGTATGTTTCACGAATACAAAAGTCTCTTTCTGGGTCAAAATGAACATCCTTTCTGCTATTATAACATTTGAGAACATCCACGAGGTTCGGAGACTATGCCACTGGGGACCCATTATAGCTCTATCTGTTATTGCCATATGTTCCACAATGGCCATGCTCGACTCCATTATTTGGTATTGGCCACTGGACACGACAGGCGGCAGCATCAACTTCATCATGCTCATCAACTGGACGGTGCTTATCCTATATAACTACTTCAATGCCATGTTTGTTGGGCCAGGATACATCCCTATTGGTTGGTCCCCAGTAAGTAATAAATCAAAAGTTTATGTTAAATGTATAAACAGTTAAGCTTATGGATTTTTCATGGCAGGAAAATGCACATGAAAGTAAATACCTGCAGTACTGCCGTGTGTGCCAGGGGTTTAAGGCACCAAGAACCCACCATTGCCGCAAGTGCAACAGGTAGATTTGTGTTTTTCATGTTTCTATTTTTCACAAAACTGTAAGAAATGTTTTGTTTATATCTTTACAAGGTGTGTGATGAAGATGGATCACCACTGTCCTTGGATCAATAACTGCTGTGGCCACACAAACCATGCCTACTTCACCAGTTTTCTGCTGTTGGCTCCTCTGGGTTGCTCACATGCTGCCTTCATCTTTATTATGACTATGTACACCCAACTTTATGAGCGAGTATGTCTTCTATACCTTTTCTGGCTCTCTATAGGTTATGATATGCATTTAAATATGTTTTCTTACTATAGATATCTTTTGGCTGGAGCACCGTAAAGATTGATATGAGTGTCGTAAACCAGGTCCGACCCCTCATACCTTTCAGTATACCTGTGTTTGCAGCGACCCTATTTGCCTTAGGCTTGGCTCTGGGCACCACTATAGCTGTTGGTATGCTTTTTGTCATTCAAGTAAGTGTCTTCATAAATAATTTTGATGATTAAAAATGTACCCAGCATTTAGTTGTATTTCATTTGAAAAGATGAAGGTAATCGTTCGAAACAAGACCTCAATAGAATCCTGGATTGAGGAAAAGGTTGGAAAATGCGTGTTCACCTTGATATGCAGTTATTATCCTAATTAATATTAGGACATTCAAATGTACTTTCTTAATTTTAGGCCAAAGAGAGAATACTGCACTACCAAACTGGAGAGGAGTTCATCTTTCCGTATGATCTTGGCACCCGTTGGCTAAACTTTAAGCAAGTTTTTACCTGGACAGGGATGCCCAAGGGTGATGGCATTGTTTGGCCAGTGCATGAGAAGTGTCACCAATACACCTTAACAGTAAGTCTTACTGTTGTTATGTTTTAGTATTCAGTGTTTAGGTTATCTAACATCAACTAACATCCCTTTTACAGATTGAACAATTAAAGCAGAAAGCTGACAAAAGAGTGAGAAGTGTAAGTACATTTATGCATTACCAACACTTACCATGTTTGTCCAGACATTTCATAACTAGGTGTATCGTATCCCAAACACAGCAGGTCCAATACCAGGCAGTGGAGGATTATAATGGGGCTTGCTGTCCCATCAGCAAAGGCCTTCAAACATTTTTTAGGACCCCCTGCACTGAAGAGCCCAGGATCCTACTCAGAAAAGGGGATACCATCCTGGCCACTCGTGGCACAAAGTAAGTATTGCATCAATATATTTTTATTGTAAAGATAATATGAGTTTGATCTAACTGTGGGGAAATTGTTTGAATAGATGGTGGATGTACGGAGACAAAGTTTTGACTGAGGAGCAAATTAAGGGTAAAGCAAGTTAAATGTGATCACTTTAAAACATATATTAAAAATAAAACTTGTTTATTTTTTTGTAGCTGGAGATCGAGTAAGAGGCTGGTTTCCAAGACGATGTGTTGAGAAGTGCCATTATGACACAGCTGCCAGTGATGACACCAGCGAGAAGAAAGTCAATTAAACATTTCAAAAGGCTTTATGAACAAATGGGTTAAATTTAACAAAAGACTAGTTTCGTCATTCCATTTCATTTGTTTTTTTTTTTTTATGAAATAGCTATCATTCCTATTTCTGCAATATTTGCAAATTCATGTCTTGGCTTCTCAATGCCATTCTTTACAACATATTGTTATTTTTAAAGAAAGAAAGAATGAAACTCCGTTGTGTCCTTGGGCAAGACACTTAACCCCACTTTGCCCAAAGCCCCCGCTGAAAGATCAAGGCTATGCTCACACTCAGAGAGCAGCCGTCCTCCTGTGGACTCACCACCTGCAGAGGGTCAGTGAGGGGCTGGTGCTATGAGACTTGGGTGGCATCTCTGACTGCCACCCCCCTGACCCAGAAATGGATTAAAGGGTAGAAAATGGATGGATGGATGGATGGAAAGAATGAAACTGGTCTGATGTGAATGAAACTCCCTTTTCCCACTGTTACAATGCCAGCAAGATTATTCCACAAGTCTTATACGCAACTTAATTATGACAACTCTTTAAATGTACTTAAATTATTCTTTTTCTTTTCTCTCTGCTAAGTATGCAATGCCTCTGCCCAATAAACTCTCGGGTCTTATCATGCAACAATTTCTACAAGATACATGTTTCTTTTATTATTTTTGTAAAAACACCTTTTTGGCCTCTAATTTAACAAGTAAAATTAATTTCAAAAGATCTGTTTACATCTTTGTTTTTTTTTTACATTCTTATTTCATACGAGTTTACAACGTGTTACTCAATGTCATCCATGCGCTCTGAATACAACTACATTTCCCAAGTGTCAAAGCGCAGATTTCAACCAATCAGACGCTGCGCAAAACACCACGTGACCGCTGCCTGTTCCTCCTTCCCAGTGACTGCTGTGGGGCTGAGGATCTGTGGCTTTCCCGAGGACTGGTTCTGTCGTTTCACCTTTGGCTGTCATGCATGTTGAAAGAATGTCATCTTGAGCCTCATAAACTGTAACAGACACTACATTATTTATTTTGGCGTCAAAAACCACGCCGATCGGCACAGGTAAGCTGGAGCTCAGTTAGCAAACAGCTACAGAGTTATTTATTTACCAGAGAATTACTATGGAGGCGTACAGGCCGACGTCAAATCATGTTGTTATGATGTCGATGTGACTTCTAAGAATGTCCAGCTTAAGATACTAAACATTATAAACCAGATTAAGTTAGATTGTGTGTTATCATTAGCTTCTAAAGTGTCTGGAATTGGATAAATCTCTATTATATTGCTCTATAAGAAGGTATGTCTTGATTAGCCTTTCAATCTGTCAGGAATAGTGAGAGAAGAGTCCTCAATGTAAACTATCATGTTCAGACAATGCAGCTCTGTTTTGACATGTCTAACAAGTCTTGACTCTGAACTGAGCTGCTGCACTGTCACAGCACTGTAATAAATGAATAACTGGATCATGAAGTGGTGCTCGCCTCACGTTAACCCCAGTCATCAATCATTCTGCAAAACAAACCAGACATTGGGTTAAAGCATTGAAGTGGAATCTGTGTCCTTTCTGCTCATTTGTGTATCTTGTTGTTTGTATGTTACAGTGTCCTCCAAGGCTCGTATTTCTTGATTGTGGTGATCTCAAACCAGCACGATGTCCATGTTCAGCACTGGCATCCTGGTGCTGACGTCTCCCCTCCACACACTTCCTCTGCGCATCGCCCCAGTCCTCAGCTCGGCCGCTCAGCTCGTCGAACGCACCCTTTACGTCCACCTTCACCCTGGACTCAATTTGGGCAAGGAGGGCCAAGCCAGACCGGTGTACATCCCTCCTGTAGTGGACCTATCCAAACTCATCACACGTCTTTACAACAATGCAGCAGACATATGCGGCCACCTGGATGTGCGAGTTTTGCTTACGAATGTTCGCGCCCAGTCAGCCACCATCCCGAACTGTCCCTTTCCCTCGCCACAAGCTCTGGCACACTCTCCAGATGTGGTACTAACAGACTTTCCTCTGCTGGATACAAGTCAGACGCATCAAGTAACTCAATGTCTACAAAGTTACACAGGGCGCTGCTATGTCTGCAGCCCCTCCATGTCCTCGGTCTTGCTTCACCCACAGATACAACATTTGAACAGAGAAAGTGTGGACCAAAAGGTGCCGGAGGAGAGCGTGGAGCCGATGAGAACGTACAACAATGTGGTTGTAGGTGGGACTTTTGACCGACTACATGGAGCCCACAGAACGCTGCTAAACATATCGTGCTTGTTGGCCAATAGGAGGTTCCTTATTGGTGTCTGTGACCATGCAATGCTAAAAAGTAAGTATCAATTTGTGATAAATCAGCCTCACAGACAGGATCTTTTCACGCACCGTAGCAACCTGGAAGTTTATTCAGTTTTTTTCAGACAGCCAAGTCAGGATATGCATTATTTTGTCAATGTTACGTCACACACCAAAAACATACATGTGTCACATCAAGAGACAAACAAAAGAACATAACACGGATACACAATCTGAGTCGTTGGGACCTACACAAGGCCAGATCTCTTGTTTAGCTAGTCTATTTCCCATAATACCGCATGGTTCATATAAGCTCTTAAATTGAAAATTGACCAGATTTCATTGTTAAAAACATTAGGACAGTGTAAAATGAACTATTCTGAATTTATGATGTACTGTATTTTTGGTCACAATTGCATTTCAAAATATTTTTAAGGAATTCCAAAATCACTGTCATGGCGTCTAAAATACATTTCCAATCATTCATCATTTACAATGTTGCTATAACTGAAATTCTTTGGACCTGCGTGTTAGTGCTAGATTTGGGAAACTTCCTGCTTCCCATTTTTCGTGCACCTTTTGTATTGAAATTGCAACACAATAACTGTAAACAGGAGCACACTGGTTCCCGGCTGCATATTTAAGCCTGTTCTCACCGTCTCGTTATTCTCATTATTGTCAGAGAAAGTGCTGAAGGAGCTGATCGAGCCCTACTCTGTGCGAGTCCAAAAACTGCAGGCGTTTCTTAAGGACGTCAAGCCCTCTCTGGAGGTGCAGATCGTGCCTCTTGATGACCCATTTGGAGTGTCAGTGGTAGACCCTCTGCTGGAGTGCATTGTCGTCAGCGAGGAGACCAGGAGAGGGGGCGAGGCTGTCAACAAGAAACGTGTCGAGAATGTAAGTCAGCAATTTCTTCACACAGAGGTGTTTGTGTCTACTTTTGACTGTGTTGCCACCGTTGCCTACACGTGTTGACAAATCTGACATTTAAAAAAAAACAAAAAAAATACAGTTAGCATTATCATAAATGTCTTGCTCTTGTTCAGGGTCTTCCGGCGCTTGTCCTGCATGAAATCCAGCTGCTGAAAGATGCACACCACTCTGACATTGAAGAGGAGAAAATCAGCTCTTCCAGTTTCCGGACTCGGTTACTGGGGACACTCCTCTCACAACCTAGAGTATGCTGCTGTACAACTTCTCTGCCATAGCCTGTACACTGAAAAGAAAAAAACAATAATACTCAACATGCTTTCAATATTAAACTGGAGTAGATCTCTTTGAAACCACAATCACCCATGTATCAGAATTCATGTTACTCGTTTTTAGCTCTCAAAACCTGTTTCTATCACAGTTTTTTCACATGCATGTATTTTTTATTATTATTTGTTTACTTCTGTTACATCATAAGATCAGCATTTTCACATTTAAAGGCTTATCAGCAGAGATAAGGATGCCATGTTATTGTTTGATACTTAAACAAGACTCTTTTTAATGGGACAAATAAAATGTTAGATACACACTCCAGCTTTAAACTAAATTGTTTCTGGCATCCAATCACCCTCTGTCCTTATCTACTTATCACAATGAAAGACTGGTTAATTTAACTTGATCTGAAGTGAAAAATTACCTTCTAACAACTTTTCCCCATTTCATTCATTCATTTTAGCAGAAATTGTTACATTCATACATTCATACACACATATACATGAGCCATAATTAACAGTTCCACCTTGTATTCATATATTTATAATCATTTTAACGTTATTTAAAAATTGTCAGTTTGAAAAATAACTTGTGAATATGCTTCTCAGTAATTTCTCATACCGACTTTTTTTGGGGGGTTTTGTTTCAGCCTGCACCGGATCTCCCGCTCGCCCCATATGTGATCGGTCTAACGGGGGGCAGTGGCAGTGGAAAGAGCTCCATTGCCAAACGGTTGGAGGCGCTGGGTGCTGTCAAGATCGACTGTGACAAACTGGGTCACGCGGTGTACCAGCCCGGGGCCACGGCCTACCATCAAGTGCTGCAGGAGTTTGGCTCAGGTGAGTGCGTATAAAGGGCTTTTGCGAGACTCAGGAGAGCTTTAATAAATACATTCTTGGTTGAGTAAAGGTGGAGGGGTAAATCAAATGGGGTAAAAACTCTGTGAAACTCTGAAAAATAGAATATTCTACAAAAGTTCATATATTTCTGTAATAATTTTTATTTCTGTAATCCAATATGTTTGTTATAGTGTTGATGATTATGATTATTGTCCATTTTCAAAATATTAGTCATGTTTTGCTCAAAGCAGGCATGTCCAAACTAAGGCCAAATGCAGCCCTCTGTGTCATATATGTAGCCCTTTGCCGCTAACACAAAGTAGAGATTGGTGTACTTTTTAATGTCATCCAGCCAACTTCAGTTCCACCAATAATTCAGCCATAAACTGACATTGTTTTTGATTGTTTCATTGAGATGGCACCAGTGTTGCTGTGATGGGGATCAGTATAGACATAACGTGCCCAATTCTAAAGCTCAGAACAGACAGAAAACGGTAAAAGCCGTTTTAGAATCCATGTTGTCGGCCCCTGGACAAGTCTGGTGAACTAATCAATATTCTAACAAATAAAAGCTAGATCTCACTCTGCATGAAATGAGTCTGTAATATTTTATTTCCACATTGTAAGTTTTAAACAGTAAATGGACTTTTGAACGATTTCTGAGTTTTGTCCGTTTGTGCAAAAAATGACATGTTTTTTTGTAAATTGCAAGACTAATGGCTGATTGGAGCTATAATTATGATAACTGAAGAGTACAAAAAAACATACATTTATTTAAAAGAATTAAACAAGGAAGACAATCAAAGCCAATTTAGTGTAAGACAGACTTTATACTTGTTTCTTTGATGCTAGAATTAGATTTTATTTTAATTAGTATAGTTATTGTTCATCTATCTTGTGCTGTGTGCTGCTACTGTTCTTTGGACTTGTGATGCAACACTGAAATTTCCCCTATGTGGGACAAATAAAGGATCTCTTCATCTTTAATCTTCTCTTCTGTGGCTCAATCCCCATATTCCCAACAAAATATGTGGTCAAATGCGATGATGTCATTACACATATACCAAGAACATTGTAATCCCGGTTTGTACGTGTCTAAAGCATTGATTGGCGTATTGGGGGCGGCAGTGGAAGTCGAGGTCTCAGCTTTGATGGCGGATAAAAGTTGATGAAATGACTTTTGACTCGTGCGTGTTTGATTGGCTCAATGACAAACTAGCACCGGAGCGACATGTTATATCTGAGGAGACACTTATTCACAACATATGATAAATCCAGTCCATCTTCTCACTGATGTCGCTCTTCAAATGTGCCGTATATCTTCTCAAGTCACTCTCGGATCAAAGACACTCTCCGTCTGTTTTGACAGTTGACATTTTCTGAACTGCACTTTATAAACACAATATTTTCGTTTCTCAAGTTAAATATTCCATCACAAACACGTCAAAATCAAGACGTAGAGCCTTTCCTTGTTTAATGTATTGACAAGAAAATTAGACCCTATATCTTTTTGCATGAGATAAATAATATGTTGTTTATTTTTGGGCGCAGAAGCAGATGTTTTGTGTTGTATGTTATGTTTTTATTATAATTGTTTTGTACTCTTTGCAGATATCCTCAGTGAAGATAAAACTATTGACAGACGTGCACTGGGAAAGAAAGTATTTGGAAACCAGGTAATTCATACTTTTGACTGTATACACCTTTTTACATGTTTGTGGCCGGTACTTTTATCCTTGAATCTCTTTTAGGAGCGTTTAAAAGCACTAACAAACATCGTGTGGCCAGAAATTGCCTTGTTGGTCAAAGAACGCATCCAAAAGTCACGAGAGGAAGGTACTAATACACACTTTGAATTCACTTTACATGTTTGTTTTCTGAAGTGCAGTTGGAGCAAATATTCTAAAATCTCATTTCAGGAAAACAAGTCTGTGTGCTGGACGCCGCGGTTCTCCTGGAGGCGGGTTGGAACGATATGGTTCATGAGGTCTGGGTCACGGTGATCCCAGAGGAGGAGGTAGGAATTTTATCTTATTGTGTGTTTTGAGGTTTTATGTGGTTTTACTGCAAATTGCAATGAAATTCTCGAATCTTGAAAACTTAAATCATTTGCTTTATCATTTAACATTCTATAAATTAATCAGAATCAGAATCATTTTTATTGCCACGTAAGTAACAGGAGGTCACAGACTTTGCAACAGTCAGAAAGAGATAATAAAAATAAGAATAAAAAACACTTCTAAAGAATAAATTTAAAATAGAGTTACAGTTACTATTTATAATATACAAGTGCACATGGTGCACACAATGTAAGGTGACAGCAGTACAGTGAAGTAAAGTGACGTATGATGGGCAGTAAAGTGACTTTATAAAGGGCGGGGGGGACAGGTTAAGAAGTGTTCAAGAGTCCAACAGCAGAGGGGAAGAAACTGTTCTTGTGGCGGGAGGTTCTAGTCCTGATGGACCGCAGCCTCCTGCCTGAGGGGAGTGGTTGGAATAGTCCATGTGCAGGGTGAGAGGGGAGTGGTTGGAATAGTCCATGTGCAGGGTGAGAGGGGAGTGGTTGGAATAGTCCATGTGCAGGTGAGAGGGGAGTGGTTGGAATAGTCCATGTGCAGGTGAGAGGGGAGTGGTTGGAATAGTCCATGTGCAGGGTGAGAGGGGAGTGGTTGGAATAGTCCATGTGCAGGTGAGAGGGGAGTGGTTGGAATAGTCCATGTGCAGGTGAGAGGGGAGTGGTTGGAATAGTCCATGTGCAGGTGAGAGGGGAGTGCTTGGAATAGTCCATGTGCAGGTGAGAGGGGAGTGGTTGGAATAGTCCATGTGCAGGTGAGAGGGGAGTGGTTGGAATAGTCCATGTGCAGGTGAGAAGGGAGTGGTTGGAATAGTCCATGTGCAGGTGAGAGGGGAGTGGTTGGAATAGTCCATGTGCAGGTGAGAGGGGAGTGGTTGGAATAGTCCATGTGCAGGTGAGAGGGGAGTGGTTGGAATAGTCCATGTGCAGGTGAGAGGGGTCGGCTGTGATACGACCAGCCCGGCCTCGAGCTCGGGCGACGTACAGGTCCTGCAGCGATGGAAGGCTGCGGCCGATCACTTCCTCTGCAGAGCGCACAATGCGCTGTAGTCTCTGTTTGTCCCTGACTGTGGCTCCAGCGAACCACACGGTGATGGAGGAGGTGATGGAGGAGGTGATGGAGGAGGTGATGGAGGAGGTGAGGATGGACTCGATGATGGCCGTGTAGAACTGCAGCTTGGCTTTCCTGAGCTGCCGCAGGAAGTACATCCTCTGCTGGGCCTTCTTGATGAGGGAGCTGATGGTCGGCTCCCACTTGAGGTCCTGGGTGATGGTGGTGCCCAGGAAACGGAAGGACTCCACAGAGGTGATGGGGGAGTCCATCACGGAGGGTGGGGGCGGGGGGACAGTGCTCTTCCTGAAGTCCACAATCATCTCCACTGTCTTCTGGGCGTTCAGCTCCAGGTTGTTACCACTGCACCAGGACACCAGCCGGTCCACCTCCCTCCTGTAGGCGGACTCATCGTTGTTGGAGATGAGTCCAATGAGGGTGGTGTCGTCCACGAACTTGATCAGCTTCACGGAGTCGTGGCTGGAGGTGCAGTGGTTGGTGTACAGGGAGAAGAGCAGGGGAGAAAGAACACAGCCCTGTGGGACTCCTGTATTTATAATCCGAGAGTCCGAGACATTCTTCCCCAGACGCACTCGCTGCTTCCTGTCCGTCAGGAAGTCAGTGATCCACCTGCAGGTGGAATCGGGCACGTTGAGCTGGGAGAGCTTGTCCTGGAGCAGGGATGGCAGGATTGTGTTGAAGGCAGAGCTGAAGTCCACGAACAGGACCCTGGCGTAGGTCCCCGGGGAGTCCAGGTGCTGTAGGATGTGGTGGAGGGCCAGGTTAATGGCGTCGTCTACAGATCTGTTGGCTCTGTAGGCGAACTGCAGGGGGTCCAGGAGGGGGGAGGTGAGGGACTTGAGATGGGAGAGAACCAGGCGTTCAAATGACTTCATGACGACAGACGTAAGTGCTACAGGTCTGTAGTTGTTGAGTCCTGTGATCCTGGGCTTCTTCGGGACGGAACAATGATGGAGGATTTGAAGCAGGCCGGGACATGGCAGGACTGCAGAGAGGTGTTGAAAATGTCCGTGAACACAGGAGTAAACTCACTGGCGCAGTGTCTCAGAGTGGCCGGAGACACGTGGTCCGGGCCAGGAGCTTTGCGGGGGTGCAGCCTCAAGAAGAGTTGTTTAATCTCTTTAGCGGCTATTGTTAGGCTGGGGGCAGGGCTGATGGGTGGGTTGTTAGAGTAGTGGGGGGTGGGGGAGGGAGAGGTGTCAGGGGCAGCATCAAAGCGACTGAAAAATAAGTTCAGTTCGTCAGCTAGCTTGTGGTCGTCAGCACAGGGGGGGGCTTTGGGTTTGTAGTTGGTGATCTCCCGTAGGCCCCTCCAGACAGAAGCAGTATCGTTGTTACCAAACTGCTCCTGTAGTCGTTCTCTGTGCGGGACTTGGCTGCTTTCAGTTCTTTCCTGAACTGATATTTAGCTGCTTTGTAGCCGCTGCGGTCCCCCTCCCTGAAAGCAGACTCCTTTGCTTTCCTGAGTCCTTGTCGTTGTTATAGATGACCCTGGTCCTTGTTGGAATGATGCTATCCTCACAGAAGTGAATGTATGACGTCACAGTGTCCGTGTATTCATCCAAACTGTCTGTGGCAGCTCTGAAAAGGTCCCAGTCTGTAGATTCCATGAATGCGCGCAGCTCTTCCACAGCTTCATCAGACCACACTTTGGAGCTCCTCACTGCAGGTTTCGAGAACTTTAGTCTCTGTCTGTAAGCAGGAACCAGATGTATCATGGAGTGATCTGAGAAGCCGAGGGCTGGCTTGGGAACAGCGCGAAAAGCTCCGCGCACGGTGGTGTAACAGTGATCCAGAGTGTTCTCCTCTCTGGTCGGGCATTTGATAAACTGTCTGTATTTGGGTAATTCCTGGCTCAAGTTTCCCTTATTAAAATCCCCCAGGATAATAATCAGAGAGTCCGGGTATAAGCGTTCCATACACAGTACTTGCTCTGCGAGTGTGCGCTGAGTCTCGCGCGTCCGCGCATGGCGGTATGTAAACAGAAGCAAGAATGAATGAAACAATTTCGCGCGGGGAGTAATATGGTTTACAATGAATGAAAAGATATTCCAGAGCAGGAGAGCAGTGCTTGGAGATCACTGTCACATCGTTACACCAGTTTGTATTGACGTAGAAACACAGCCCACCGCCTCTGCTCTTCCCTGAGAGCGCACAATGGCGATCCGCGCGGAACAGCCCAAAGCCCTGCAGCTCCAGAGCGCAGTCCGGGATCCGCTCATTTAGCCAGGTCTCAGTGAAGCAGAGGACACAGGATGTGGCGAAGTCCTTGTTTCTTCTCATGAGCAGGCTGAGTTTGTCTTATTGCCCAGTGAGCGTACGTTGGAGAGAAAAATGCCGGGGAGAGCCGTGCGCTCCTCTCCTCCTAAGACGCACGAGCAGGCCTCCGCGCTTTCCCCTTTTACGGGCCCACACTTTTTTGGCTAGGCTAATAATTATTGGCTAATAATTGTGTCCGTATATTGCAAAGTATATGACAAACTAGCACAGGATCTAAAATATGAAGTAAGTATTCTTCACATATAACGCCTTTCACAGAAGAGTCACAAAGCGCTTTACAATTGTTTTTGAGCGTTTGTCTCTCACTTCTATATTGGTTATAATTTGTGACTTTTAAAATACAGAAATATTGTTTCCAATTCAATACAAGTTATTGAATTGGAAAAATATGTATAAATTGTGTGAACTATATTCTAATCTAAAATATAATTAACAACTTTATTAATGGTGCATTCAGATTTCTTTTGCCCTTGTTAATCAACTTAAAGAAGTGATCCTATAATATCGTGCAAATGAGTACAATATATTTAAGTACAAATATGCTAGCTACACCACAATATTTGGACCATATCACAGAATATTTAAAAAGAATTCTGGTATTGTCTAACTAAACACATTTTCAAAGTATTCTCCCCGACACCTCCCATGAACTGTTGCTGCATTCATCGTGTAATGCTTATAGTTGACCACAAGAGGGAGACAGATGCCTATGGGTTAACATGACTGCATTTCCAGGCCGTGTCTCGGATAACGGCGCGTGATGGAGTGAGCGCAGAAGACGCACTGAGGAGGTTACACAGCCAGTGGTCAAACTCCAAACAGGTGCAATACGCCAATGTGGCTCTGACAACACTGTGGGAACCAGAAGTCACCCAAAAACAGGTCAGAAACTAATACAGAATAAATTCACAGAAGACCAAGTTATTCATAACCAGGTGTTTGTTTGTTTGACAGGTTTTAAAAGCGTGGAATTTACTCCAGAAACGAATCCAGAAACTACAAGAGAAGTAGAGGGCCGTGTGTCAGGGCGCTCTGCTGTGGAGGAGTGCGTGCCGATCCAAAGACTAAAAAACTGCCTGGTAGTCCTTATAGGGAAATGCTGCCTTAAAATGATCTGTGCCATTTGCAAACAGTCAAGCATCCATCGCTTCCTCAGTCATAAATCATAGCTCTAACATAGGATAACAAAAATACATTTAAATACAATACCGTTTTATTCTACAACAATGCTGCAACATAGAAAGGTCAACTTTTCAGAAATGTCTAAAATACCTCTTTATATCTACATTTTTAACGTATTCAGTCTAATCAGGCCGTTTGAGGCATCTACAATGATTCTAATTGAATGTCTGGTACATGTTTATAGAATATTTAGAAAGGTTTATAATGAGCCAGATCAGAAATGTTTAGAAGAAAAACATGATCTACTCTTGTCCAAAAACTTCCATAGCTATTGTGTATCGTTACTTTGACAGTTCTCCTTCAGAGTATATGCAACGTGTAGTATTTAAGTCAACGATTCCAGATGTATTTTCATGTGTGAATGTTGTGCGTTTAACTGAAATATAAAAATACCTAACAGAATTTCTCGCATTCTTTGACTCGAACCAACAGCGTCACAAACAATAGAAATGATACTTTATTTCTGTGATTCAGTGCAAATAGTTTAATATCAAAGTTGTAAATGTTAACCTCTATAAAAGGGTTCTTCTGTACATTCATAGTTTTAACAGGAGTATCACACGCTCCATCAGTGGGTCACGTTGAGTTTGGCCGAGCACGCCGCCTCCCCCAGCTTGTTACTGGCTCTGCAGACGTACACCCCGGAATCTGACGTCTTCACTTCAGAGACGACCAAAGTACAAACTCCATCCTCGTTTATTTCCTTCGTGACTCGGGACGACTCTAGAACTTCCTTTTCGTTCTGGAGCCACTTCACCTGCAGCTCTGGATAACCTGCAGCATAGGATGGATTTAAAAGTCTTCAATGTTAGAGGTGATGTCTGCCACTTTAATTTGTCAGAGAGAGAAAAATGCGTTTGACCAAGAGACTAATATTAGAGCTACTTTTATACAACCGTAGAGGCAGAGAGCTACTCCTTTTTGCAGAATACAAAATCTATGTAATAACTATGACAAAACTTGGGAAACACTTGTAAAATATACCTTACTACTGTATAACACTATATTTATATTTACAATAGATATGTATGGACTCTAAAGTGAATCATTCAAGGTCATGTTTTGAATTCTAAATCCTTTGGGGAGCTACCTGAATGGGGCTAGGGAGCTACAGGTTGGGGACCCCTGATGCAGTCATTTTAAACTATTTATTTAAACAGTCCTTTCCATTAGCATCACCACCAGAGTAGGATTTGCTGAAGAATAACAAATGTTGGAGACAGATTCAAATTCACTGATTTTCGACCAATCAGGAGGCTGCAAGGGCGAGCATGGGCGGGTCTAACCAGCACTAGACTTCCAAAAGATTCGCTTCCTCTTCGGTTTAAAAAGTACCTGACATTTTAAAGCTGGTGTTTGCTCCACTAGTAAGTCTTGTAAAAGTAAAGTGTTGTTGAAAATGAAACCATAACTTGCGTCTTAAGAGAAAACTTTTGATCAATTACATTATTTTGCCCCGAGAGTCACCATCTGATGATTGATGGTGTGAGTGAGGATGGGCCCTTCACTTTTCTGTCTGAATAACATTACTGATCTACGTGAAAGACGCTAAAAATACATTCAAAACACAGCTGTTTTAGAATCAAGGACGACCGGTAATGAGATGGATTTTGCTAAAAAAATTTTTGGTATATGGACTCCTTATGCGTCTGAATTACAGATTAAAACAACTATAGTTCCATTTCTTGCGGTTTGAGAGGATGGTACCAAAGATTTATTGTACAAGTATTTTCTAACAAACTTAACAAGTCTAGACCTGCAGATATGTGGATTTATAGGAAACAAATGTACTATTAAAGATCATTATTGTAAGAAGAGGGTGGTAACTGATCTATGCACGTTTTCCCTGTATCCACTACGTAAAATTTTTGTGTCCAATTTTTTTTTATTCAATTCGATTATCTTTATTTACAAAACATCATAGGTCATACAAGTTACACACATTATATTTGTAAAGTTTGTTGGCGTTTTGTAACAGGAACTCCAAGGAAGCTGCATTAGCTTATAGGCGGGGCCCCAAAAACCTGCCTTCTGTCTGCCACAAAAAAATAAAATAAAAACAACCTCCACTCCATGTTTACCGTTGACGAGGCACGTGAGCTGCGCCGTGGCTCCTTTGGGCAGCGTCGTGTCTTTCAGCGTCTGGTGGAAACGGGGCTCGCACTGGAGCTGCTTGTCCAAAGAACGGATGGCCTCCTCTGCCTCTTGGCTCCAGCTTGGCTCTAGATGAGAGGGGAGAGGAGGGAAAGGAGCAAGACATTTCTGATCACAAAGGGCCAAACTTGATGTGACAATCTGAAACTGAGTCACCCGCCATATGCGACGGCGCCCCGGGACTGGATGCCATTGTAGCAGAGTTAGCGTGTGTGTGTGTGTACGTCTTATCGCTCTTACCCTCTAAAGAGCTGCCAGGGGAGTCCGGCCTGTTGGAGAGGTTAGCCATTCGCTTCAGGGCCAGAACAGCCTTGCCAGCTTTCTGCAAGTTTATAAAGGTCAAATTCAAGTGGATGACGAACCGCACTCACAACTCGGAGCTGCAGGACAATCCTCTACAATGGTTTAAAATGTCATAAGGAAGAGGGAAAAAAAGGGATGAAATTAATAAATAGGCCTATAGGTGTCTTACCCGCCATTTGCGTTTGGCCAAGAAGCGCCGCATTTTTGTCTTGTTGAGGGATTTGGTCGGTCTTCGTAGCAGAGGCGTAAAAGAAGCCATCCAGGGGTGGGTCAACGCCTCAGAGCAGGACAGTCTTTCTCTACATTTGCAAACGTGACCAGTTAAAAATCACATCGTTTCATATGATTTAGTAAAGTGCTGAAGCAAGAAATGTTTACGAACGTTTGGTCTTTCTTGAGCAATGCAGAAATAAAATCCTTGGCTTCGTCTGTGATGTCTTCAAAGCTTTCTTCGTCAAACTCGAATTTAGCCAGAGTGACAAAAGCAAAGGTCTCAGCGTCGTTGTTGCCCTGGAAGGGAGACTCCCCACTGAGCCTGAAACCACAACACAGGATATTTCATTAAATATACTCGAGGTGTGGCAATATTTTACAGTGTGGCCCTTTTTTGTGGGGATTTTTCAGGCATTGACGATATATTTTGACTATAAACGTGTGTCGTATATCTACAAAAACTTGATAAGAGTCAAAATATGTTTCAAAACTCTGCCCTGTTCACATAAACCACAGCTGATAGGTGTGCAAATCCTTTCCTGCGCCCAGGGGACACACTACCACAATAAAAACACATATTAGCCGCATTGCTATACGGGCGAAGAGTTTAAAGAAAAAAGTAGCGGCTTATAATCTGACAATTACTGTATTTTACCCATGTGCACCTGAAATATTTGTGTTGTGATGATCATAATCTGTCTGCAGTGTGCGAAAGCCTCCAGCAGGGGGTGCCAAGTGTGTAAATCAGGGTCATTATGTTTGACTCACAGAATGTAGCAAATGACTCCAATGCTCCACATGTCCGTCTGCAGACTGACCGGCTCGTAGTTGATCACTTCTGGGGCCACAAACTCCGGCGTCCCGTGCATCACCAGGAGAGGTTTATCGTCTACAAAAAGGCCAAAAGCACAAACTCAGACTGTGATATTTGGATTGGAGTTTTCATGTTTGCATTCGCCTGAGCCTTCAACTGTAAACAGACCACCCAGTCCACAAGAGGTGTTTGAGGCCGGTTTGTCAAGATTTCTGTAGCACTGACGCAGATGACGCCCTTCAGCTGTTATTGAATGGTTATGTTGTTACAAAACAATCTGCTACTTTTAGAAGAGACTGATCATATCTGCTAAACTATTTTCAGTCCAGACTCCTCCTGAAATGCATTACGTTTACTACAAAAACATGTACACAACTGTTTTGCATGGTCTGTAGTGGTTAAAAATAGAAAGTCCTTCCAAATCCCTGCAAAAAAATAAAACAAAAAGTAAAAATAACATTGAATTAGATGAAATGTTTTGGTCTTAAATACAAAAGATATGGATTTAATAACTTTAGCTTGTCCCAATGGGGAATAAATGACAATCTTCATTTCATTTATCTTGATTGTTGTAGATTGAGTATTTTTTGGACTTATTGGTCATTTTTCTTGCAGAGATAGGACAGACTTACGACTATTTTTGTAGTCTACACAATGATATTAAACCAATAGCACATTTTTCGTATCAAGAAATGTACTCCCCGCGTCGCTCTGTGTGGGGAACTTTAGATTTACTTTGGATGTTTCATATTGTGGCATTACACGCATTAAATCTCCGCTTACAAAAGATGAAAACTGGGAATGGTGTCAGTATTCCACCAATAATTAAACATGTACAACATTCTTGTGAAAAGCAGCAACCCCCATGTAGAAAAAAAACAGGTAGGAGACCTCTAATGAAATGTTATAAAGTGGGCGGAGCTTAGGGTTTTAGAAGGTAAAATAGCCAACATCTAACAGATATCTAGTGAGTAACAACCACAATATCTACATTAAACAACATAAGTTTATAGAGAATTAAACTGTAGAAAAAAATTAGATTTTAATGGTGTGTCTTTTGGCCAAAACCACCGCACTGTGGATCGTAATTAGCAGGTATAACTCCATCCATCCATCCATTTTCTACCCTTTAATCCATTTCTGGGTCAGGGGGGTGGCAGTCAGAGATGCCACCCAAGTCTCATAGCACCAGCCCCTCACTGACCCTCTGCAGGTGGTGAGTCCACAGGAGGACGGCTGCTCTCTGAGTGTGAGCATAGCCTTGATCTTTCAGTGGGGGCTTTGGGCAAAGTGGGGTTAAGTGTCTTGCCCAAGGACACAACGACAGCAGTCATCAGTGAGAGTCGGTGGAGAAGGTGCAGAGGTGGGAATTGAACCCACGACCTTCTGGCCTTAAGGCCAATGCTCTACCAACTGAGCTACTGTCGCCCTAGTATAACTAGTAAGCTTTATAGTAAGTAACCTTTATTTATATACCGCCTTTCACAGACCAGAGTCACAAAGCGGTTTACAATTGTTATTTTTTGGGAACTTGTCTCTCACTCCACACAGAGATGGGAGTGAGGGTCGCCGAACAGGAGGCGCATGCCAGATCTATTGTACATATTTTTAGCGGTAGGGGAAACCGGAGTACCCGGAGGAAACCGGAGTACCCGGAGGAAACCTACGCAGACACTGGGAGAACATGCAAACTCCACTCAGAAAGGCCCTGGTCCGGCCGGGATTCGAACCCAGGATCTTCTTGCTGAGAAGCGAGAGTGCTATACACTCAGCCACCGTTGACTTCCATAGTGTTTTCATAAAACATGAAAAAAACATTATGTTCAAACTCATTTCTATTTCCCTATGGCGATTCTAAATGTTACTTCCTGAAACCTAGCAGTGAGTCCTGCCCACCTCCCAGTATCATTCACACATGGATCTACTGCAGATGAGTTTAGAAGGGCAATTTTTTAGCACCAATTACATACCAAGTTTACTGGCCAGCCCAAAATCTATAATCTTGATGTGCGTGCCGGTCGTGCCCACGCAGACGATGTTCTCTGGCTTGAGGTCCAAATGAACAATATTCTGCTTGTGGACGTATTGCATTCCGTCCAATATCTGATGCATGTAGTGCGCACAGGTCGGCTCCGTGTGCTCAAAGTTGTCGTCGACGATACGTGCGAAGAGCTCTCCACCTGCGATGCTGTTGCAGAGAGAACAAGTGAGTATGTAGATGGTGGCATACAACTAAATACTTCAAATCACGTACTATTCCATGACCATCACCATTTCCGAGCGCGTGTCGTAAGCGGCCAGACACTGCACCAGCTTGGGGTGGTGCAGGTAGTTCATGAGTTCGATTTCCTTCAGGGCGGCGGCTTTGTTCTTTGAGGAACGGCCGCGGTAGAACTTCCCGGCGCAAATGTCACCAGTGTCTTTGTGGGTCATCCTGTGAACTTGGCCAAACTTCCCACTGCAAAAGAACACGGCTTTAGTTTGCGACCATGAACAGTTTGAGACGCAGAAGTACGAGGAAAAGAAACTCGAACATTTTGGGGTAAATTAAAGGATTAGTAATTAACGAACAAACCCGCTGTAAAAGCATAAAAATATGTTATTAAGCAGCCGATGTGAAAACAATTATTTAACCCTTTCTATACAGCAACCTGGCTTCCCAAAAATGATTTCCCTACATGCTTTTCTTGTGTATATGTACATTTCTGTTATTGATTTAGTAGTACTCAACCTATTATCAGCTTCACATCAAAATTGACAACAATTTATCAAAATAAAAGAATATTTGACATGATTTCCAGTGGTCGCAACCAGTAGCAGGCCAAAGTTCTGCTTATTGTTCGGATTTGAATCATAGAATTTGTTTGATTCTCTGATCTGTGTTGGCAAATTCGACGGTTTTGTTAAGTCCTCAGAGATAAATACAGCTGTGATTTAGGTCTGAACCAGTGGGGGCGGGTCCCAGCTCAAAAGTGGCCAAAATGACGTGCGCTGACATGCTGCAATACCACCCCGGGCCGATGGGGGTGGACCCGGAATAAGAATTAGCCAATGCTAACATATAGCATCTTCTGACCTCTGGAAAACGTCTTTACAGGATGGTCCAAAAGTTGGCTCTTGGCCCAAAGCTCCGTTCCACATGTGTGTCAATGCTGAGGGGGGGAATTTTTTGGACCACTAGTTTACTCAATGAAAGGGGCTCCTGCCGGCTGACGCATGCGCAGATGCGTTTCACATTTTCCAGCCCCCGTGGCCATTTTAAATCACTCCATGAAAGCCCAATTTATAGCCCATTAGTTAGAACGGCGGAGATAGGCGTCACTACGTCCCTTAATATATACAGTCTATGGGCTGTACAAGAATAAATTTAATATAAGAATACATTAAATTGAATTGAAGGGCTCCTCTCTGAAGAATTTGGGAACCCCTGCCCTGATGAAATTGAAATGTTGATATAAAGCCATTTCACAAACAGACAAGCTTTTGTTTGGGGTGTGGAAGGAATTATTGCAAGTTTGTATCATTCTGATTCTTTTGAGACTGGGAAATGGGACAACTTTCATCTTGATCTTGGCTTAGCTATTCTGAATAGATTTATTGCGAGTACAAAGTGAAATGAAAATAAAAACATGTGGAAAATATGCAACAATCTACTCACACTCCCAGCTTCTCATGCACTTCATAATGGTCCTTCACTTTGTTCTGCGTGTCCACGACGACGTCTACATATTTCACCACCTCTTCTTTCTTTTCTTCAGAGAAAATGCAGTAAAACAACATGAGACTTTTCAGCAAAGTGGTTAAAAGGATCGTTCTCCACTTACTCTCCGTTGCCATGGTGATGGAGTGGGACTGTTGGCTGGGTTCGCTGACTCCTATAGAGTTAACCGCTCGAACTCTAAAGCGATACTGTCCCTGTGGCTCCAACCCCGCTCGCACCTTATAACAGGTGTTTTTACAGTCCTTGGTCACTTCGGTCCAACTTTCAGACTGCTCCTGTCGAACTTCGATGATGTATCCCAAAACGGCCGTGCCCCCGTCGTAGCTCGGGCCGGTCCAGCACAGCACCAAAGAATCTGAGGTCAACTTTGACACCACTGGGTGAGAGGCAGGAGGGTCCGGTCGGTCTGAGGACATAAAAAACATGGAGGGAGGAGGGAATGAACTTAGACTGGAGCTTGTGTCCATCAGCTTAAAGTTTAGACAAGATAAGAAAAGGTTAAAAAGATCCTGGTGATTGGCAAATGTCAGACTACTAATCCAATTTTTTAGAGAGCTTTTCTACAATCTTTGGGTCAATCCACAGGAAACAAAACAGAACATTCTTTCAAAAAAGAAGAGGAATGAGTGCACACAGGGATAAAACATGTAGGGTAAATGTGAGGAGTCAGGGCTTTTCAAGGACACAGGGTAAAAAGTGGAAAAGAAGATGATTTTTATTATGGTGGGAACATATTCTTCGTCAGCACATTTGGATTATGGTATTAGTGTTGACAATACTCAAAAACATTTCAGACAGAAGAATAATATGGCAGGTTTGTGAATCTATCCATCACTGATCTGGGAAAGGAGTTTTTCTTTTCCAACATTTATTTATTTAAGTTCAATTCTCAAACATTAATGCAACTTTTTAGCAACTGAAAAGGTAATTCTGCAACAGCAACATCTAAAGAACCATCCTGCAGGAACAGACTGAAAACCCATAGACCACAGACCTCTAAAAGGCCTGTGAGGTGGTGGAGGGGGTCAGCCATTTTAAATTCTTGGAGGATTTAAAGGATGACCTGTCCTGGGGCAATCATCATCTTCACAGTTCTCTGATGGGGAACTTTTACAACTGAAATTATGGATCTGAAGTGTGGTTTTCCAGCTCCACTAAGGCAAACCAACAGGCAGCGAATCTTCCAGAGAGAAGTTCCAACGGCTCGGCACACTCTGCTCTGAGAGAGTGGAACCTCCTCTGTGACTGTCACAGACCTGCTCATCATCTGTTCCCTGATGCCTGCTGCGGGTCCAGACAGGCCCCAACAACAGTCTGTTAGTCTATCAGGCTGTGAGACTCCTGAACGCTGCCCCCAACAAGGACAACAACCACATCCACCAGAGATGGCTCTGAACTGGACTTCAGTAAAGTGTTCTGTGTAAACTGCAGTGTTGATGCTCTAAAGCAGTGTCTCCCAAAGTGGGGGCCGCGGCCCGAGGGTATTGCAGGGGGGCCACAAGAGGTCATACATTTAAAAAAAATATATCTATATAATTATTGTATGTTAAATTAATAATATTTTGTTTGTAATATTAAAAATACTTGCGTTCATTATTTGACTTGAATAATCAAATTGTAATCATTTTTGTATTACAAAATGGGGTGCGTCATTTACATGTTTGTAGCAGAGGCTATTTCCCCCAAATAAAATAACACGAAGAGCCCATTTTTAATGTTGTCCTCTTGGTTATTATTTTGGGGGCCACGCAGACCAGTCAGATTTTTAAGGGGGCAAAATCAGTGTGACTGATTTTGGGAATGGCTGATCTAAAGTTGAGAGTCTGAACTGTCTTTGACCAGGACGAGGAGGTGAAGCTGGAGAACTGTCCATGTTCTTTATTCAGAAGGTTTTTCCCCAGGACTGATATTAGTGCATTTTGAAATGTACTTTTGAAAGTTAACATTTTTTGCTTCTCTTGGTGTTTAAAAAAAAGTAAGTAAAATGATGTGCCTTGACTCAGACGAACTAAAAACTAGTGACTACTGTAAATACGACACCCACCATTGGGGAAACACCCAAGATGCAATTCCAAACCAGGGAAGAGAAGAAATCTGTGCAAATATTTGTTTTTCCTTTAATAATTTCAAACAAAAAGGTCACTCACCGATGACACTCAGAGTGATACTGTGATGCCCCAACCCCAGTCTGTTCCGAACGACAATAGTGTAGCAGCCTTGGTCTTCAGGAGACGTCTGAGCGATCTCCAAACTGCTTTGACAGTCACTGCTACGAAACGAGATCCTCTTCCCTCCCAACACCACCTGCAACATACACCATTAAAACATTGTCACTAATGTCATAGTTACTAAAAACAAGATACATTTCAATATTGTGTCCTTCCTCGTATGTTTAAAATCCTAAAAAAAAACACCCAACCTCTCTCCTGCCCACTCTCTCTGAGGCCAGGACTCCCCTTGAAAACAGATTCAGGAATCTCACTGGGTCTTTGCTGGTTAAATAAAAGGTCAATAAAAAATTAAAAAAAGAAAATGACTATTTGAAGTTTGAAATGTTTATACAAGAACATCTGGATTAGTAAGGTTCAGAGAGAGAGAGAAAGTAGCCCAAGTAATAGTGCCAGCGGTACATAAACCATGCCGGCTCAGTCCCCATAATATTTACTTAAGTACTTGATGAACTGGTACAAAAATTGAATCATGGGCAACTTCACCCACATTCTTTAAGTCAAGCAGATTTCAAAAACAGATTTACAATGTTTAAAGCCTCAAATAACAATAGACTAAAAGTAAAAGTTGTACATTAGAGTAACTGCATGATACACTTCCTCCTTCACTTGGTCTAGAGAAGGAGAGGTGTTGAAGTGGTAACACCAGCAACAGTATTTCTTCAGACTACATTTAGACCACATTAACGTCTTGTATCTCACCTTGTCTTTGTTGTAGAGCCAGCAGCAGGCCACAGGCAGCGAGACACTCTGGAACTCACAGCGTAGTCGAGCCTTCTCCCCGATGCGCACCTCCACGGCCTCAGGAGCCTCCACAAAACACACAGGAGGACCTAAAACAACAATATTCAGTACTTTTTCACAAGTCTCTGGTCCATAAAGTGGCTTCAAACTGTCCTGGTGTGAGGAACATGCACAGGGGGCGGGGCTAACAGGTGAATCCAGGGAGGTAGATTTAAGGGATTTCTGACCAATGAAACGAGAGAGCATTAAAAAGTACTTTTTTGGACCGGGACCAGGGCGGTGAATTTGAAAACAGACAATTTTATCGAGGAATTCACAAAAATATTTAGATTTTTTTTTTTTATGTATAGAAATTGATTCAGTTTATTCATATTATGGTTATCACTTTTCTTCACATGATGTTAATACATTGATTCTCCAAAATTACTGTATGTTTTAAAAGATACATGCAAATTATTACTACAATTTTACTTTTACCAGAAATGTGAAAAAACAAAAAATGGAGAAAAACACTTCCTATATTGTGTGACCATTAAGCTTACCTTTTGGTTTATCTTTTTTTGTTTTAGGGCTATTTTTGGGAGCCTCCACTTTGCGCATGATGTCACTCTTCACCACATGGTTCCTTCCTGTGTGGATTTGCCTCAAAGCTGGTGGGATCAGGGACCAGAGCAGTTAGTCTGACACCAATATTATCACTAGAAGAACACAAACAAACTCTTTTCATTCACCTGTGACGTGTAAAGAAGCGCTGCTCGTCCGTCTCCCGGCTGTGTTTTCAGCTGTGCACGTGTATGAACCATTGTGCGCGAAAGAGCAGTTGTTTAAGACCAGAGACGCAACCCCGTTTCGAAAGGAAGTGTTGCGTGAGGGAACCTTTCTGCCTGCCACGAAACAATGCTCGATCATTTATTTCATACAAAACATTAGCTCATTTTTTGCAGTCATGTATTTTTTCTGTAGTTTTGCTGAGAGAAGGGGAGGAGAGCATACGACTAAGATTATAAAAGTGTAATTAGTGACACTAAATTACTAAAGTACGTTGGTATTCTGTTCCTTGTTGTGCTTTCTGACACATCTTGCAACATCTTGTAACTTTTAGCGGCCCGTCATCTGCACCATTCTTCAAAAAAGAACAATTGGAAGCAATTTTCCTGGGGAGGTGCTCTGTGCAGGAGGAGGGAGGAGAGACTGCTGCCTCCACAACATAATCAGAATTATGAATTATGATTGGTTGTTCCTTCAAGTAAAAGCATTTTTAGAGTATTGAAATCTTGTTAATACTAGTGGAAAAATATGTCTTCACAGATTCTCGAAATGAGCTCCTGACGTCTCATGTTCTCCAAAGCAACAGTAGCGTATAGACTGTGACTCACTGTTGTGCGTCCAGGAAACGGTCAGAGGAGCACTTCCCGAGATAACAGCTTGAAAAGTGGCATCAGTTCCTTCACACACGATACGGTCCTGCAGCGACTCTTTGAACTGCGGCTCTTCCGCTTTGAGAGCTGCAGACAGTTAACACCAGATACATATCACCAAACTGTTATGAGCCTTAATGGAGGACACATGTTGTTCATCGTACGTCACATGGTTTTGGATCAGATGGGACGCAGTGTTCCCTTTCTGCTGCAATCATTTCAAAAACTATTGGCTTTATACATAATCACCAATTTAGATTTATTAACACAGACTTCTTTTTCTAATGCTTTCAATCAATATCATACACGTTTATTTTTATCACAGGATGTACATGAGGAGCATAAGGACTTAAGTTTTACTCTTAAGCAGAAAGATTCTAAAGCTATTCAGAAAACAACCTATTTGTTCTGATTGCAATTATATGTTTAGTTTATTACTGATCAAGAATGGTGATTTTTTATTATTTTGAATACAGTTTTAAAAAGTAGTCAGATACATTTATTATTTTTTTCTTACATTTTTATTTTTTATTTTTTATTTATTCATTTATTTCAGGCCATGGCACAGGTGAGTAAACAAGGTAATTAAATGCAGTTAAATAATATTAATCATAAATAACATTTATATGGGAAGAAATATAATCCAGATATTTTTTGTCTCAATTCCAATGTGAATACTTTTATTTTTAAAAACAAAATTGTATATGACAAATACCATATTTTTCTATTACCTGAGTGAGGAGAAGCTTGTCCTCCTGATCCTTCTGCTGTTACTAATATACCGTATTTTTGGTGCCATGTTATTGCTCAATAATCTGCAAATTCCAATCCTAATTTTTTCCATATTTGGCACAGCTCTACTTGCCTTTTCTTAGATTATTACTTAAAACATTAAACTGCTTTTAAAATGACTTCATGGAGCTCATTGTGACAAAACCTATGGCTGATTTTTACCATCAACCTTTTAATTTTCTATTTTCACTACTTTTAAGAGCCCTTTATCAGTAGAGTAAAGTTGATTGATTGAGTCATGTCTTCCATCATATCTATAATCTCATTCATGTCTACCTGGATTCTGTCATTACAATAAGCTCAATGCTGTGGAGCTAAATGCAGACTTCCATTGGGAATAGTGTTTTCCGTGTTGAGTTTTCCCACCATGTGCCGTGTTGCAATGTCCATCCCAAAAACACACAGAGACCAGTGGCCACCAGTGGACACAGGAATGCAATTAGCGCCATGAGTGTGTATGGGAAAGCCTTGGGGCGCTACAGCTCTATCCATCACGGCACATTTGTTAACATTTTTTAATATTAACATCTTGAATATTGCCATTGATAACCTCAAGCAAAAACACAACCGGGAAAAAACAATTTACTTTACATGCGACAGTTGCAAGAAGGGGACGTGTGCAAAAGTGGTACAAAGTAAACAGTTTCTGAATTTGTTCCCAAGGGTCAAAGTGAGGTATGTGTGGAGGTTGGAGTACAAATATTTCTGATGCAATGTAAGCATGAGTACACAAACTGGATCGATGCGGCTTTGTGCATAAGAAATGACACGATAAAACACGATAAACAAAATGTCTGTGTATTTTATAAACAGAATTAACCGTAAGTTTACAGCCCAGTATATAAACTTAAAGGGGAGGTACATAACTTTAAAAATATATATGTATACATTTGGTTTTCTCAACAGCAAGAGTGTTGGGAATCTGAAACGTGCTGTCTTTAACTATTCAGAAAACCTTTTATCTTTGACATACCCAAAAGATAAATAGCCTGTGGACGCTTCAGGCTGAGAGCTGATTGGCTGCAACAGAAGGAATCCTCTATTTTTCTCTTTTCTGTCTGAAAAAGCTGATCTTAAGTTGTGACAGTGACCGAAAATATGCAGTAGATTAGATTAGTCTGTAAAGTAAAGGCTAATCTGATCTAATCTAATGCATGTGATTAGATTAGTGATAGAACCCAACTGTTTTAAGAGGAAGGAAGTAGTTACAGTTAGATTTGTGTACACAGTTAAGTTAGGTACCCAAGCTTTAAGAGAACTGTTATAAGAAACGTGTATTCATTCCACAATGGGAAACAAGTCAGGGTTTGGCCTTCTTCAAATAATCCCCAAAAAAGGTCAAAATAGGCACATAATTGTTACTTTTTCTGTTTTGCAGCCTGAAAATCCATAGTAAGACGTCTTTGTTTACCTGCTGCAGATCCGGTCTTCACAGTCCTGTTCTCTGCTTCCACTTCATTCTCTTTGGCTTTGTCCGAACTGAAAAATCCGACTCTGGGTTTTAAGGCCAGCCGGAAGGTGGACACAAACATCTCTCTGGCTCCTTTGTCCATCCTTGGGTGGAGATCACAATACACATCGACAAGTTGTAAACAAGCCACGCATGTGTTGTGCTGCTCCCGGTTTACTTTGGGATACAGGCGAGAGGAGAGTTCAGAGAGAGTAGCTGCTGAAGTGAGGACACAATTGTGCTTTTGTAGAAATTCACTGGAGAAATGAAAGGTTAAAGACCAGAGGAATTGAGTGGGAGAGGCCGAACAGTCCAGAGAAGAGATAACAGTCCAGTGTTTCCAAAACCAAATAACAGCCCATGAAAATATGTGAGTTTAAGTACTAGTAAAAAACAGCATAAATAATCACACAGAGATTATGAACTGGGTCAAAACTACAACTTATAATAAAGTTCTCAGTAGTCCAGCAACTGTACCATCATCCCCAGCCACACTCCCAATGTAGAAACACCAGAGTAATACACCCAAAAGCGAAAAACGTGTCAAGTAAGTGTGTGAAATTCATTTACCTTCATGAAACGGTTGTTGCCAACTCCGTGGTGCGAGTGAGCATGTTCTTCCCTGCAAACACAAAGCAGCCCCCAGCTATTAGACGCAGGAGGAATCAGGACGAGCCAGTTGAGCCGCTTTCCGCCTATCAGCCACTGAGCCACATGTTGGAAATGGAACAAGGTAGACCTCTGCGGGGGGTGGGATTTCAGGCTGGAGTGGGTGGTTCGCGTGACTATAGTATTTTATGATCGCCTTTTGACCTGCAGGAGACGAGAGGGCGAAAACATCTATAGAAGTTACCAGACTATTCTGTTTATATTAGAGATATTTTATGAATATTTTAATGAATAGAATGGGTTATTAAGATGAAGAGATCCTTTATTGGTCCCACAGTGGGGGAAATTTCAGGGTTGCATCGCCACTTACAGAACAGTAGGAGTGAGGAGCACACAGCAAAAGTAAAAAATAAATCTATATTAAATCTCTAGCTTTAGCATAGTAAAGAAGCAAGAATAAAATCTTTTGCGTAATAAATAAGCGTAAATTAAGTATAAAATGACTTTGGCATAATAATGAAGCAGGTATACGATTTATTAAAAGAGAAAGAAGTAACTAAACTAACTTTTAAAGCTATTGCATGATTAGGACCCGGCATGCTCTGTTTGGAAGCACTGAAAAGTCAGATTAAAGCTGGGGTACCTAACTTTAAAACCACAAAAATCTTACTAAAATCCATCCAACTCGTTCACAGTTCCATCAGTAGTTTTCACATGCATTGAGCAGTATTTTCACATACTGCTCAATGCATGTGAAAACTACTGGAGACGACCTTCACTCAGCCAATCAGATCTCAGTCCAAAGAGTCAAATAATGACCCTTGACGGGCTTTTTCTGGCCAGTATTCAAAAGAGCAAATGTTTTCTAATCAGATAAAGTCAGCATGTTGTGATCGGATTCAATCAAAGCATTTTACTGAGACATATACATCGTGTTATTAACAAAAAAATACACACAATACAATAACACAATAGAAAGCCCAACCACATTCAGTTGTTTACTCATGGCATTATACAAAACAAGCTCCTCTGTGTCCTTTTTGGGTGTTGTTGTCCAAGTTTATTACTGCTGTACAGAGATTTCATAACAGCCTCTTGGACACATTTGAGTTTGCGGGAACAGACTCCTGGTATGTTTAAAGTAATACCATATGTCCGGAGGCTGGCTACAAACAAGCCGTCCTAAGCTCAAACCATATGTGATTAATGCAGAATGGCTTTGACACGAGACAGAACAGAAAATACAAAACACAATTGCAAATATTTACGGGCTGGGGTCACTAATTACATTCTATGAAGTGTATTGTCCTTGTAATGAGTCAAATTGCAATATTGTGTGGTATTGTGAGAATGACGGGGTACTTATCGTGGGGGATATTTCTAAAACAAGCCATATAAGGCAAAGAGAACTCACAATAAGTGCTGTGGCATATCCAAGAATTTCACTTGTAGCAGTCCACTTTTCCAGACAATTAGGCTTATCACAGTCAATCATAGAGAGCAGAGGAATTCAAAACAGGAAAATGGGAAAATGAAAGGCATGGGTTGTGTTTTCTGTCCTCTGTGCCAATAATGGAAATGATGGGATTTCCTGTTTTGAAACGGGGCTTAAAAGCGACAGAATGTAATCGTTTTGAGCTATTCCCATCAAATGACGGAAGAGAGACAGGATGTGGCGTGGGCCGAACAGAGCCCTCTAGTGGCAGGAAAAGGAGGTGCGACCATAGACTGTAAATATTCATGTGATAGTAGTTTAAAGCTTAAATAGTAACTACACTATTTTGTTCATGAAGAATGTATAGAGACATTGTGAATTACATTATAATAATACAAATACAAAATGAAGAATTATAAAACCCAAACTGTTTTTTGAGATATTATCATAGAAGCAAAATATGTATGGACAGTTGGAAGCGATTATAAATGACTGCACTTTGGAATCAATCTAAAAATAGGTAAAAAGTAAAATAAAATAACATACTTTTGTTTTGGAAATGTATTAAACATTCCAGTAAGGTTATATTTCCACTGTACACCTCGTCCTGATAGTCTGCTTTGTTCCTCTGAAGGAAGTGACTAAAGCAAGTGGTTCAAGCGCCTGCAGCTCTCTGGCCTGAACCCGAAGTCCCTTACCCAAGTCTTGGTGGATCTGCTGGTCCGTGCTTTGGCCTGTAGGGGTTGGACCAGCCAGCTGTCTCCCAAACAGATGTTAGAAGCTCAGAAGGATGGCAGCAGGAGCCTGGAGCCAGAGCTACCAGTCACCGAAGGAGCAGAGAACACATGTGTGACTATAAAAGGAAAACATTTGCAACGGATGATTTAAAAGAAGCTTAAGGTTTTTTTTTTGGATAAGCACAACAAGGAGTCTTGCAAATGCATTCTCTAAAGTATATCATCTGTAATGTTTGATGTTTTAGAGACAACCCCACATGATACAGTTGGTGTTTTATTATCCTATATTAAATTATATAACAGGCTGATAACTGTAACGGACATAAAAATAAACGTTTGATCACATTAGTTTAGTTTGGGGAAACGCCATGTCCTAACTGATTGCTAGTAAACTGAGATATAAAATGAAAACTACCACAGAAGTGTTATATATTTGTAATTTATAAAAGTTATGTTCACACGTTTTGTATGATTCATTGAATAACAAAACACTTTATTATATATAGCTATCCAGGGAACACTGCACAACAATGAAGATTCTCTTGTTATTTATTTAGTTTAAATATGTTTCTGACACATACATGAGTAACACATACAAGACTGCGAAGGTGTGGAGAAAGGTGTGTTTTTTGCCTTGTGTAATTTTCCTTTATGCATTTTTATGTTTAATTTTCATTTATTTAAGGACAATAAAAATCAAGACAGACAAACACCACAATTATAAGCATAACACAATGAAGATTCAATTGTGATATTTAGTGTCACAATTGAATCTTCACTAAAAATGTTAGTGACGGAGAAAGTCAGAGAAAGTGATGTTAGTGACAAAAATACAGTAAAAATTATAGTTTACTTTGGGAACATATATACAGTTTATATATGCTATTGGAATTGAAACGACAACGAATCTCCTCCTTATCCACGAATAATTGAATAAAATGCAAAAATATGTGATCAATTTTACAGATGAAAACACTGCCCGTTTTCCACAAATACCAAATACAGATACAAAGCTTACCAGAAAGAAGTATACAGTTGTGTTGTTGAAACAGACCGAAGACCGGGTTCCTTTGCAGTGTTTTAACCATGTTTTTTCTCCATGTGAAGAACCCATATGTAAAAAACAACTACATTTCCCAGCATGCCCAACCGGAAACAAGTCCGTAGCTTATTTCGGTCCCGCGTGAAGACATGATCCAGCGTGTTCCAAACAACTTCTACAACACCTCTCAAAACTGCCCTAAAACGGTTAACTTTATAATTTATTTTGAAACTGCATTAATGTGTTATTTGCAGATTGTCTGACGGGTTGGATCACAGGCCTCAGATTTATCAAACAAGATGAATGTCGCGAATGAAAATGAAGGAGCGAACAAGTCCAATAACAAACAGAAGAAAGAGGGCAAGAATCGACCTTTTAACTTTTCAGTTCACCCTAAACGTCATGTGGCTCTGAGACTGGCCTACCTGGGATGGGACTACCAGGGCTTTGCAGTTCAGGACAACACAGACAACACGGTGGAGGCCAGACTGTTTGAAGCCCTCCTCAAAACTAGACTCATCCAAGACAGACAGAGTTCCAACTATCACCGCTGTGGACGCACGGATAAAGGGGTCAGCGCCTTTTCTCAGGTAGTAGTAGTAGTAGTAAGTAATCTTTATTTATATACCGCCTTTTCACTGCACATCGGAGTCTCAAAGCGGTTTACAATTGTTATTTTTGGGAGCGGGGCCAGTATGCCAGACCTATTGCACATATTTTTAGTGGTAGGGGAAACCGGAGCACCCGGAGGAAACCTACGCAGACACGGGGAGAACATGCAAACTCCACTCAGAAAGGCCCTGGTCTGACCGGGATTCGAACCCAGGACCTTCTTGCTGAGAGGCGAGAGTGCTATCCACTCAGCCACCGTGCCACCCTCAGGTCTGTCCATCCTCATTACAGACATTACAGAGATTTTTAGATAACCACAACGTGTCCCTATACTAGAATAAATAATGAAATGACTTATCATATCAACAGGCTTTTTGGCTTGACTTATCCTGATTGAGATGGACAGATGTGTGTGTGATTTGGAAGTCAATTCTAACAATAAGAGTAGTAAAATAATATGGACTGGACCTGCTTTATCATCAAAACAATTAACAGTAAATGGGTGATGACTCAAATATACATTATAAAGGAATCCACTTTAGAATTAATTCATAAAATCCTTCTCATTAAGCTACACTATACTGAGGTCTGGACCCATGAACCCCAATGCTTGTACAGCCATCTGTATTAGCATGCATGTGTGATGTATTATTGTTTTTTGTTACAGGTCATAAGCATCGACTTGCGCTCCAATCAGTTTTGTGGAGGACTGGGTGTGATGCTCCCTGATGATGCGCCTGCTGCTTTCAAGGATAAAGCCGCCGTGCCAGAGCTTCCTTATGTAAAGATTCTGAACAGAGTGTTGCCCCCGGCCATAAGGGCTTTGGACTGGTCACCTGCAGCAGAGGGCTTCAGCGCACGTTTCGACTGTCAGTCCAGAACTTACAGATACTATTTCCCCAGAGGGTGCCTGGATGTAGACCTGATGGCTGAAGCTGCCAAACGGTGGGTGAAGCATGTGTTAAAGGTGCACTACGTCCTCTGAGGTCTGATACCGGCTTGTCTCTGTGGAGATATCCGGAATATTCCAGACAAAAATGAGCCATTGACAGACCTACCACCATACACATTATATAACTTTGAGCCTAAAATAATATCCTTTTGCAGATATGAAGGAACACATGATTTTCGTAACCTGTGTAAAATGGACGTCGGTAATGGAGTCCTACAGTTTGAGAGGACCATCCTGTCTGCTTCAGTGAGGCCGGCTAAGTCCCAGTTAACCAGCGGCACCAACCCATATGAGCTCTTTATATTTGAGATTAAAGGACTAGCCTTCCTATACCACCAGGTACATTTTATATGTATATTTGGAATTTATTCATTTGCATTGCGTTATCCTCTCGCATGTTTATAAGGGAATCATTATTTGATATTGGGCAGGTGCGGTGCATGATGGCAGTGCTTCTTTTAATTGGGCAAAAACTGGAAAACCCCGACATTATTGACCAACTTATGGATGTCATGAAAAACCCAAGGAAGCCCCAATACAGGTATTATGACCAATTTAAAGTTCTGAAATGTTTTGCAGTGCACTTTTTGATCATCATTTTGTGCTCTCTGCTATAGCATGGCTGTAGACTACCCTCTAGTTCTGTTTGATTGTCATTTCGATGGACTCAGTTGGACACAAGAGAAGGAGGAAGTGAGCTATGTACTGGCCACCTTACAGCAACATTGGACACAAAGTGCAGTCAGAGCAAGTGTCCTCTTTGGGATGCTTGAAGACTTGGAGGCAAAAGGTAGAATTACATTCAAAAATCCCAAAATGTTTTGCCTTTGTTAGTTTACACATGTTATATTGATTCCCAGGCGCTGAACCACCAAAAAACTGCTTGCTTCTTGAAGGCTCGAGGCAGAAAAACTATAAGTCCTTATTGGAACGGCCTTGCTGTGAGAGCTTGGAGTCGAGGATAGATCATTTTGTAAAAAGGGGAAGACTGGAACGAGAAGGAGACAATGGAGATGAAGCTGTTTATAAAGGAAAACGTTCAAAATATTCCCACAATTCCACTAGTCCTGTTGTGGACCCTGGAGAGAAAGAATAATACAGTAGCATGTTTTTTTTATTTATTTTTTTAAGACAACGTGTAAATACTTTTATTTCAAGGGACTCTTGATTTTGTTTAATGTGAATAAACAACGTTTGGGAGTGTTTTCTGTGTGTTTTGTCTTAGTCGGAACTATTGTTGGCACTCGTATGTACTCGGACGTACATTTCTGTTGCGCACGTTGAAGCTAAGCTAGCTGTCAGTCGAGTGAATGTTAGTTATTAAAACATTGTAATTCCTCTTATATAAACGCTAACATTACCTGTAAATAATATAACTTTAAGTTATGGCAGTAGTGGTGTCGGGACGTGTTGTTAATGTTGTGACCGGAACTTTAATTATTTTAGCCTTTTCCTGCTAATATCGCAACATTCTGCTTGTTTACCACAGCTCTGCCAAGTCCACTGGAAGCCTAAATAAAGTAGTTTAAGGAACACAGCATTTCGAAGGTAAAGCAACGAGTAAAACTAATTATGGAGTTTGCAAATAACCATTGACCTGATCATTAATTGGAAAAGTGCCAATGCTTGATGCAAACTCTGCAGGTTTCTGTGTTTGCTACGAATAATACTAATCTGTTGGCTATTAATTTGTTTCTGCAAGAGCCTACAGCAGTTTGTTATGTATGCAGCAGGGGGCGCTTAATTACTCTTATACACGGTGTTTCTGTCACTTTGTTATTCTAGCATAACATTCTTGTCATGCATTTTCATTTCCATCACTAACTGAACAAAGATACTTTAATGATGTATTGAAATAGTTGTCGGTTTAAGTTATTGCTATTTGCTTGCAGGGCATTTAGAATCTCAATGTTAATTGTGTTAATTTGATTTTTCCCAGTGTCTCCCTCAGGATGTTTCTGGTGGGTCTGACAGGAGGCATTGCTTCAGGGAAGACCACTGTGTCTTCAATGCTGCGTGAGCTCGGCTGTCCGATTATTGATGCCGATGTTGTAGCCAGAAAAGGTGATGTGCTGCTCTTTATAGAATTATGTAGAAATATTGCACACCATCATATTTGAGGTCTATGTACTTGTGACCTACAATCCTATATATGAAGATGAGGGAGTAGCTCATTGTTGGGAAATGTTATGTGTATTATCATGTTAATAAATGTGTGTAGATTAGTAGGGTCTAGTCTAGTTAACCAACTCATGCATTTAGGGTGGCGAGAATGCAGAATTCTTTCAGCCCCCCAGGCAAGAGTGAAAGACGAGAAGAGTAAACAAGCAGGAAGCCAGAAAACATCTGTGTTGGGTTGGTCACATACAAGAAGACACTTCTTCTGATGGATGAGAGGATTGTTTTCTAACCTAGAGTTCAATAGGTCATATTGTCACATGTGTTTTAGAACTTTGGTATAAGGGGCGAGGCCTGGCTATCAGGGTCTGTCTTTTGTGCTTTGCCTGTCGTCCGCAGCAGACCCAGGCTTCTCTCTCTCTGCTTGTCTTTTATATGTATTCTGTTTTATATATTAAACCTTCTTTTATATCTATCTAAGTTTGTAATTTCCTTCCTTTCATCGGGCGACTGTTTAAGGAAACCTGGCTGAACTAGCATAACATTCATGGGTTGATCTAATGGTTTATTAGTGGAGCAGCTGTAATGGACATAAAGAGGTTGAGCCTTTAGGAGGTTTGTTAAGACTGACCCTCAGAGATGGTCAACATGAATCACTGCTGTCTTTGCTGACCGCCGGCCATTAGTTTCTCTAATGTCATGATATAAAGGTCATAAATAGGTGACCAGTGAAGAAGAATGATGCACTTGGTGTTGCAATTAGTAATGATTCTAACACATGGTTTATAGAACAGTACCTATAAATGTTGGAATTTGATTTGAAGTTATTGTGATTCAGTTGTGGAACCAAATACTCCTGCCTATCATCGTATCGTATACCATTTTGGAGCAGAAGTGCTGCTAGAAAATGGAGAGATTGACAGGCAAAAGCTGGGTCAACTCATTTTCAGCAACGCAGAGAAGAGGAAGCTGCTGAACTCCATCACCCACCCAGAGATCCATAAAGCCATGCTTAAGCAGATACTGTTCTACTTCCTTCGAGGTGAGTGACGAGTCGTCTCTGCCCACATCATTAAAGTGAGTATTGGGCAATTTGTCACAAAGGATCTGAACCACTGTCAAGACAAATCTAAAGATAATTGAAAATATATGTTTGAAATTGTCTTTGAATAAGAATAACATTGTCTTTGCCCAAGTCTCAAAAGTGTAGAGTTTGTATTAGAATGACTTTCTCTACAAACTGTTTGTTCCAGCAAAGTCATTAAGCTAATAGTGTTATATTTTAGTCCGGAGTGTAAAAATGTGTTTGCTCTAATTAAATCTGTTTCGCTGTGCTTCCTCTCCTAAGGGTACCGCTACGTGGTGCTGGATGTGCCCCTTCTCTTTGAGACCAGGCGCCTCACGCAGTTCCTCAACCACACTGTAGTAGTTTACTGGTTAGTGAGTGCCTCCTTTTTATTCAATTATCTCCAAGCTGTTTGTTTACACATGTCTGAATTCAACAAGATGAATCACGCTTTAGCTTTTTGACTCAATATGCCTATTAAATGTTCTCTTTTACTATTTTTACTATTCTTTGGCTTCATTCTCCACTGCTTTTTCATCCTTGTTTGTCTGACACTGGATTTTTTAACAAGCTACTCCAGCAGCACCATAAATAACCCCCCCCCATTGTCGGTTCCTTTTCAGTGACCCTGCCACTCAGCTGCTGCGCCTGATGCAGCGGGACGGCTTGACCCAGGAGCAGGCGGAGCAGCGTGTGGCCGCCCAGATGCCCCTCAATGAGAAGCGCGGCCTGGCCAACCACGTTATCGAGAACTCTGGCAGCCGCGAGGACACCCATCGACAGGTCCTTAAGCTCCACACCAAACTGGAAGACTCTATGGACTTTCTTTTAGTGAGAGTCATCACCATTGCTGCCACTGCCAGTCTGGGTGGGATACTGCTGTATGCTGCAAAGTTGTTATTGTCTTAACAGTGAAAAGGGCTCTTTCTTTGAGTCCAAGTAGGAAATAAGTGATGAGGATTAGAAGGGAAAGCACAGGTTTTTACTGTGAGATTAGTGTCGAATGCTGAGAGCAATGGTAATGCATTCTTTAATACATTATTAGCACAACATGCACTGATAAAAATGGTTTAGTGTGAAAAGTTTTCAGTGCAATTTTTACTGAAGTAGAATCTATCGGTAACTTTCTCTGATTATGTTCATAGGCCTCTGTTTCAGTTACGTTTAAGGAAAATGCCTTTTGATATGCACCACTTCACTTTTGTCATACCATTGAAACCCTATTGATGAACTTGTATCGATGTATAGATACAACTAAGCACCAGCTTTTCTAAAATGCTGTACTTTATTTTCAATTTTAGTTCTTGAAGTCACTTTACACCTTGAAGTTTGCTGCAATGTTAATTATGAAGATAATCTCTGAATCACCAAATGCCACAGTAGCACGCACACACAAACACGTTAGATTGGATGAAATAGCTGCTCATAGGGAGAGGAATCCAAATTGCAGAAAAACTGAAAACTATAATTTTTTGCTAAATGTCAAGATTGTGTTAATGACCGCATAATGACGAGAATGTATTTGATGGAATCGGTTTTTATGATGAAAAAAATTGGATTTCCCTGGAATTGATATGTTCTCACTTTTATTTTCATGCACACTCACTTGTAACTTTTAAGAATGCTGCTGATTCTAACGATAAATCAAACTTTGAAACATTTTCTCCTTTAGTGTCTTTTTTTAAAAATGATTATTGAATATTTTCCCACAGTATTTGTTGCATGTCATTCCTAAACATTGTTTCCGTCCTGGCTCTGTCCTCCTGAGGTTAAATGAGAGTGCGGCCACAGGATGTGCTGATGACATCATCTGGCACCGAGACCCTCCTGGCTTCTCCGTGGTCCGGGTCTGAGCCGTGTGAGCGTCTCTTCTCTGCAGAAATAATGTAAAGTGAAGGGGCTTCTGTGGGCGGGGGTCAGCCAAGCGACACTCCACAGATCTGACACATGCATCACACACAAACATCCTGAGACAATGAGCAACTCCTATACATCCATGACTCTATATATTTAATCTTATATATGTTTATATATGAATGATCAAATAAAGTGTGTGTTTGGATCAGAGACTCTGATGACTCATGACTGTGCTTTTCACTATTTAGAAAAATCTTCTATAAATAATTTACCAATTTATCTTAATTGTAATGTTTTAAATTATAGTAATAAAACCATTTACTAGAACATTAGTCGTGTTCCACTGGTTCAATTTTGTTTCAAATTCTGGTTCTGTTTCAGAAGTTTATTTTGAACATGATCTGTTTTATAAGGGCGACAGTGGCTCAGTTGGTAGAGCATTGGCCTTTGAGCCTGAAGGTTGTGGTGGCATAAGACCTTCTTCACCGACTCCCACTGATGACTGCTGCCGTTGTGTCCTTGGGCAAGACACTTAACCCCACTTTGCCTGAAGCCCCCACTGAAAGATCTCAGCTCCTGTGGACTCAGCACCTGCAGGAGGATCAGTGAGGGGCTGGTGCTCTGTGACTGGGTGCAGCTCTGACTGCCACCCCCCCGACCCAGAAATGGATTAAGGGGAAGAAAATGGATGGATCTGTTTTATCCATCCATCCATTTTCTACCCTTTAATCCATTTCTGGGTCAGGGGGGTGGCAGTCAGAGATGCCACCCAAGTCTCATAGCACCAGCCCCTCACTGACCCTCTGCAGGTGGTGAGTCCACAGGAGCTGAGATCTTTCAGTGGGGGCTTCAGGCAAAGTGGGGTTAAGTGTCTTGCCCAAGGACACAACGGCAGCAGTCATCAGTGGGAGTCGATGGAGAAGGTGCATAGGTGGGATCTGTTTTATATGAATTATAAAATATGCACTTAATAAAGTTACTTTGCAACTAGTAATATGTTATTATTGCATTTTTCTAATAAGTTCCATTACTTACTTTAGAAATGAATATATTACAGAAGTTACTTTTGTAATGTATTTTTATTTATGTTTTATATTTACTTGTGTTTAGTAGTAGTGTGATAATATTAAAAGAGGATTAAACATGTTTAATCTTGAAAATCTGCACACGTTTGTACATGTTCATACATATGTAAATACAACGTAAACAATTGAAATGACAAAGGGTTAGAAAAGTGATTTTCTGATAATAAGACGAGAGCTTGAACATGCATGCTCTATTCTTAACCTTTGCCTTTTCAAAGCAGAGTCTGTGATGTCGCATGCTTTCCTGAGCAGCCAGATGTTTAGCCGAGATTTTCAATTCTGCTTTTCCTCAGTTTCTTGTGGTACAGACAGAGGCCAGATGCGCACGGAGCAAAGCAGGACTATATCTGTACCAGAGAGTGTGAACGCTCCGGGCGCAGACGGTGCTGGTGTCTCGCCGTTGAATATAAATTGGGTTTAATTCTGAAAGTCTCGAGTGAAAAGGTGAACATCATGAGTTGTCTTGTTACACTTGTATGAGAGTGTAACCTGGTTGTGTTGTGTGTGTGTGTGTTGTGTGTGTGTGTGTGTCCTCTCTGCAGGAGCACAGCAAATAATTTGGCCACGGCGGGGGGTAAAGTCGTCCATAATCTCAGCACCGTGTTCAGAGCGATGTCCCGGGGCACAGTTTGTCGACATTTTGGAATCTCTTGTCTGAGTGCGTTCTCATCATCTCTGTCCTTTGCCTGCTGCCACAAGGCGAGGTATCCGAACACGACAAACACAAATGAACACATACTTTCTGTTTGCACATTCACTTGAAATCAATCTAAACTGTTTCCTGTTAGCGGTGCATAGTAAAACGTCACCTTTGAAGATATCAGGATTTTCTTGAGCCGTTTTCTGTAAATAGATCACATTTGATATCCTAGAATAGTATTTATTATTTATACACAAAGTTGGCTCATCTTCTGTTCAAATCATTCAGACAAACAGTGTGAGAAATTACATAGAATGTGTTATCCTATGGGGGAAAAACTGGTACCAGCTACAGACAAGAACAAGATGGGGATCAGCCTACATGTGTGTCAGTCTTTTACCATGTGTTATATTTTAGAGCAAACTGTGTATTTCTGTGGTTTTATATTAAAATCATACACATGTTTGAAATAAATATGGGGCGACAGTGGCTCAGTTGGTAGAGCATTGGCCTTAGAGCCTGAAGGTTGTGGGTTCGAGCCCACCACAAAACCTACTTCACGACTCCCACTGAGGACTGCTGTTGTTGTGTCCTTGGGCAAGACACTTAACCCCACTTGGCCTGAAGCCCCTACTGGAAAACCTCAGCTCCTGTGGACTCAGCACCTGCAGGAGGATCAGTGAGGGGCTGGTGCTGTGTGGACTGGGAGCAGCTCTGACTGCCACCCCCCCCGACCCAGAAATGGATTAAGGGGAAGAAAATGGATGGATGGATGATTGATTGCATAATACACAAATACATTCATACATTTACTCTACCAACTTAATTACTAATACTTTGACTTCCATTTCTGATTTGGGGTAAAATGAAAGTCTAAATAAATTGTGCATAACTACTGGGAGTGAAATGATTAACTCGGGGCTAGTATTTTCTTGCTACACTGAGCTGAGGCGCTGCAGGGCTGTAGCCGCTCTGTATTCACTGGGGGTTGTGTGAAGCTTTTCAGCTGTTGCTTTTCAGTACATAACCAATTAATGCAAGTCACTCGCAGTTATTGAGAATTAAAGAGACATTCTTAAATGTAAATGGGAGGTTAGAGGAAACAATAAGTCTTGCACATGTATGTTTTTCTGATAGGGATTTCATTTCCTGGACAAAGACAGTGATTGTGTATGGATTTGCAAATTGGAGCAATCTATGAGCTTCACTCCTCGCCTTTTTATGAAGAATTTGATTGATTTTGTCCTTAACCCTCATTTGAAAATCCTGTTGGGTCAGGGCAGGGTTCATTTTTTGTTTTTTACAGAACTAAGGCATTTTTCTGTAAAAGTATTTAATGTGTTCTAAAATTAGCATGTATCTTTTCTCACTTGTTGCCTTGAAACATCAGCATTTGCCCAGCCCAGTTATAATTAGAATAGAGCCTGGAACATTTGTATGTACTGATAATTAGACAGCAGAACCGTCTCTCACCTACAATTATATTTTGTGATGTATAAAAGGCTCACATTGCTAATTGGCAAGTGTTTTTTTCCCCTCAAATTCAACTAAACTTGAAGACATATGGTGGTCCTACTAAAACAAAGTAAGTTTTAAAGAATCTTTCATGTTAGGTTCTGGGTGGGGGCTACACCTGTTGATGAGGCCTTCTGACCGACACACACTCTCTTGGACCTCACTCCCACTGCCCTCTGACTCACTACCAAACTTTAAAGGAGCAGTGTGTAAAAATCTGGCCAAAAGTGGTACTGCAGCCTCTCCCACTCTCCCTGACTCAGGTTGCCAGATATGCAGACGAATCCAGCTGGGACCATAACAGCTGAATAGACAAGAGTTTTGTCAACAACAAATCTATAACCAACACCTTTTTCACTAAGGCTCCAATAATAATCCTGGTTTTATATCTTGTTTTGTCGTTAATGAGACTTTCTTCTGCGCCACATGGTACTTTACCAGTGAGATTAGCTCGACACGGTGAGTTCTGGCGCCCGGATCATGGACTTTCTGATAGGAAAAACGGTGGAGGGCAGGACATCGAAATTAATACAATAACAAGATTTAGGGGCTGAAAAACTAATTTAGAAATCCAAATATCTCTGAACTATATTTATCAGTTAAAGAAGTATTGGAAAAGAGCAGTTTATTATTATGACAGATTAGGGCCCTTTAAAGAAGCTATACCCGATTTTTTTTCTAAGTAGTTCATAAAAATGCTTTTTACTACATACAAGTTGTATCATAATACATCATTTAATTGAAAACTTGAGGTAATTGATTCAGCTGTGTAAGAATTACAAGCAGTGAAAAGTGCTGAGTAGAGTCTGAGCGGGCCGCTCTTTCTCCTCCGCTCACAGAACGAGCAGCGAACAGCCTGCATCCTCTAGCCCCTACAGCGCTGCTTAACACTAGGGCTTCGACTTCAAAATTCGAATATAATTCTAAAATAAAAAAATATGAACAAAATAATTGAATAAAAAAATGTGAACAAATATTAGACAACCCTTGTAATTCGAAATGTATTTAATGACTGCAAATAAAATAGTTAGCTCCCAAAGGTTTCACCGGGACGTGCTAGGCAGGTAACAGCTAAGCTAGCTAGTTGTTTCATGGTAACTTCCGGGTTTTTCGCAATCGCTTTTTGTCACTTTAAAACAGTATTTTTGTCATGAAAACGTTAACAGCAAATTCTGAAATCATCCGTGCATGTGTGTTAAGGATGTATATGTGTACCGTATTGTCCGATTGACCTTTAATGGTGTTGATTGATAGATATGTAGTTGTTTATTGAGCGTGGCTAGCTCCGCTAGCTCCGTTGGCTTCTCTACACAGGCAAGTGTGTAGTGACAGGCGCTGAAAGCTTCTTGTACTTGCAGAGTAATGGCAGTATTTTACACACCTGAATTACAAACAGAGGTTGCATTGGGGCTTCGGTCATTATTGGTTTGAGAGTTCTGTTATCAAGAAAAAATGATCGGAAGAATTGCATTCAAGTCAATGGAGTGCTGCTGCTTTGAGGAGCTCTATAACAAATTATAATTAAATATTAGAATATATTCTAAGGTTTTAAATTAATACATTCGGACGCGAAACTAGCGGTATTCTTTTACTTATATATTGTGTTAGCAGTGCGTTGCTTTAGTACCATTTCATCTGTGATTGTTGCACAGCTTACAAGTTGTGCTAATGCTAATGTTAGCATACGTATCAGATCGCAAATAAAACTAGGTGGCTCTGTGTTATGAGAGCGCAGGGGAAATGAGAAGCCATTGAGCGAGTTGGGGGGCGGTGCTAAACATTCAAACATTGCAGAAACGGGTATAGCGCCTTTAATGATGACGGATTAGGGCCCTTTAATGATGACAGATTAGGGCTCTTTAATGACGACAGATTAGGGCCCTTTAATGATGACAGATTAGAGCCCTTTAATGATGACAGATTAGGGCCCTTTAATGATGACTTGACATGAAAATCTTACATATTGCTACTTTAAATTAGTCTCAAAACTCATCTTTTCAAACATGCTTTTCTGTTTTGATTGTATTTTATTCCCCATGTGAAGCGTCTTTGAGTGTCCAAAAAGCGCTGTACAAATTTGATGTATTATTATTATTATTTGTGTGCGTCCTGTGTGTAACAAGTGCATTGCTGTTGAACTCTGCCCTCTCCCCATCACAGAAGAAGCCCTGTTCTCTGTCTCCACGGCCCACGTCAGCGCTGATCCGCCGCAGTCCCACCACTGAGCTGAGGAGAAGGGACAGACCACACTGCAGCGTCCCGGGCCACATGACTCACTCTGTCCCCACGCGTTATCCCACAAAGGGAAGAGGACCGCGGCCTGAGTCACGCTGCTGGACCGGCCCCAGATGTGGCCCCTCCACCACCACACAGGCAGGTTGTATGTAAAGCTCCAGATTCCCACCGTCTTGTGAAACGCACGGGGAACGACATGCAACACACGCTTTCTGTGTGTGAGCTTCGCCCTCAGAGAGAACACTGTGGTGTGTAGGCGGCTGTGACTCTGACGTTTACCTTTAGTTTTACAAAACCTCTTAAGTTCAAGAGCATTAGGCCCGTCTCATACATAGTGGATAACCCTTTAGGCGCCAAAGCATTCTTCTTACATCTTTTCGATTTTTTTTTCTTTTATTTCTTACTAATTTCGCCGGCTTCTCGTTAATCTACTGAAAACCTCTTACTAAGCAGATTTATCGCCTAAAGGGCTCGAATTGGTTGTTGATATTGTTGCTCCACATAAGATAAGATAAGACAAACTTTATTGATCTCACAATGGAGAAATGTATAAGATTCTTCATAGACCATTTTACAAAACACACAACTATAAACGCACACACAAATGGTGATCCCAAACCCATTTCTTATTGTCTCATTGAGATGGGAAAAGAATTGGTTGTAACGAGCTCAGCCCATGGGATAAAGCTGATGTATTTCCTGCTGATAGTCGAGGCTCATCAGGGCTTTGTCCGTTTGACACAGTCTGTGAAGATCGATTCACCTCCAATCATGTTCTTTGTGTTCAGTTTGAGGCTCTGAGCTGGAGATCAGTTAGAACAGTTTTTCAGCCAAGTCCAGGTATGAGGTGATTGTTGATGTTTTGTTACTGTCACATCATTTTAAAATCATTTGCCAGAATTTACTAAAGTACGATGTAATGTCATATGGGATACAGACCTTGGATTATTGGTCTGTAATGGATAAATACTATAGATACTGTATAAATCATATTGAGCATTTAGTTAAATAAAATGTTTGCTAACCTTCGTGTTCACCCAATATGGTTTTCATCATTTGCATATTTGTCAGTTAAGTATCTCGGTGGCAGTGCACTTTCTCACTCTGGGCATTTCACTTTTTTCCCACTGTTTTGTTGAGTTTTTGCTTGCTGATTTAGGAGGGTCATAGGGTATTAAGGCATTGGTAGGCAAACCCCGGCCCATGGGGTTTAAATACAATATTATCCCTCTGTGCTGTGTGCAGAGCTGCGAAGCCACACTTGTGCACCTTGCTCTGCCGTGATTTATTATATAATAGTTAATATCATATGTAGAAAGAACATTGAAAATAAGGTCTGGCCTTCGACAGCTGTCTGATATGTGGCCCTCATGAACTTTGAAACTTTGCCCATGCCTGGTGTAAGGACTGTGACTATCCAGGGCACTTTATGAACATTTATAGACATTGGTCATTCCACTCATGTATGTACTTTATTTGAACAGGGACAGTGTACAGTTAAGCATTAACACAAAAGGAGAGATGCATGTACCAGGTTATAGCAGAGATGCTAATTTCCACCTGGAGTCCCTGGGCAGGCTGGTGTTATGTTCATTTAAACTGATTACAATGTAGATGGATACATGACTGTGTCTTACATTTACAGGCTTTAAATAACATCATTCACAAAACATTAAGTTTAATAACAATAAATAAAGCTCCCCAATTTCTACTAGAATATTACACTCACTCACTCACTCACTCACTTGTGCGTGCAAACTTGCTTTTTCAGAAGCCATTTCTTAGTCAGCCAAGAAAATGTTTTAAATGTAGCACACGCAATGATCTCTGTGGGCAGTGTGTTCCACTGACTCATGGCCGTCACAAAAAAAGCAGATTTAGCAAAAGTTGTTCTACATTTTTTGACGCTGCATTCTCCTCTAGAAGTGGATCGAGTGGTTCTGGTCATTTTATCTGCACTCAATGAAACAAATTTTCTTAGAGGAGGTGCACTAACACCGTGGATAATTTTAAACAGCAAACAAACATTGGGGGGGACAGTAGCTCAGTTGGTAGAGCATTGGCCTTTGGGCCTGGAGGTTGTGAGTTCAATTCCCACCATGGGACCTACTCTAACTGCTCCCACTGATCACTGCTGTCGTTGTGTCCTTGGGCAAGACACTTAACCCCACATTTCCTGAAGCCCCCCGCTGAAAGATCAAGGCTGTTTCACAATTGATGGAGCAGCCATCTTCCTGTGGACTCACCCCCTGCAGAAGATCAGCGAGGGACTGGTGCTAAAGAAAAGAGAGCTTTAAACAAGGTGCTCCGCTCTGCAAAGAGGACTGTAGGCTGTGAACTTCCTGTCCTGGAGTCTCTTTATCAATCCAGACTTTTTAACAGTGCCCTGAGAATTATCAATGACTCTTCTGGCCACCCAGGAAAAGCCTTGTTCCAGCTTTTTCCCTCTGGCAGAAGATACTGTTCTCTGAGATGCAGGACATCTCGTTATGCTAATAGTTTTTTTCCACGAGCTGTTATCAGTTTGAATAGAGCACTTTAATGTTTTTGCACTTGTATAGATCTGTTTTAAGTTGGTCAACTTCACAGTGACATTTGTTTACTGTTTGTAAAATTTGTTTTATTTTTGTCTTTTAATGTTGTTTTATGTCTGTACTTGTCCTGTGCACACTGGGAACTTTTACTAATGTATTCCAATGTAGTGTTACTGCAAATGGCGAATAAAATGAATCTGAATCTGAATCTGAATGAGCGTTGGGTGGCAGCTCTCATTGCCACCCCCCCGACCCAGAAATGGACAAAGGGGTTGAAAATGAAATGAAATGAAATGGAAAAACAAACATTGGAGTAAAATGTTAGGTTTTCAAAGTTGAGAAAGTCATATTTAGAGAGGATGGGACAGTGGTGGTACCGCCTGGACTTCTTATCATGGATCTTAAGGGCACACTTGTACAGTGACTCGAGAGGTCCCAGAGTGGTTTTACAGCCCTGAGACCAGCTCGAGACACAGTATACAAAATGTGACAGGATCATGGAGTTCAGATACAGATGGGCCGCCTCAGCGGTGAGTGACCCCCGAATGTATCTGAAGTTGGCCAAATTAAACTTAAGAGTGTTACGGAGTTTCTTTACATGATGTTTGAAGGTCAGGTTTCGATCCAGGGTCACTCCTAAATATGAGAATACATCAACATTTTTAATTTTACTGCCATTAATAAAAATATCTGGACAACTGATATGCTTACCTCGGTTTGTAAAATACATTGAAACGGTTTTGTCTGTGTTTAATGTCAGACAGTTTTGACACAGCCAGTCAGCAACATTTTTCATTTCATTTGTTAATTTTGTGGCCACATCACTTTCGTTTTTGCCATGAACAAACAACACTGTGTCGTCAGCATACATGATGACATTTGCAGTGCAGACAGAGGGGAGGTCATTTATATAAATGCTAAAAAGCAGAGGCCCCAAAATGGAGCCCTGCGGCACTCCCATGGTGTAGTTTTTGAGTGGAGAGAGGGTGTTGTTCACTCTCACACTCTGCTGTCTGCCACTGAGGTATGACTTCAGCCAGTTTACTGTCTGGTTAGAGAGGTGGAAATTAGTGAGTTTGCTCAGGAGGATGTCATGACTGACTGTGTCAAAAGCTTTTCGGAGTTCGAGGAACACCGCCCCCACCACTCCTCCTTGATCAAGGCTCCTATGTCTCTTGACTCACCTTACCCATTATTGTATTTCCTGTGTCTAATGGTTTGATTCTCTAATCTTGTTGGCGAATTGACAGTTTTGTAGAGTCCTCCAAGATGGCTGCTGCTGTGAATTAGGACTAAAACAAAATAGATTATTAAAACAATGAATTGCTCGCTCATCGGCCGTAGCATCCTCGGTCCTGTCGAATATAAAAGCAGTTTATTCTCTCACAGATGTGGCGCCTTGGGACCGTAGTTTCAAGCCTCATCAAATCCCCGTTGTTGGTGCAGGAGCCCATTCCAAAGCCACTGGTGCGACCATTGGTGTGTTTAATCGTAGGCAGGTGCTGTTTTAGTGGGCGGAAGGGTGTGAGTGTGTGAGGGGGTAATTTAGCCTGACAGTTAAAAGTATCTATCTCTAATTCGGATCTCCCCCCGGTGAGGAACAACACTAAGCCCACATTAACGTCACTCGGGGGAGGTGGAGACGTGTCCGAGGCGCTTGTCCTCACCCCTCGAAGACAAAAAGGCGATCTCACGTGCGCGCCTGACCTAGACATATGCAAAAAACACATTACACACGCTCTGCAGGCAACTGATAAGCTCTCACGCCTCAACAATTGGCCCCTGTAAATGTCAGGCCGGAGCGCATCCTCGTACTGATAGTGAGTGGGCGGATGGGAGCAAATGAATCAAACATTTCCCTCAGTTACGTATGACTAAAGTGGAGATTAGCCAAATTGAAACATCTTAATCTTTGCAAATCCTGCATAGAGAAAAACAGACGCAGTGTAGACAAAACTAAATTGTAGGAATGTTGCAGAAAGTGGGGCAAGTAATGCGGATTATCACGACCAAGCTGCTTAAGAGGGGTTGCTTATCTGGAACATTTAAACCTGCTTAGAAATAAGATGAATACTGAGGTGATACGTCGACGTGCAAAGTGCATTTACGATTTCATACCATACTGATTATATTGTTTATTTTTATTTAAGCTGGGGTTCCTACATTTCAAACCACTAACAGACAAATGTAATAAGATCTAGTTTTTTTTGCTCTAAAACAGTAGAAAAAATAGCTGCTAAAGCAAATGTATTTCTTTTTTTTTTAGATCAGTTGTTGAATTTCTCCAAAAGGGATGAATAAAGTATCTATCTATCTACCACCCTCGCTCAGCCAATCCGCTCGCAGGGAACATGTGGAAATATATAGTAATAATAATAATCCAGACACTGTGGTGATAAACTGTAGCCACAGCTGCCCTTGGGCACACTGACAGCAGCAAGGCTCCTCCAACCACCACCAGCCATTCACACACACACACACACACACATTCTTATGTTGCCTGAGGACACAACAACTGGCACTGTGCAGCCACAGCCACTCCACTGTGGCACCTGGTGTTCCCAGAGGTCATCCATCATAGTTCTAACCAAGCCCCACCCTGCTTAGCTTCAGAGCCCTGACTGGATCTGACTTTCACCTGCAGGTTTGGCCACAGTATAGAAGGTAACATGTTTCCTAATAAAATGAAGACAGAATGTAGTGTTCTGATCTGTTTACAGACTTTCTGTTGTGGCAAACATTATTTATTGAACTCAAAAGCAGTTGAACACCAGTGAATTTAGCTAACACCGTACTTGACATAATTTATCTTACTCCATTCCATTCCATTATCTTCTTCATCCGTTGCTGGGTCGCGGGGGCAGCAGTCTAAGCCGAGACGCCCAGACTTCCCTATCCACACACACTTCCTCCAGCTCCTCCAGGGGGACCCCAAGGTGTTCCCAGGCCAGAGAGAGACTCCGGCGTGTCCTGGGTCTCCTCCCGGGGAACACCCAGGACACTATGTAACTCTCAAACGGCATATGTTATGTTGAAACTACTTTGCTCAGTCCGAAACTAGCTCCAGGAGTCCCTCATCTCTGGTTAATCTCAACGTTAAGAGTTCAATTCAAAGCACACACTGTACATCTCTCCTGTCAATAAATCCAACACAGAACTCATAACATATTGGTAATTAGACATTTCCGTGGTTGTGTTGTAGCTGTTGGTGTCTGGTGCGTCCCTGGTTCTCCATGACACATCAGATGAGGCGTGTGCGCAGTGTCCTGTTGGGGAGGTCACCGACCCAAAGAAGCGTCTTGAGGGGAGGTTATGCAACAGCAGCAAGAGGGATCTCCCGTTTCTGATGTGCACTGCCACAATCTTCATTTGTTTTGTCTTATGTAAGAAGCTTGTCTGATGGCTAAGTACACTTTGCAGGAGTTATACATTGTTTTAAATGACGTGTTCTGCATTTGAACATGTGTTGGGAAAAGACTACATTTGTTACTTCCAGGATTAATATAATATAAATGATTTAATGGTTCGGTGTCAGTTACAGTGAAGACTTACTCTGTTGGTATTTCAAGGTTTGTCTGTTAATAAATATTCGTATTGGGATTGTCACCCTAAGAAAATAGATTTAGGAGATTTCTTAGAAGCAACATTGATATGACTTTTGTGTATAGTTTTATTTGATGTTTTTTATGGCAGCGAAAAAGCATAAAACATGCAACAGCTTCCATTTCCACAAACGTAAATTGCACCTCTCTTGTAGAACGGCCTTTTCGTCCTTGTTTCCATGGAAATGTGTTGTTGTTTTTGGCTTCTGTAGCTGTATTATCTTCTGTTGTTTCACATAAAACATATTTTTGGTTGTAGATATAGTGTTAATCACAGTGAAAACCTGTTATCACCATTTGATTCTTTCGGCTGAGGGCTGATAGGTGCTCACGTTTTCACTTCTCTGTCCGAAAAAGTCAGACAGAGAAGATCTAACTGACACTTAAAAAAATGCATGTGAAAGTCCAGTGATCGGACCAAACTGTTTTGAAAGCGAGGAAGTAGTTGGATGGACCTTATCACATTGTTCCATTTTTATGTGGCTTGAAAATCAGGTGCCTCAGCTTTAATATACGTGGGTCTGTTAGTCTGATAAAGTCTTGAAGAATACTAATGGTTTTTTAATAATAACTTGTCCTGGGGCACACAGCAGTGAGGCAACCAGTCTGTGCCTTCAGCTCCTCCGACCACCACCAACCATTCACACACACCCAACAGACTCTTTCTAATGGGGGTGAAGTGTCTTGCCTAAGGACACGTCAACAGTTTGGCACTTTACAGCTGCAGCCGCCCCACTGTGGCACCTGCTGTTTGTTGAGGTCTCACACAGACCTCAGCAAACACACAGTTTTGCAAGAAAAGTTTATAATGATCCTCCTATAATGTAAAAATATCATTTAACTGTGAAGTCTTTTCTCAGAAGAGTACGTTGTGTAACTTCTGTCTGCAGATGTTCAGATCACACTTAGTTCAATGATCTTTGATTCTGTGACATGTGCAGATGCATTCTCCCTCTGAGCCACAGGGGGCAGAGTGTGTCGCGTGTGTCCAGCGCCCTCTGGCTGCTCTGACCTCTGTCCAGGCACGAAGCTCCACATTTAATTGTGTCTGGAGGAAGTGGTCCATGTTGAAGAGACAAGCGAAAGTTTAGGCCACGGGGCTTTTTGGACCACATCAACTTTTCTCCACTGAAATACTTATTTTTCGTCTTTTTTTTAAACAACCAGCTCCGATTTAATTGAGAATGGAGTGCATTTGAAGATGGTGACATTCAGTTTATAGAGTTGTGTTTCTTTAATCAAAAAACAGCTTAACGAGTGGTGCTCATTATGATAGACAACGTGATCAATATATGAATGATATAAATAATGATCTGAAAACTCGGTTATGGTTTTGGTAAGTTCAGTTTTTCTTGATTCTTACAATAGTTTGTAACTTGTAACTAAGTAGTGTATTAAAGAAGAAATATCATGCTTTCCTTTTTCCAACTTTGAAAATGATTGGCTACAAACACAGACAGGTGATTGTAAAGAACGTCATTTAATCTGAGAAAATATCAAAATTAATTTAGCGGCACTTCTTTTGTTCTAAAAAAAACTGCTTTGAGCATTACACATTTGTGCCAGACGTTCTTCACATAAACATGGATGGATCTAAAAACAACTCGAGGTCTGTGACTAATGAGGAATGGTTTAGTATCGTCAATTTTTCATATGACATTTATTTTCAGTGAATTAGGTTGAGGCTCTATTGAGTGATGCCCATTGAACAACTAGATCATTGGTGTCAAACCGGTCCTTATGGCCAGTGTGGCTGCAGGTTTTCATTCCAACCAAGCAGGAGCACACCACACTCTACCCAGTCCCTCAGGTGAGTCCAGTCTTAAAGGAGCTATACCCGTTTCTGCAAGCCAATTCTGCTAACATGCTACTGCGTTTACCAGCGCTAGACGCAAGAGGAGGCGTGGCCTGTTTGTATCAGTGCCGCTCCTCATTCTGTGATTGGAGGAGAACGAGCATCACACTAAGTTTCTACTCAGCACTTTTTACGGCCTGAATTCTGACACAGCTGAATCGATGAGCTCAAGTTTTCAATTAAATTCATTAGAAAATAAATCGGGTATAGCTTCTTTAACCTGAAGCCTTGAGGAAATTGGTGGGAGTCTGCTGTGCTCCTGCTTGGTTGGAATGAAAACCTGCAGCCACCCCAGCCCTTCCTGGATCCAGTTTGACACCTCTGAACCAGATCAACCATTCATGCAATCATAGCGGCTGATCGGACCCAGCGTGGCACCAAACGCTTGATTATCGTGAGCAACACAACCTTTGTCGCTTTAAATGTGAATCCATTTAACCATAGTTTCATCACAGCAACCTCCGACACTGCGCCTAACGTAGCATTTAGAAAGGAAAAGAACTGAGCGGACTTGTTTGGAAATCTGAAATGGCAAGTATGTCCAAAGAACTTTCAAACACCAAGCTCTTTAGAAAAATATATTACTTCTAACGCTTGATGCCCCAGAGCTAGCGCTGGTCTGAGTCCAGCCGAGGACAATTTGCCCCACATTACTTGACAACATTGATCTTAAGGTTTTGAGTGCGACACCTCCCAATAACAAACACTTCTTAACTTCTCCTCCACGGCCATTAGAGGGAAGAGCGCGTCTCCTCTTTGATTGTGCTATGTAATTATCACGCTTCATTTGGCATTTAACACAGCTGGTATTTGCGCAGCCTCTCAGCGATCGCCTCAGAGCTGATTGCCTTCTCTCTTCTCCAGGTACAACTTCTCTTGAGTTGACAGCAATTAGGATTTGTGAAATTAATAGGCAGAACAACCAGATTATCGAGTTGTATTTTTCTTTTTTTTTTCATTTGGGACCCAACGATAGACAAGACAGTAAATCATGGCAGTGGCATGCATGGCGAAATGAAAAAGTAATACATCACATATTCTACTACTATCTGTACAGAAGATGTGTTATATGTTAACAGTGTTTTTTTACATTGATAGAGAGATTTATGTAAAACTATTCTGACACACACAATACTCTTTCATGTCCAAACAAAAATATCACATGTTCTCCGTACAATATTTGGAATAATTGCCCATAACACAGAGAATATATGTGATCTGCATACATCATTTTTAGTGTATGTTTTTCCCACTAATCCACAGTTGTATCACACTCATTGATCACATTGAGGGACGAGAGGGAAGACAGAGGAGAGACGAGAGGGAAGACAGAGGAGAGACGAGAGGGGAGGCAGAGAAGAGGAGAGACGAGAGGGGAGGCAGAGGAGAGACGAGAGGGGAGGCAGAGGAGAGGAGAGACGAGAGGGGAGGCAGAGAAGAGGAGAGACGAGAGGGGAGGCAGAGGAGAGACGAGAGGGGAGGCAGAGGAGAGAAGAGAGGGGAGGCAGAGAAGAGACGAGAGGGGAGGCAGAGGAGAGACGAGAGGGGAGGCAGAGGAGAGACGAGAGGGGAGGCAGAGGAGAGACGAGAGGGGAGGCAGAGGAGAGACGAGAGGGGAGGCAGAGAAGAGGAGAGACGAGAGGGGAGGCAGAGGAGAGACGAGAGGGGAGGCAGAGGAGAGACGAGAGGGGAGGCAGAGGAGAGACGAGAGGGGAGGCAGAGGAGAGACGAGAGGGGAGGCAGAGGAGAGACGAGAGGGGAGGCAGAGGAGAGACGAGAGGGGAGGCAGAGAAGAGACGAGAGGGGAGGCAGAGGAGAGAGAGAGAGGGGAGGCAGAGGAGAGACGAGAGGGAAGACAGAGGAGAGACGAGAGGGGAGGCAGAGGAGAGACGAGAGGGAAGACAGAGGAGAGACGAGAGGGGAGGCAGAGGAGAGAGAGAGACGAGAGGGAAGACAGAGGAGAGACGAGAGGGGAGGCAGAGGAGAGACGAGAGGGGAGGCAGAGGAGAGAAGAGAGGGGAGGCAGAGGAGAGACGAGAGGGAAGACAGAGGAGAGAAGAGAGGGGAGGCAGAGGAGAGACGAGAGGGAAGACAGAGGAGAGACGAGAGGGGAGGCAGAGGAGAGACGAGAGGGAAGACAGAGGAGAGACGAGAGGGGAGGCAGAGGAGAGAAGAGAGGGGAGGCAGAGGAGAGACGAGAGGGAAGACAGAGGAGAGACGAGAGGGGAGGCAGAGGAGAGACGAGAGGGGAGGCAGAGGAGAGACGAGAGGGGAGGCAGAGGAGAGACGAGAGGGGAGGCAGAGGAGAGAAGAGAGGGGAGGCAGAGGAGAGACGAGAGGGAAGACAGAGGAGAGACGAGAGGGGAGGCAGAGGAGAGACGAGAGGGAAGACAGAGGAGAGACGAGAGGGGAGGCAGAGGAGAGAAGAGAGGGGAGGCAGAGGAGAGACGAGAGGGGAGGCAGAGGAGAGACGAGAGGGGAGGCAGAGGAGAGACGAGAGGGGAGGCAGAGGAGAGACGAGAGGGGAGGCAGAGGAGAGACGAGAGGGAAGACAGAGGAGAGACGAGAGGGGAGGCAGAGGAGAGAAAAGAGGACAGAGAGGAGAGAAATAATTTTCCATCTTTCAAAACAACAATTGTGACATAAATTTCATTTGGAAGTAGAATTGTTGTGACAATAGGCAAATTATTCCGAGCTATTGAGAAACCGTTCTTCACACACACACACACACACACACACACACACACACACACACACACACTTACTTACATTTGTACATACAGCAGTTTGCCCACTCTATACATCACATGTACAGACAGAATGCAGTGGCCACAACTGGTGGTGATTTTGGCAGGATTGAGATCACATCAGCACGGTCAGATCTGCTCCAACGCCCCCGCATGACGCATACAGCGGTCCCTGTCGCTTTAACATGGCTTAAGTCCATCAAATAACAGTACACAAGCTCCTGGCATCACCTTGCCCCACTGCTCCTTTCACCTTTGAGAGCGCCTGTCAAGCAGCGTGGTCACAAACGCAGTCCGTCTTTTTTGAAGTCCGGCCTCAGTCAGCGTAAAGGATGAACCCGGAGAAGGTGCTGTATTTGTTGCTGTTGCCCCCGTGAGCTTTGCCCCCGTCCAGTTTGATGAAGACCTCATCTCCGGCGTCCAGATGAAGGATGACACTGTTGCTGGCGTAGTCATAACTCTGGTCCTGGTCTTGGGCGATGGCACTGGCTTTGACCTGCATAGTGACACGTGTGAAATCAGAGATGCACCCTATGGACTGTGAACTCTAGACTCTATGGACTGTGAACTCTAGACTCTATGGACTGTAGACTCTAGACTCTATGGACTGTAGACTCTAGACTCTATGGACTGTGGACTCTAGACTCTATGGACTGTTGACTCTAGACTCTATGGACTGTAGACTCTAGACTCTATGGACTGTGAACTCTAGACTCTATGGACTGTGAACTCTAGACTCTAGTAAGTAAGTAAGTAAGCTTTATTTATATACCGCCTTTCCCAGACCAGAGTCTCAAAGCGGTTTACAATTGTTATTTTTGGGCACTTGTCTCTCACTCCACACAGAGATGGGAGCGGGGTCGCCAAACAGGAGGCGCATGCCAGATCTATTGTACATATTTTTAGTGGTAGGGGAAACCGGAGTACCCGGAGGAAACCTACGCAGACACGGGGAGAACATGCAAACTCCACTCAGAAAGGCCCTGGTCCGGCCGGGATTCGAACCCAGGACCTTCTTGCTGAGAGGCGAGAGTGCTATCCACTCAGCCACCGTGCCGCTCTATGGACTGTAGACTCTAGACTCTATGGACTGTAGACTCTAGACTCTATGGACTGTGGACTCTAGACTCTATGGACTGTGAACTCTAGACTCTATGGACTGTAGACTCTAGACTCTATGGACTGTGAACTCTAGACTCTATGGACTGTGAACTCTAGACTCTATGGACTGTAGACTCTAGACTCTATGGACTGTGGACTCTAGACTCTATGGACTGTTGACTCTAGACTATATGGACTGTTGACTCTAGACTATATGGACTGTTGACTCTAGACTCTATGGACTGTAGACTCTAGACTCTATGGACTGTTGACTCTAGACTATATGGACTGTTGACTCTAGACTCTATGGACTGTAGACTCTAGACTCTATGGACTGTTGACTCTGGACTATATGGACTGTTGACTCTAGACTCTATGGACTGTAGACTCTAGACTCTATGGACTGTAGACTCTGGACTCTATGGACTGTAGACTCTAGACTCTATGGACTGTAGACTCTAGACTCTATGGACTGTAGACTCTAGACTCTATGGACTGTAGACTCTGGACTCTATGGACTGTAGACTCTAGACTCTATGGACTGTTGACTCTAGGCTCTGTGTACTGGTCTGTGGACTCTATGTAGTGGACTCTAGACTCTATGTAGTAAGTAGACTCTAGACTCTATGGACTGGACTCTGGACTCTATGTAGTAGACTCTAGACTCTATGGACTGGACTTTGGACTCTATGTAGTGGACCGTAGACCCTCTAGTGGACTCTAGACTGGACTGGAGCGTACGGATTGACGCGTTTCAATAAGACGCAACAATAATACTTTTTATGGAGCCACAAAGTTTTATTCAAGTTCTTCTGATATAGTTTTAAATGTATTTAGAAATGGCAACTTTCATCTTTTATTCACAGGTGAATCATTAAGAATTTAGAATACTGTTCAAAAGTTAATTTATTTGTGACGATTATGGCCTGCAGTCCATCTTCAACATATTTTTTAGATTTGGGGTTTTCTGTGAGCCATAATTATCATCATAATGACAAAAGCTTGATACATCTCACTTTGCAGTTTCACATGGTAAGTGGAATTACATTAGCAAATACAGTTTTGGGAATTTTTTGAAATCCGGAGTTTCACCTTAATTTTCAATACTTGCTCAAATCTTATCGATTACTGTTGGATTTTTATCTGATAGCTCAGTTTGTAGAGTGTCTATTTTAAATGTTATGAGACCTGAAAAATGAATAATAATAACTGGGAAAGAACACATTATTTTAAGATGAAAAATAGGTGCCGATATTTTAATTTTTTTTTTCGTTGGGGAAACAATTAATCCATTTCATCTCACACTCTGACACAAATGAACAAGAGGCACTTCCTCTAAACACATGGGGGAAGAACAACGACTAAATTGCTGTGTGCAAGACAAGCGAAAGAGGGACAGGTGGTCACCCTGTTTGTGACATGCCCTACATATGCACACATCAGGCTGTAATAACTGTCTAACTAATTGCAAAGCGACCTTGTTATTTGCAAGTCAAGCTTAAGTCTGCGCGTGTAATTACAGCGCAATATTTTCCTGGGTAGTAATTAGCTGGATATACAATAGTTTACATGTCCTGCTATACAAACGTTTACCTGATGCTAAAGTGTTGTTTTGAATTGTCAAGGAATTCAATATATTTTTAATGTTCATATGAAATAATGTGATTCTAACCCTAATTCTTTGATTGTGACTGTATTTTTAACACTATACCACACTCTCCAAAAGCTGCAAAATGCATCATATTGTGTTGCGTCTTTTGCCGTATTTCTGCAACTCGTTCTGCAACTCGTACCAAATAGTTTCTCGCTTTGTGAATATCTAGTTTTTCTCTGCAGCGAACTAACCCAATGACTCAACCTAAGTGGTCATGTTAGATTAAGGCAGCCTCAGAGAAGAACCCACCATCCTCACCCCGCCTCTTAAAAAACGGCTTCTTCCTTTTCATTTTGCATTTTCCAGAGCAAATCACTCACGCCCGTATGTGTGGCCAGTGTTTTGACCTGGGAGGATGTCGGGAATAGAAGGAGTGACGTGTAATCAGGACTAAAGCGTGTGCCAGGAGCTCCGGGGTCCAAGTGGAAAGGTTAGCCCTGAATGACAGCGCGATGATGGACATAAATGCTTTGCAGCCTCAACTTGTGACTACAAATATCTAGCCTTTTCTTTGCACCACTTAGACCCTTTTCATCATCGGCGCTTACATACAACTAAATGCATTTTTAGAGCTTTACATCAATCATATTTACAAAGACATTTTTAGTTTTTTCTTTTGTTTTTTAATCAACATTTTGGTGTATGCCTTCTAGTTTCAGTTCAAGCTGGAGTACGAACCACAAAAATGCAATCGGATCCATCCTAACTGTCTCTAATGTGTGTATTTATGGCCTCTGTCACATCTGTTATCTGCTTTTTGGTCTAAAGCACTCAAGTACTCACTAAGCACTCTCAGTATTTAGAATATCAAACGTTTATAAAAGCAAGAAATTGTTTAAAAAAAAAAAAAAAAGTATTATGTCTTCATGTTTGACGCTCATAAGATTATTCTAATTAGGTAGTATTAAGGTAGTACTGCTTAATTACCTGATCTGCCGAAACATATCCGGTAAATTAGCAGAAATAGCTTTTTTCCGTCTTATTGAATGAACAATATAAGTATTCTTTATTGATTTATTTAATTACAAATAGACAGTTTGTTGTGGTCTGACTTGTTCACAAAATGTGACTCTGTGCGCTCAATATGTATTCATGAAAAGAAATGGTTATGTATTCCAGCTTTAAAACAACTGTGTCTTAATTCACTCGTTTCACCAACTTATTTAGGTATATCGCAGGGAAAATGCAATTATGCGTCATGTAAAATAGTCTAAAATCAAAAAAAGGTGTAAGCAGTTTTAGAAGAGCTGATAATTCACCAAATTGAGGTGATATTATTTGACATGTGCAGGTGTTTATGGGAGAATAAGTCTGATTTACATGGTGGGTTTGATCACGGGCACCACCTGGGGCTTTGAAGACATTACCAAACTACCCATGGAAATAGCCAATATCATAATTCCATATCAAATGTCTGAAGCTGAGGCTGTGTGGTAATGCAGAAGTTTGTTGTATTTCAAAGGGCACCTGCTTTGAACTGGTCACTCCCCGAGGCCATGTTTTGATGTGTGCAGAGCGGAGATAGCACCTCACTGCTTCCACTTACTTCAGTGTGGACATCAGTGAGCGGGGAATAGTCACAGATGTGCTCTCTGGCTGCTTTACCTGTGCATTGTCCTAATATCTCCTTAAATCACCGTCCCCCCTTTCCCGACTGAGTATGTTGAGTGTAATTTACCTTTGATTTTTATAGTGAGTTAGAGTGGCAAGTTTTAGATAAGGAAGAATATACACACCAGACCATTCTTGATCAGGTCAGCCCACATACTGGTGCCGTCGCCGCCTCTCATCAGGACGTTGTAGATGAAAAAGTAGGTGCCAGGGATCTTACAGGTGAACTTGCCCGTCGCCCCTTCGAAGTTGCCCCCAATATTTGTCACCACGTCGTCAAAGCGCAGGATGTCGTAGCCTTCTTGAGGGTTTTTTAGTCCCGCGTAAAAAGCGACTCTAGGATTTGTGTTGTAAGTCATGGTGCTCACCCCTTTTCCTCCCAGACCCAGAATTCCCGTTCTCACTGTGTCCATGTTGTCACCGGGCGGTCCTTGAGGTCCAGGTGGGCCGGGCTCTCCAGGGGGTCCGGGCGGTCCAGGCTTCCCCGGTCTCCCTGGTCTGCCCAGTGAGCTGTGAGCGCTGTATGTGGGCAGCGGTGGGCCGATGCTGTGGTCTTCTAAGTCTTCATCACGATCCACCTGCAGGCCTGGAGTTACCGACTCTGTCCCGGCGTGGACCCCCATCCCGGCCGTGCCAGTGCTGGGGTACGGGTCACACACCATGCGGCAGGTCCCGAGCATCTCGTAGTGGCTGGCGCTGTCGTCCGACCCCCCAGCACCCACCGAGCTCACCAGCACTGGGATGAGAACCACCAGGACCAGGACCAGCATGACCCCCAGAGCAGCTGCCACCAAGGTCCTCCTCCCGATGCTCAGCCGGGGCAGAGGCTGAGCGGCCAGCCTGGAGCTCTCCGGGGCGGAAATGGTGACTGTGGGGAGGGCAGCACTCGTCCACTGGGCAAAAGCAGCACCACCACTGGGCGCTGGGAGAAGAAGCAGGCTGCTGTCCGCCCGTGGAGCTGGTGGAAGTGAGCGAGAGGCGCTCAGGGACTGGAGTGAGGGAACAAGTGCTCACAACAGGGTGATGGTGAGACAGCTGGAGTGTAAAAGAGAGAAGGAGGGGAGACACACAGTGACTCAAGACTAAGGAGGGCATTTCCACAGCCGGAGCAGCCGGGGGGAACAAAAAAGAATAAATCACATGTGAAATGTACACAATGAGGCCAGATCCAACAAATGCAATCATATTTCTCAGTAATACCAACACGCAGGTTTTTAAAGTCAAAATACGGATGATTGATGGTATGGCATTATTGAAATTACCTTTCCAAGCAATTATATCTTTACTGTCAACATTACCGGCATAAAAAGTCAAGTAAATTAATGTCTATTGATTCTTCTCTTACTGCTTTTTAGACTATGTTCTACAAAAAAAAGAGTATTGTATTTATGATTATTTAGATGATTAAATAATTTCTGTTCCTGGAGACCAAAGAGATAGAAGCCCATATGTTAACGTAGCATGCATGTGAGTGAAGAATATTCAGGAAAATGCCTTAAAAGCAAAATCTCAGGGTCAGAGAGTACGGGGAAGGGGAATGTTTTTGCTTCTGCTGAACCTGTGCAGAAACTGGAGCCAGTCCAGGGATCCGTCTGAGGTCAGTCCAGCCTCAACCTTCAAAATAATGTCAAACTTGAAAGAAACAGAAATATATGTTTAATTTCATAGTTGTTTCATAGTAGCCTCCATAGTTGTTTTTGCAGAATGACTGTATTTTTCTGAGACCTTGGACACTGATAGTTTGTGACAGAGTGAGAGCTTTTGCAAGTGTTAAATGATGAAGCTTGAATCAGTTTGTTGACCGTTCAATGTGACTGGAAATATTAATATCTATACTCCCCTGTGTTATTATTATTTAATTATCCTTACCTGTAGATTTAATCATATTTTGTTCCTTTTTTGTTGCATGAATACTTAAGTGCGTTCTCAACATTATTACATGTGGTCGTCCCGCTCCCTAAGAACCAATCCTGTCTGTTTGGTGATTGTATTTGTTTGATTTTCTGATCTGTTCTTGAGCAATCGACAACTTTGTAAAGTACTGAGTCGACTACTGTTGTGATTAGGTGTGAATTGAGTTGATCAAGTTTGACATTGATACATATCATTGGTTGGTTCGGTGCAGATCAAATAACATCAAACTTGAAGTCCACATTAAAAGCTTATTATTCCAACATATTAAAAGAATATACTAGAAATGTGTAGTTCTACATTAAAGGTTGTATTATCCACTTTTTGCAGATTCATTCATTGTTTTAGCATAATTAAATACATTCAGGATATTTGCCTATAAATACCAGAAATGTTTAACTAAATTCAAACTTTGGCAGATGCATTTGTTATTTTCTGAAAGCCCTAGCGCCCTCTAGTGGCAGCTGCTGCAACGACAACACAGTCGCCTATAGCAAATACAAAACAAATATCATTTTTTTATTTATTTTATATTCAATCATTTATATACTCATTCATAACTATGAATCTTATAATACTCTTATAATAAAAGTAAGATTTTGAGAGTGAGATGTGTCCATTCTTTTGGAAAATACACTCTGTTTTGAAGTGACTCAAACCAATAACAAATAATATTAACTATGCAGTTGTTGATCCAGTCTGCAAAGTCTGAGATTCACTTCTATTGACTCATCGCCGCCGTTTACGAGGTGTGGCTGTCGAGGTGTGGCTGTCGAGTTCTCAGACCATGCTACTTTTGTTAAAGAGTCAAACAGGTCTAGTCCACTTTAAAGGAAAGAAGGACATTCTGCAACTGTTTTACTGTGCTGAGTCGCTCACTTTTTGGGAAATTGTTTTTTCAAGGAGGCGAAATGAACGTGTGCGTGTAAAAGTGTAAACATAGAAAGCTCAGATAAAAATGTGTATAACTACAAACTATATATGATCCTTTGAACAGGTATTGATGTTGAAAAACAGAAAATCTCACAAAGTCTATAGTAACAGAAGAGTCGTATAAATCAGAATAAACCTGGAAATTAATTACTCCAGGTCAGGGATGTTGGAAAAGAGGCCTCTGAAGTCTGAACTGTGTAGGCCTCAACTGCAATACTGTTGAATCAAACAAATATTCCTGCAAACTGTGTTACTTGCAAATGAAAATGTAGTGTTTCAGCTTTACTCCCTCATGAAGTCAATATGTTTGGGTGACTTTGTAGTGACGCAGAAGCTGCATGAGTGGTGCCTGTCACAGTGCTCTCTAGGATGCTGTAGAATCAGTAGATTTTGGAAGATTTTCTCACCACACAACCTACAAAACAATAGTAAGTAAGTAATGTTTATTAATATAGCGCATTTTACAGACCAAGGTCACCCAAAGCGCTTTACAATGTTCCGAGTCAGATATTATTCCAATCCTTCCACACACGGTGATGACAGAAGCGAGTCCAGAACACACTGGACCATCAGCTCCAACACCATCCATTCACTCTCTCATTTACATTCATACCTATTGTGCATGTTTTTAGTGGTAGGGGAAACCGGAGCACCCGGAGGAAACCCACGCAGACACGGGGAGAACATGCAAACTCCACGCAGAAAGATCCTGGAGCTCTGCAGACACAAACATGACCCACAGTTAAAGCCCCATGCTTCTTGCAGCCAGTGGGTCTCTACAAAGTCAAATATGCAAAAAATATCAGTCAGTTAGTTAGTTATTTATCGCAATTTCTATGCACAAAACAAGATACAAATATCAATTATCAAATTAAAAACATGTCACATGTTTTGAAAAAGGGGGTTGGGTGAAGCAGACGCCTATACATTTCACACATACAGCAAAACAGCAAATAATAATTACACTAACACTGTACTTCAAATTTAAAAAAAATAAAAAGACACACAAAGACAAGACGATCAAAAACAATCTTTCTCATCTGAAAAGTAGTTTACTGCACGTTTAAGCTTTTGTCTCTGAAAGAGGAGCGGCTGCAGAGGCAGAGGCGTGTCTTTTCACTTGTCTCTTGTCTGAGGTAAGACCAGACTTCAGTCCTGCTCCAGCTGCTGTGTCACCTAAACCAAAGTAAGTCGCTGCTTTAGTCTGCCATTAGCTACCATCGCGAAATAATGATCATTTCAATTTCAATTATGGCATCTGAGTTTTTTATTGAATTGTTATAGTTGTTACATAGTTTTAGTACAAAAATAGAAAACATGGGAATCTACTTAGGGTTTGATCTAGTCCTGTGTAGTCCTAGTTCTAGTTTATCTGTTTTATACATAGTTTTGTCTCAGTTTGAGCCCTTTTAAATGCAGCCTTACCGCATGTTTCTCACTTCTACATCTCTGTTCATGTGTTGCCCTGTTGTCTGGGCCTTCCTGTCTTAACCCATGCCCATGTTTGATTCAGTCCCGGAGCCGTCACCATGCCTGCCACCGCCGAAGCCCACTCTGCTCTCCTCACCACCAACCGCAACTGCACCGTGGAGATCACCAATGTCACCTCCAAATACTGTCTGGTGAACCCCAAGTAAGAACAAGTTTACATCCTGTGAGATTGGGATTCTACTGTGTTTATGAAAAGTAGAATGTGTGACTTAATATGTGTGTGTGCCTATGTGTGTGTATGTTTTTTTTCCTTTTTTTTAATTTATTTAAACCTCTTTAGTGTATTTTTAGCATTGTTGTTGTTGCTATTATTATTTTTTGAAGTTTTATTTTTTATTCTATTTTTTATGCATACACTTTATTATTATATATACATTTTTAAGATGATTTTTGTATTTTTTATTGTATTATATATATTTATTATTATTATTATTATTATCATTATTAATTCTATTTCTTATATATATACGTTTTATTATATATGAATTTTTCAATTATTTTATTTTTTGTTTGTTATTATTACTATTATTGTATGTATTCTTTTCCTTTGCATTACAGCTGTTGCCTTGTTAAGTTTTTGACATTTTGACCATTTTGACCATTTGAATAAAAAAAATGTAAAAAAATAAAATAAAAAAATATGTGTGTTTTTGCGTTTAGAGTCTTCATGGAGAAAGGCTATAGCTACAGCCCGCCCCAGCCCACCGTGCGCAGCAACCACACCGAGGTCTTCTCCTTCACCAAAGATGACAACACCGCATCAGGAGCTGTGGGAGTCTTCACCTATGAGCTCTTCCACATGGAGAAGCGCAGCGCCAGTGAACTCATGGCCGTCATGTTCTCGGTGCCCTTTGATTACAACTTCTACAAGAATTGGTTGGGTGTCGGTGTCTTTGAAAAGTCCCAGCCCTGCAATGATAAGTTGTATGATCTCATGTATAACAGCAAAGATTTCTCTCACTTTTCGCGGCACGAGGCCGACGGCTGCGGGATCGTGTTCAGCTCCAGCACCGTGGATGTGAGGGGCTGCATGTCCGACGGGGGCAAAGCCATCATCAAGCTGGAGCTCTATGATCGGATGGCTAGATAACTCAGGTTCCAGACTGTCAGATGCATTAAACTTGCATACGTGGGTGCTGTACTAAAACAAATAAAATAATTATTCTGGAAAGTACTGTTTTGTTTTGTTTTTCAATTAACATGATCAAAAAATAAAATAAAATACAAGTATTTTCTCAACGTCTCAGGCTGCAGCTATTGGTCAATTTAAAAGTCTGTTGGTTACACGATTGATAAAAGTTTATAATCCATTAATATTTCACGTCCTTAAATGCATTTTTAGGATATATTTCTGTCTTCAGTGTTGGCCCCAGGCAGAAACAGTGTGCAACAGGTTCTCATACTTAAAGTAGTTGAGAAATTAGAGGCCAAAAAACTGGATTCTAAACATTTTTGGGCCTCAGTGGTCTAGCTCCTCAGCAACAAGGTCCTGGGTTCCATTCCCAGTCGGAACAGGCCTTTCTGAGTGGAGTTTGCATGTTTTCCCTGTGTCTGCATAAGTTTCCTCCGGGTACTCCAGTTTCCCCTCCCACTAAAAACATGCATACTAGGTTATATCCTCCAGCTCCGATAGTCCTGACCAAGCCGAGCATCAACATCTGGAGGTGGGTTCCCGGGCGCTGTTACTACGGCAACCACTGCTCCCGGCGTAAGCCTTAGCGGCATCAGGATGGGTCAAATGCAGAGGATGAATTTCCCTACGGGGATTAATAAAGTGCACCTTTGCTGCAGTTTCCTCCGGGTGCTGCGGTTTCCTCCTGGTGCTGCGGTTTCCTCCGGGTGCCGCGGTTTCTCCTACCACTAAAAACATGTACAGTAGGTCTGGCATATGCCTCGCTCCCATCTCTGTGTGGAGGGAGAGACAAATAACCACAATTGTACAACGCTTTGTGACTCTGGTCTGTGAAAAGCGTTATATAGATAAAGATTACTTACCTTTATACCAACAGAAGATTAGAAAATCAGACAGGTATAATCAAACACATTAGACAATACAACAAATTCAGATTCAGTTTCCCTTATTTGCCATACGCAGTAAAACCACACTGGAATACATGACATACAATGAATACAGACAGATTAACTAATGTTCATAGATGTTTGGGTAAATGGAGCGCCCCCGTCCTGAGACCCGGTCCTCAGGTCCTGAGACCCGGTCCTCAGTCCTGTCTGCTTCTTGGCCGTGAACCAAACCATAGTTTACGTGGCAACAAAGGAGGTTAACTGAACTCATCTCAGAATCTCCTGATAACGAGGTGTGGTGACATTCAGGAATGAGAACATGTCACGAAACGCCAGCTAGACCTGTTCCTCTCCCCTACATGTGTTGACGTTAAATGGACAATAGTTTTAGACGGTGAGTAATCAGGTGGAGGTGGAGACGGCTTTTTGGGTGGGACTTTTGGGTGTCATGCATTCCCCGACAGAACAAGCCACCCGAGCTGCACTACGTCTCCGTCTTCACGCAGTGTACAAGGCTTGGGATAGATCAGGTAGGATGAAAAAATGACAGATTGTGGATTTTTGTGTGTCAAGTCTGCTCTTAACGTGATATATTTGGGATTTTTTTGCAGCGTCATGACAGAATCCGCAGAAGCAGTGGCAGCGGCACTGTCCAGTCGAAGAAGTGTAACCATCGAGATCACCAACCTCTCTGGGAACTACTGCCTCATCAACCCCAAGTCAGTTACTCACTTCTTTATTGTGCCCAAGTCAGAGTTTTTGTACTGAATTCCAGCTTCTTTATTATAATAAAGTTGGAGATTTTAGATTTGCTTCCTATGCTAAAGCTAGGGATTTTATACTTGCTTCTTTTTATGCTAATGCTAGAAATGTTGTTTTCTAGTTATAGAGTTATTGTCCATTTGATGATTTCATTAGTTATTTTTTGTGGCAGGAGCTCTGGTGTGTACATTCATCTCTGTCTGGTGCATACTGGGATAGTCTTGCATGGTTTTTCCAACGTGGTTTTACTGCAAATGGAAAATAATTTCTTGATCTGAATCTTGAATATTGAATTTATCTTGTGTTATGTGCTCCTCATTCCTATACTGCTCTGTAAATGGTGAAACAACACAGTAATTTCCCAACTGTGGGACAAATAAAAATATCTTAATCTCAATTTTAATCTCAATCATTAAAAACGATTGTTGTATTAAAAGTACTATTTTTGTCTGTTAAGGGTGTACCTGGAGAAAGGCTCTATCCCTGTCCCACCCCAACCGACCGTCCGCCCTCTCAAAACAGAGGTGTGCAACTTCAGCAAAGACTCTGGCAGGGCCTCTGGGGCAGTGGGAGTTCTGACCTATGACCTTTTCGAGCAGAAGAGGCACGACTTCATCGAGACGGTGGCGATCATGTTCTCGGTCCCATACGACGGCAACATGTACAAGAACTGGTTTGCTTTGGGGATCTACCCGAAGGGAACGGAATGCAACGAGGCACTGTACAAAAAGATGTACTACGACAAGGAGCCGCAGGGTTTTGTGAGGATGGAGGCAGTGGGCAGCGGGATCACGTTTGAGGGCAGTTACCTGGACGTCAAGACGACCATGTCTCCTCTGGGCCGGGCCATCATGAAGGTGGAGATCTGGGACAAGCTGTTCTCTGCACCAGGCCAACAGCAGAAATACTGAAGTCCAGGTTATGTCTACGAGAGCGTGAAATATTCTCTGTAAGCATTTAATAAATGTACGGGAACTGAAGTGTCTGCTGCGTCCTCATTGTATTTGCTGAGTTTGATCTTTTTTATTGACTGCGGTTGTGATTCCAAGTGTGAGGGTTCATCTCTTCCATAGTTACAGTATCATTCACATATCAGTAATTTTAACATAATGTCTGCAAAGTTAAATCATGAAAAAACATATATGGAACATTTTTCGTACAATCGTTTTTTCAGAAAAGGATAAAACAAAAAAAGTTTTGATCTCTGTAAAAACAGGTTATTTAAAATTCTTTTACACATTATCACTATATATTTTTTTGCGTACGTTTAAAAAAAAAAAGATACATTTTAAATAGTTTTCTTTGCATATATATATTTTGTGAACATAAAGTGAGTCATTATGGTCAACCCCTTTGCAATGATTTTACCAGAGCCCATTTACTTTATTGATGACAGAAAGAAAAGGGCGCCCTCTGGTGGCGCTAGGTCAGTACTACACTTCAAGTACAAAATAGACACAAAACTGTATGGGGATATTTTTCAGTTCATATAATAAAGTAGACATTTTATTTTATTTTAAACTAGAACATCTGTAATGAAGCCTTATATTGTGTAACAAGAACTGCTGAGTCTGAACAAATGTCACTGATAATTCACTATTAACTTTGTCACTAGTCACTTTACCTGTTGATATTACTTCTGATGTTTATTCTGCTCATTCATATTCTCCGCTGCTAAAGTAAAATATACACATCTTTAAATACTTCTGAACCAAGTGCCATTATAGCCCAAGAGTTTATCTTTATTTTATTCTTTACCTTTATTTTATTGTCTATTATCTTAAATTATAGACTATTTGATGTGTGCAATCTGAGTGCTCTTATTTCCTTCTTTCTCTGCTGTAATGTGCAACGATGACACTGACATTTCTCCACTTTGAGACTAATAAAGGTTTATCTTATCTTATCTTATATTGATATGCAGCTCATGAGGTGTTGTTTTCTACGTTGCCACATCTGGTTGCTCACTGCAGCTGTCATAGAAAACATTCACCACTGAATTGAACCTTTGTTTCAAATACATCTCCAGAGTTTCCAGACTCATTTGTCTCACATCATAACCAAAAAACTGCTTCTTTGCCGCCTTGTTAATGGGCACAATTTCCTCAGTGCTATTGATGTCATTGCGCCCAATGGCTGCATATGTTGGAAAGGCACTTCTCAGATATTGTGGCAGACTGTTGTTGAATTGTGGGCAGCAGTAGGCAGACCATAAGTACTCTGGAACTGCCACACGCTTGTTCTTGATCCAATGCTCCTGGTTTTGGTATGGTATGATCCCTGTCACTATGTAGGCTTTTCCAATGCAATAAGCTGCTAAGGTTTTGTTGACAGTTTGTTCCAGGGTCTCCCAGGGCCCATCATTAGAGCCTGCCTTTTGGGGGACCGCGTTGGTGAGGGTGAAGGTGGAGGAGCGGTCCTCGTGGACCTGGTGGTGCAGACTGGGGTTCAGATGTCCACGGGAGAAGGTGGAGTTGGTGTAGTCCTGGTCCACGGCCTGGCTCTCCACCACATTCAGGTCTACTAGCCCCTGGGGGAGCAGCTCCATGTTTCCATTGGCTTCAGGGTAAGCCAGCTGAAGGATACAATTCACACACATGACTTTAGAAAGGGTTCAGAGCAAGTTATCTCCAAATGTTTTCTAAACCTTTGTCTATTTATGCAGTAGTTTGTACTCACTACACACTGTGTTGTCCTCAGTAGCTTGAATATAGTTTGTCAGAGAACAGAACAGGAACCAGCTACAAACCGGTTTGTGAACGATAAGTTTCACATTTCAAAATGGGTGGATTTGGGTTATAATGTCCTTAAAAACAAAACTAAAACATGTATATTTCTTATTTTAAATCACCAGTCATAAAAAAACATTAGGTGAATAATACGGATATAGATTAGAATAGATTAATAACTTTATTGTGTATCATGTGCAGTGATGACAGATGTCTTTGGTTTGCAATAAGACACACATTCCAAGATACTGATTATGATGAAAAAGAATTTCTAATAAATACAGTACAGCTTTAAATTAGCTCATAATTCTTGAAAGACGGGACATTGTTTTCATCCCATCTCTCTGCTCTGTGTAATAATATGATCATGAATCTTACTTGAGGCTCGTATTTCCAGGATGCGCCCGGTCTCTTCCCTGATGGTATGGAGTATACGTAGGCGGAGAACCATGGGGCCCTCCTCGAGCGGCTGTACAGAGAGGCAAAGTGATACTGGTTATAGTATCTCTGACAGATTGGGGTCCCGCTCAGACCTTTGGGGGGCCAGGACCTGTAGAAGAACTGCAGGCAGGGGCCAAAATCACCCACGTCACCACCACACGTGCCCAGTTTGGTGGCAAAAAATAAGACGAAAAGAAGCCAAGGATAAGCCATAGTGAGAGTCTGATGATGTCTGAGTAGAAGTGAAACTACCTAGGTCATTGTCAGCTGAATAAGTGTTGGGAACTTCCTCTTACTGCTGCACATACTGGTAGCAGAAGTGCCAATTATGAACAATGCAAAAGATTTCTTAGATTTGTTTTTGCCTCTCAGACCAAAGCAGTGTGCGAATGAGTAACGTATTCATAGATTTTGCCCTTATCTGTGTGGGGTGGGGTGGGGTGTGGATGTTCGAGAGTCCCGGATCATCACCACAGTCCATTTAGATCCACTAACAGTCTAACAGACCCAAAACAAAGCAAATGTGATCCAACAGATAATATAAGAGATCCTCAACTCACAACTCCGTAATGAAATAAAATGAAATCTCTAACTTTAGCATAATAGAGAAGCAACAATGTCTAACTTACACGTCCAAAACACCTCTTTCTAGGTTTTGCGTTCTCATTGGTTTGTGTGGAACATCTGTTTCCTTTTGAGCCTCTATCCAACTCTGGAGGGGGAGGACCTTCACAAGCTGTTTGTTTGAGGTCCTTTGGGATCACCCCTCCCTTTCCCTCTCTCTCTTCTCTCTTTTATAACTGCTGTGGGTTTGGAGTTTGACCCAAGCTCCAGGCTCCAGGACCAACTCTTTCAGAACGAAGGAAAGTGCCATTTCTCCACAGAATCAATGCCACGGTAAGAAAAGTGACGCATGTTTAAGTATTAAATGTACGCATGTGGTGGTCCAGCCTGTGCTAGTCAGGAAAGAAGTCAAGGGGAAAATTTCAGCTTAGGCTATGTTTTTCTCTTTACCACAAGCGGATTAGTCTGCACCTAGTCTTACATGGGCTGCTGCTGTTAATGCCAATGATAATGATAACATACATTGCAATATGCATGCGTAAACACATACATAACCCTGAAGTATTACAGTGTTGCAGTCCAGAGAGGAACACCTTGAGTAGATTTGGACATAATGTTTTGCTGTGCATCAGTTGCATAAGTTTTACGGTCAGTCTTAATGGCTGTGGTGTATGCTGTGATACAGGGAGTTTTTGTCTTGTACCAAACTGGCAGAAAAGGGGAACTGTTCTATGTTCATGTTTTGAATACAATGTTCGGTGACCTGTGTGAAAGTGCTCATAATATTTGGTGTTATTTCCACAGTGGATCAATGGATATTTTATCACGCCTCTCCCTGCTGACCTTCCTTTCCTTCCTGACCACGGCTTGGTCCGGAAAAGTCCTGGTTTTCCCGGTGGATGGGAGTCACTGGGTCAACATGAACCTGATGATCCAGGGTCTCCACAGCAGAGGACACGAGGTCACTGTGGTCCGCACTGCTACCTCCTGGTACGTCAAGGAGACTGCCCCACATTACTCCTCACTCACCATCACCATACCTGAGGCCATCTGCATCGAGAAGGAGGACTTTTTTGTGAGTTTTCTGGTGAAGATGCTGGCTATCAAGAAAGAGGGAGGCTCCCCAATGGCTTTTTTATCTTTCTACTGGGAAATGCTGGGTACCTTATCCATAATACACCAGCAGGCAAGCATGGTTGGTGTGCAAATGCTCGAGGACAAAGCATTGATGCAAAAACTTCGGGACACAAAATACGACTTAGTTCTGATCGACCCTGGGCTTCCTGTGGGGGTTCTTGTTGCGCATGCGCTCGGTCTTCCTACTGTTTTCAACGTCCGCTGGATCACCAGTGGAGAAGGCCATTTTGTTGTGGCTCCATCACCAACATCATACGTGCCAACTTCTGGAGTGGCTTTACCTGACAAGATGACGTTTTTGCAAAGACTTCAAAACACCTTTCATTACGGGTTAAACACATGCATCGACAAGTTCGTAGTGTGCCCAGTTTATGATCGATTAGTGGAGAAATACTTTGGATCCGGTCTCAGCTTTTATCACATGTTGCAAGCCGCAGACATTTGGTTAATGCGAGTCGACTTTGTGTTTGAATTCCCCAGACCCACAATGCCCAATATCGTCTACATTGGCGGATTCCAATGCAAACCGCCTTCGCCTTTATCCGCTGAACTTGAGGATTTCGTTCAGAGTTCGGGTGATCATGGGTTTATCTTGATGTCTTTGGGAACTCTGGTCAAAGGTTTACCGAAAGAAATAACGTCAAAAATTGCTGCTGCCTTTGCGCAACTTCCACAGAAAATTATTTGGCGACATGCAGGAGAAAGACCGGATAATCTTGGGAACAACACGCTACTGTTGAAATGGCTCCCACAAAGCGATCTCCTGGGGCACCCTAAAATCAAAGCATTCGTTTCCCACGGTGGCACCAATGGAATCTACGAGTCTATATACAATGGCGTCCCTGTAGTCGGGGTACCGCTCCTGTTTGACCAACCAGAAAACGTTTTGAGGTTGGAAATCCGAGGAGCTGCGAAAGTCTTGGACGTAACACAAATAACCACTGAGAGTTTTCGCGACACAGTGCAAGAAGTTGTCAATAACCCTTTCTACAGAGACAACATGAAGAGGCTGTCCTCCCTCCATCGGGACCAGCCCATGCACCCGCTCGACACCGCCCTCTTCTGGATAGAGTTTGTAATGAGGAACAAAGGGGCTGCCCACCTGCGCACTGAGTCCTATAAAATGCCCTGGTATTCGTACTACTCTCTGGATGTTGCGGGACTTTTGATAGCTGTGTTTTCATTAGTAACATATGTCTTTGTCTCAGTCGTGCGTTTGCTGTGCTGTAGGGTTATGAGAAAGAGAAAGCCAAAGCAAGAGTAATTTATGGAGGATGTGAGGTTTTATGTAAGGACTGCATTAAAGCTGGGGTACCTAACTTTCAAACTAAATCAATTAAACTATAAATGTATGTCATAACTTCCTCTCTCCAATAACAACACAGGGCTATCATTAGTCGTCACAGGCATGTATGTTTTGCTTCTTCTAGTGACTCCCAGGGTTCTTTGCGACAGATTATATGTTTTGTAGTAAGAAAAAGACAGAATGCTGAGGTCTGATTTGTCTCATAGTTTTACTGTAAGAAGACTTTTGTGTTGGGACAAAGATAATGTGATATTGTTAAGGGTAAAAAAAAGGGTTGGTACCTACAGCTTTAAGCATGTACTGGAATATATTTGATTTGTACTTTAGACTGTGCAACAATAATGAAGTTGTGAAATAAAATCTATATTTTTATTTTGAATAGTTGTGTTATGTTTTGTTGTATGGCAGGTTTACGTGTCAGTCTTGTTACAGACTTGAGAAATGTGTGTAAAGTGGAGGGATTACTACATCCATCCATCCATCCATTTTCTTCCCCTTAATCCATTTCTGGGTCGGGGGGTGGCAGTCAGAGCTGCACCCAGTTCACAGAGCACCAGCCCCTCACTGATCCTCCTGCAGGTGCTGAGTCCACAGGAGCTGAGATCACTCTTCACTTTAGGGATTACTACATCATTAAAACTAAATTAAACCAGTCGTGTGAAAACTAGGACAATATATATGTTTTAAAAGGACAAACAGGTAAATGGTGACAAATAGGCAAGTTACATGAATATTTATTTGCACATTTTAGATTTTAAGTTGACACATTTAGATCAGTTTCACCAATGTCTCTATATTTACGTCGAATACAGTTCTCCAAGCTATGCATGGGGTAAAAATATATTTAAAAAAGCGATAATGTGAGTTTGAAGCACAGTCCACACACAGTTCAGAATATACAGTACAAATATACAGTATACATTCAGACGTTCATAGGTTCTTTTGACAAATCCATCTGTAGGACATCTTGCAGGATCCGTCCCTGGTGTCCATGTGTCCACAGTCCTCCCCCTCTGGGTCCTCAGACCTCCAGTTGTCAGGTTCAGTCCCAGATCCAGGTCTGTTCAGCCAATATCTGAGGAGGACAAATGTAAGAAATGTCATGTGATGAAGTGAATGAAGACCCAAAATTGCAGGAATGGCAAAAATAAGGGTTTAATGATAAAAAAGTCCAGATGAAACCAACTCAAAATCCAAAACCAAAACAGGACCAGGAAGACCAGCACAAGGGGAGAGGAGCACAGGGTACAAATGGACACAGACACAGGTGAAACACATCAGGGCGGGGCAGACAATCAAGACAGGGGAAACAGGACAGGAAGTCAAACTAAAACTAATTCACAGATAACAGATGTCAAAATAAAACAAAAATACGAAAATAAAATCCACACCATAACAAGAAATGGAATTATTAGACTTTTTTGTTCAAAGATATGTTATTATGAACTGTGGAACAGGTAAAGTTTGTTTACTTTTTAAAAAATGTCTGTTTTGTCTGTAAGAGGATACTTTTTGCCTGAATTGTGAATAATATCCTTGTTCTACCTCCCGCTGTGCAGGAATTTAACAGGAATGTAGTTGTTGAAAGTTTGATATCTGACTTTTTGCTGGTCTTATTTAAAAGTCTGTTCAAGAGAAATTATAATATTGCATCAGAAAACAGAACGTGAAAGAAAATAATTGAATGTGGTTTGGTCTTACTGTATGTCCATATTTTCAAATGATCTTGTTGTGAAAAATACATTATTGTTTGTACAGTGTCTATCTTATAATGGAATTGTCTTCCATCCACCCATCGCCAGCCTCCCTCCTCCTCGATGTCGGACAAACCCATCCAGAGGCGAGTATTGGTCTGGTCCATCTTGTGACTGGTCTCATGAGTGAAAATCTGAGTAGCCAAAAAAAATTGATAAAGTATTGATGAAAACAAACTATTTATTTTAGTATTGACTTGACTATAGATGTGACGCCATCTTGTGGTGTAAATTCAGATTACAACCAATTTCACTAAGTACATTTTGTGGTTTTAAAGCTGGAGACCTAAGTTTGAAAACACAAAGATTAACAAAGGAATTTAATACGTTTCACCAGTGCCTCGCTCTCAGAACAATTTGGGTCTAACACTAGTTTCACATGCATGTGATATTCAGTGGCTGAGTGAGCCCTCACTGAGCCAACCAGCTCTCAGTATGTCAAAAGAAAATGTGTTCTCATAAGACAAAGGCGGCATGCTGTGACTCAAGTCATGGCAGGGTCCAAAACATTGGATTATTTTAACTGAGAATAGTTTATAACTTGGCCATCCGGAATGAATATACTTTTAATGAGACAAAAATACCTTGTACATCTTTAAATAATCCTGTTATCATTGGTTTAATTCCAAATCTACAGGGAGCGTTGAAATACCTGCTCTTCCTCTGTGATGATGACGAGCAGATCTGCACCGTGGCTCTGGCACCAGGTCCGACTCGAGGTCCAGGGAAGAGCCCGAGACGAGAAGTAGTAGCACTTGGTCTGGAACATGGTCCATCCCTCTGCACACATCTTACACACTCGCTCTGTCACAAAACATCCAAAAGTAAGTCCAGAGTCGTGTCCAGAGGAGACCGAGCGAGGCCAGAGAGGGGCCAGAGAGAGGCCAGAGAGAGGCCACAGAGAGGCCAGAGAGAGGGGCCAGAGAGAGACCAGAGAGAGGCCGAGCGAGGCCAGAGAGAGACCAGAGAGAGACCAGAGAGAGGCCAGAGAGAGGCCGAGCGAGGCCAGAGAGAGACCAGAGAGGGACCAGAGAGAGACCAGAGAGAGACCAGAGAGAGACTAGAGAGAGACCAGAGAGAGACCAGAGAGAGGCCGAGCGAGGCCAGAGAGAGACCAGAGAGAGACCAGAGAGAGGCCAGAGAGAGGCCGAGCGAGGCCAGAGAGAGACCAGAGAGGGACCAGAGAGAGACCAGAGAGAGACCAGAGAAAGACTAGAGAGAGACCAGAGAGAGAGGTCAGAGAGCGGCCAGAGAGACCAGAGAGAGACCAGAGAGAGAGGTCAGAGAAAGGCCAGACAGAGGCCAGAGAGAGCAGAGAGAGGCCAGAGAGAGGGACCAGAGAGAGACCAGAGAGAGGCCAGAGAGAGGCCGAGCAAGGCCAGAGAGAGACCAGAGAGGGACCAGAGAGAGAGGTCAGAGAGCGGCCAGAGAGACCAGAGAGAGACCAGAGAGAGAGGTCAGAGAAAGGCCAGAGAGAGCAGAGAGAGGCCAGAGAGAGGGACCAGAGAGAGACCAGAGAGAGGCCAGAGAGAGGCCGAGAGAGAGGGACCAGAGAGAGAGGTCAGAGAGCGGCCAGAGAGAGACCAGAGAGAGACCAGAGAGAGGCCGAGAGAGGCCAGAGAGAGACCAGAGAGAGACCAGAGAGAGAGGCCAGAGAGAGACCAGAGAGAGACCGAGAGAGGCCAGAGAGAGACCAGAGAGAGAGACCAGAGAGAGAGGCCAGAGAGAGACCAGAGAGAGACCGAGAGAGGCCAGAGAGAGACCAGAGAGAGACCGAGAGAGGTCAGAGAGAGGCCAGAGAGAGACCAGAGAGAGGCCAGAGCGAATAATAAAAAATAAAAAAATAAAAAAGTATATATATAATACCTTTTATAATATATTAATAGTAAATAATGGGGGAAAATGCTGTAAAAAAAAACATTAACAAAAAATACATATACACTTACATATGTTATAAACGTACATACATATATACATACACTTCTGGTAGTTTTAAATATTCTTTATGATTAACATATTTTCATAATTCTGTAGGTCACAACTTAACATTTGTATTGTGGGCCTTACCGTGTGTGTTCTGGTTGACCACGGGGCAGTAGTGGTTCAGTGAGTGCAAATCCTCCTCCACAGACAGTAGTTTAGCCTCCATTTCCACGTGTTCCTCTTTGTAATGACTTATTCGAAAAGCAAAAGTCTTTTGCTTTTCGAATACAGAAGTCAGATTTTGGGTTTGCCAACATCCCCTGAAGAATCTCCTTTTCTGGGAATTCATCTTGTAATTTTTGATTGCTGTCTTGCATACATTTATTATCCTCTTCTCGTTTTCGTTTTTCTGTTTGTAGCTGACTGTTGAACATGGACAGATCTGCCACAGCTGCAAACATATTCACCAAGGCCTGTTCTCGTTCCAGACTAACCTCCACCACCGGCATTCGTCCGTCAGATTCACATTTGTCAACGTCAAACTTTCAATCTCCTTCATTAGCTCGGCACGTTCCAATGTTGCGGCGAGATCCTGAGAAATGCATTGGACCAAAGTCTGGTTAAGAAGCCGGTTCCTCTCCTTCAGCTCAGCGTTGTGGTCCGCCAACATCACATTGTCTCTTCTCAAGTCGCTGCTGATTGGAGAGAATGAGTTGTTGCGGTTTTCAAACGAGAGCCGCTTCCTGCAGGACCGGCCAATGTCTGAAAAATATAAAATTAGCCAGTTTTAAAAAATGAGACAAATGGGTTTTATGGCATTTTGGGGGCAAAGTTATTGAACGGGTTTGCAAAAAGTGAGGCTGAAATCAGTCAAATTAACTCACTCAATCAGCCAAATTTACAAAATGTCTGCAGAGAAATTGTGGGCTGTTAAAAATGAGTAGAAAAACACGTATGTATAATATTTGTGAGGAGCCAGGTCACATAGAAAGTGTCCTGGATTCAAGAACTCATGTCCAAATGTTGCTTTTTGCTTTTGTAATGTCTGGAAAGCACTTTAGTCATGTCTGTTTTGTTTTTTAAATGTGCTATACATATAAACTTGACCTTGCCAAGAGTTTGATTTTAGATATATACTATACTACTTCTAATTTATGGCCCATTCATTTCATTTTGACGTAATCCTTTTAATTATTGGAGTTACGTTGAACTGCCCACATTTCATTAATCATCTTCCGCAGACGTCTGAAGCTGTGGCTGAAATGTGCGCAGATTTGCATACATGTAGAAAGAATTATAATTTTGATTTATCATATATTTTTAGATTATATTATATGCATTTATGGCCTCGAAGCCTCCTATGGACAAGTGTTGAAAATGATCATGGTCTCACTAGAACCCGGCCCCTTGTCTCATAAATACAGTAAGTTTAAACCGGATTGATGCTTATGCAGTAATCATATGGGATTATCAGTTGAAGTCCAGAATATACTGATTTAAAGTCAATAATCTTTTCCTTTTTTACTTATTCTAGCCCATAAGCGCTCAAGGCAGTGCATCCGGTCTGTCCAATGTAACTGTTGTGTCCATATCTAATAAATAAATACATAAAAAGTGAAAAAAATTTGATCTTGTTTTCTCTTTGACCGATTTTACACCATGACTTGACAGTTTTGGGAGCCACAATGTGAAAGGGCATGCATGTGTTGTTTTCGGTGCGTTTGTTTGAAGCATAAGTTCCTCTTTTTGTCACGATTGGAGCGAGTCCTGACCCACAGATGTCTTCACAGGCTGGGGCTACAGTACGCAGGCTTTCCTAACAGAGCGTTTGACTCACACATGACCGAGACGCAGACGCATGTCACAAGCAGCACGCAGCACACGGCCCAGAGCAGCATCATGGGACACGTGTGCTGACACAGGGGACGTCCAGGCGTTCTGAAGCTGCACAAAAACACAGATATCATATGGTCCAGTCTGACTTGCAAGTTTTTTGGATTTAGCGATAGGGCTAACATGAGAAATATTGCATACAGTACATTGTTTGTTTGTTGGTTTATCTATTCATTTCACATTAGGCACTTCTTGTCCATCAGAGTTTACATAAAAAATAAATAAAGTTTTGTTAACATGCATAAGAGGGGAAATAAAAAAATAAAACAAATTGTTGCCTGAAAGGGAGTGGGAAGAAGAAACCTTAATAACCCATAATGCTACCTCCATAATACATATTACCGGGCGGCACAGTGGCTTCTCAGCAAGAAGGTCCTGGGTTTTGAACAGAACCTTTCTGAGTGGAATTTGCATGTTCTCCCCTTGTCTGCATAGGTTTCCTCCGTGTACTCCGGTTTCCCCTTCTGTGAGATTTCATAACACTTTGAAGCAACTTTTGTTAAAGTTAAACTCATCATTCTATCAATGTGCAGAAGCCTGTACTTTTCCCTTGTTGTGTCTATCTGAAGGCCAAGCTACATGGCACCGTGGCAGCTGCTGATTGGAGGTCTCCATGCCTCCGCTCTGTATAATACACTTGCATTCTGTTGTTCGTGTTGTTCGTGCTGTCTCTACCATCGACAATAAAACATGTCTTCTGTCTGAATTTAAGACGCGATCCCAGACATGTCATCTTCTTCAGGTGGTGGAAGGATGCGGGCCTTGTCTGTAACATCTAGTGAACAGAAGACTACTTTTTTTTACACAAAAAGTGTTTATTTTTTAAGCCAAAACTGAGAAACCTCAATCTGTCAGGGATTCAGCAGACAGAGACGGATCGTGGTGCGCCAAACTCTGGAAGTTTATTCAAGTTTCTCTCAAGTTCCAGTTGTTTCAATTGTTTCTTTCTCTCAGACAGAATGAAGGCAGTACACAGTTTATATAGTCATTGTCACGTCACACATCGAAAGTCGTACGTGTCACAAAGAGACAGTCACATCATAGTCAAAATAATCAGAGTCCTTGTACAGTTCTGCACGTAGGTCATATTGCTATCTAATACTAACACTTCCACTAAAAACATATACAATAGGTCTATGCCTCCTGTACTGGCCCCGCTCCCATCTCTGTGTGGAGTGGGAGACTAATGCCCACAATTGTAAACCGTTCTGTCACTCTGGTCTGTGAAAGGCAGTATATAAATAAATATTACTTACTTACTAAACATTAAATATTCAAGTGATCCTTTAAGTTCACAGCAACTTCAGCCATGTCTGCAATTTTGGTTAAGCCTGGACTCCACATGCAATAACATCAGACGGCCCAGAGACTACAGGTGGAAATCAGCCTCTTTGCTATGACCTGGTACAATGCATCTCTCCAATGTGTGTACATGTCGTTGTACACTGTCTAATAAAGTACCATACCAGAAGCCAGTGGTTTTCCTTGATGTTTCGGCCTTTTCACAGGATCTCCAAATCCTTTTCTTTACTAGCTAACACCTGTGGGTTGGTGTGTTTGTTGTGATGCAAATTATCATTAAACATTGCTTGCCTTGTCTTCATTCTGTCTAAAGAAACTCTGAAAGAAGTGGAAACTAAAAAAAGACCCACAGGTGTTTTTGCTTAAGATCCCGCCTAAGTATATCTACATGGATCTCTTTTGTGAATCAATTTGGGTTAAACCTGAACTTGTCATCCTAACACAATACAGAAGTCAGAAATTCCACTTGATGTTTTGCTTTTCTGAAGGTCAAAGCAAATATATCTACTGCCGCCGTCGCAAATGCTCAGAGCAGGACCTTGATTCCTTTAGTATAAAATCACAAGCATTCTATAAATCTTTGGTCGTGTCTCTTTTGACCAACAATAAAATGCTTTGACACAGTTCCAGACCTCTGAATCTTTTCTCCTTTTCTTCACAATATCATTCTAACTTTTGCACTCAGACCTCACAAAGCCTCTCTTCACTCACTCTGATCCTGCTCCTTCTTCTCGGTCGTGGGGACGGGGGCCGGAGTCGGACCATGGATCCAGGGGAACCACTGATCAGAAAACATTTGTCTATGAACAGATTTCACAGAATTTAGGCAGATTACTGAATTGTTTCTCGATATCATTTCAGATTGCGCCCTCACAGACGGTCGTATTACCAAGAAATCTGCACAAAAGCACCTTGATAATGTGTGATTGTGGTTTCCTGTTAACCAAACCGCAGCATATAGGACTGAAAAACAGTGATCGCCACAATATTCTGACGATAAACTGCAGGCGAGCAAACAAATAATAGATAAAAAAACATACCTTTGTACTTGGAGTCTGCAATAGTGCTATAGTTTAAAAGGTAGGAGCGTCTGGTGCACACTGGGGGAGTCTCGCACAGTTATTCCAGCGTAGTTTTACTGCTAATGGCAAATAAATTCCATCAATCTTGAATAGATATGGTTCTTTTTCCACTGGGGTAAGAAGTGACAGACTGGTGAATCTCTGGGCCCTTTAAAGCCAACCCATTGTTTTGCATTTGATGTTAAAGAGTTTCTCGATCTCACATTATCTCCCAAAACTAAAGAGACTGATAATGTCCTGTGTGGTCTTTCTGCTGTAGTTAAAATTAGCTGCAATTATAATGTGGTCACAGTAACATCAGTCGTATTTAAAGGTGGGGTTTGGTTACTGGTTTGTACACGGCATCTACAGACAAAATGTATAATTATAATTAATAAAGATATAGGAATATTTTATGCTATTTACTATTTATACTGTTGTTTTAGCAGTATTTCATTACCCCCATGCTTTTATAATGAAGACGCAATAGTCAAAAGTTAATAAAATCTAATATCCAGTCTCCAGAAGTGCATCAGCCCTTAAACATATTCATTTATTGACTTTAATTTAACCGAGAAAGTCAAAAAACTAAAATTTCACAGTATTTTTTTCATGGGAGTCCTGGCCCCAGAGAGAGGGGAGCTATTGCACATGGTTTTAATGGTATTGGGTAAACCGGAGCACCAGGAGGAAACCGGAGCATCTGGAGGAAAACCGGAGCACCTAAAAGGAAACCGGAGCACCTGGAGGAAACCTACGCAGACACGCAAATTTCAAATCAACAGGCAAAAAACTACTTATAAATGAGTGAAAACAACAGTGTGAATGGCTGATTGAAATGACTATTAATAAAAATCATAAACTCAAGATTTGGATTGTTTTTATGTTTTTTGACACTTTATTATCACTCCCTAAATACACACATTTTAAACTATTTTTTTCTCTTGTCAAAGTTCGCAAGGCATGCTTTGTTTATCAATGGAACTTCTAATAATAAAAACACCCAAATGCCTCTTTTTCACCTCTTTTCTATTAACCACGTTCTGGGACTTCATTGAGCTCAGTACCAGCACAGAGCCTCAAACACGTGTGAAAGTAAAAAAATCTCAAATTGAAAATTGTTATCTTCATCCTCTCCGCTCCTCATCTTCAGCTGCATCTGTTCCCCTGTTCCTGTTCTGACGCTGCATACAGGGCTCGCTGTGAACTCTGTGTTAACGAGCTGATCTTAATCACTCGTCTCACGCAAACCTCTGGGTGCGAGGCTCTAGCTGCACTTTTTCACAGAGAGACCTCACATCTCCGTCTGAAAGAACGTGAAAAACGCCGTTTTAGTTTTTTGACTTTTTTTTGGGTATAGTCTGTATCACAACAGCAGGCAAAGTTGTCGATTCACCCACAAAAGATCAGTTTGAAAACAGAAATGCAGCAAGAGCAAACATTGGTCCAGAGGGTGCAATGTCCATAGATGTTCATAAAGGTTCATAAATGTCCCGGAGTGAAAAAACAAACATATTATAGGTTAGAAAACACTTGTGGAAATGGCTTTGTTTAAATATCACAAAATAAATTGTTCATAAAAGTGCTTCCTTCCTCCCTATTCTAAGTATGTGTCTGTGTCTGTGGAAGTGAGGGGAAAACAAAGGTCTATCTATGTTTTGGTTCTGACCCACATTGTTACAGAATCTATGTCTTAAACACGTGTCGTTCATATCTCAGGAGATGACGGTTCTTATGCACACTGATACAAATCATTTACAAAGTTTGGTCTCCTTCTTTTCGATCTGGAGGGACTCGGAAAAAAACCGTGGTACAGGTGCAATCGCTGCTGCCTTGTAAGAGATATGGACTACCCTAGCATGTTATACATCATTTTCACTTAAGAAAACAATGCCATACTTTGTTTTGTAAAAATTGTACACGCTAGGTAATTAGTAAAAGTTCTTAGGCTTGTTATTCCAGTTTTAGTTCAGTACCAATTTAGTAAAAACACTTCACTTAGTTTTTATTCTCCTTAAGAGCGGGTACTGTTGCTCTGGCTATGGTAGCAAGGGGCAAAAGGTTGTGGACCACTGCATCTTTCTTTATGCTTTTCCTGATTCCAGTTTCAAGCGTTTACCCAAAATTAAGTCTTTTACATTGTGAGATTTCATAACACTTTGAAGCAACTTTTGTTCAAGTTAAACTCATCATTCTATCAATGTGCAGAAGCCTGTACTTTTCCCTTGTTTTGTCTATCTGAAGGCCAAGCTACATGGCACTGTGGCAGCTGCTGATTGGAGGTCTCCATGCCTCCGCTCTGTATAATACACTTGCATTCTGTTGTTCGTGTTGTTCGTGCTGTCTCTACCATCGACAATAAAACATGTCTTCTGTCTGAATTAAAGACGCGATCCCAGACTATGTCATCTTCTTCAACATGAATCAGGGTAAAATGCTAATTAAAAAAAATGTCTACATAAACAATTTCTTACATGAACCAGTAAAAAATGCCACTGTGGGACTAAATCTTATTCCAATGTCAAATTTTAAGACCATCAAACACGTATCTTCAACTCAAATACAGCGGCCCGTGTGATCCGTGCATCAGTCACTGTCCAAAGTGCTCAGTCTTGTCCTTGGTTCTTCCAGATGACCACAGACACCAGGGCCGGGATCAGAGCGACCGGGATCAGGGTCAGGGTCAGGACCACGGCCCCGGGAGGGTCCACGGCCTGCAGCTCGTCTCTGGAGCAGTTTGCAAAGAAGTGGGAGTGGATCTGCAGAAAGAGCTCCTGGACGATGGGGTTTGGGTAGAAACAGCCCACCATGTTGGACGACCTCTCCAGGCACTCGGTCAGCTCATGGTACGCTCTGAAAAAACACCCAAAACCGCAAATAAATATGTGAAAAAAACGTTAATTCTATATGTTTCTTACTGAGTGCAATATCGTCTAACTGCTACTTTTTATTTAACCAGGATTTAACTGTCTCGCTAAGATTTCAGCAAATGATTTTATTGGTAACTGACCCGAGAAGGAAGCAGGGAGAACATGCAAACTCTGCTTAGAAAAATCCCGTACAAACTTTAACTTAACAGACCCGATGTATTTCACAGTGCAATTTGTGCAATTTCAAATGATATGATGTAATTGTTGGTTATGTTTTTGTGTAAACCTTTTGTCCTCTTTTATTTTGCCTTTTTTATTGATGTCTGTTTGAGTTGTGTTGGTTGCAGAGGACATTTCTTTGGTTGTAGTTGGGGCATAGTTTTTATTTTGAATTGTCATTGTCATCATCAATGCAAATAAAGACTAGTATAGATTATAGAAAGATGAAAGATTCCTAAAAACAAAATTAAAATGTGTTTGTGTTGAAACAGAAGTCACATTTCTTTGTTTTCTCATAAATATATATATTTATTTCACATAGAAAGTGTATTATGAAAATCAGATCACTGAAAAATGTTTTTTCCATCTCCTCTTTTTTTTGCCATGACTCTCACACTTTGGGATGAGAGCTGGTTTCCTTTACCGGAGTACAGGCTTCACTTCCCAGACTGACCACGCTGATCTGTGTTCAAGGCTTCATAAAAACTAAACTTATGCTTTGAGATCGGAGTCGTACCTGATGATTTCCTCCAGCTCGCACCACTGCTCTTTTCTCAAACTCATCATTTTCGCATAAAACTCTTCACCACAGAAAACGTGACAGAGTTGATCCAGCAGCTCCTTGTGGCACTGTCCCAGCCGCAGCCCGTCCTCCCAGTCCTGGAATGCCTCTGAAACCAACACACGCACACACACACACACACACACGCACACACACACACACTCAGAGGAAATGCGCAGATGAAAGATGTCGTGCAGAGAAACTCACCATCGTCCTCCGTAACGAGAGTCCAATTTCTCTCTGTGTCAAAGTGATGAAGGTCTTTGTCCATCAACGTCAGATTGAAAGTTGTTCCTGTGATAAATAGTAGAAATTATTATGGATAATATTTTATTTGGCATAAAACTGCTAATCCATATTTGGGTATTTTCTGTACTGAAACCTTTTGCAACAATTAGATTAGCATTTTAGAGCTGAGGTACCTGACTGTGTTCTTTCAGAAATGGTAAATTCAGAATAGATTGAATTTTTATATTATGATGATGATGATTATTGTTATTATTATTTTGAATTATAACAAAGTCTGAATATCTTTATCTTTTGAGAAAACATGTTATCGTTTGTATAATTGTGAAAAATGGCACTAAATGATGCTTTGGGCGACAGCTGATTGGCTGAGTGTGGGTGGTCAATTTTTTATTTTTTATTTATGTTTTTTCCTTTTTTTTGTCTGAAAAAGTCGAATCATGTGACAGCTCCTATATGTGTTTATTATCAATCCAATCCACTTTAATTATACACCACATTTCAACAATAACACGGTTTCCAAAGGGCTGCATAATAAAAGACGGATTGTGACAAATCCATAGTAAAAAATCAAATGGGGAAAAACCGTGTGTATATGTATAAATACACAAATAAATGAATAAATAAAAGGACCATACAACTCACGCAGTGTTAAAAGCCAGAGAAAAAAATGGGAAATGGGAAAATCATTGTGATCCTGTTCAAACTGTTGATTCTCTGATCTGTTGTTGAGGAATCGACCACTTTGTAAGAGTTACAAAAGTCCCCTGAGACGACTGCTGCAGTGATTTATGGGTTTAAAAAACTACATTGAGCTTTAACAACACGCAGACTGACCTTACCATTGTCCAGAGTGTGTATCGTTTGGTTGGTCCAGTCAAACAAAAGCTCTGTGTCGCTTCTAACACCTGCAAAACACAATCACCCATTATTCTCTTCCTGATTTCACTTTTTAAAATCTCAACACAACACAAAACAAAGCATCTTTCACCACTGGATCAACATGAAAACCACCAGATGAAAGAACCAGAATCACTAAGCGCTTCTGAAAACAAGAAAAACCACAAATCTCTTGCGACAGATGAGACAGTTTAGAGTGGTACCTGTGAGGAGCAGTGTCCCGACCGCAAAGAGACACAGGGGGGACACGGTCAGACCTCTGTCCCGGGACGGAGTCATGATGTGGGGGACTGAGGGCTCACAGAGGAGACCACAGAGGAGACCATAGAGACCTCAGAGACCACCCCCTGCAGCTTCCTCCACACTCTTCAAACTGACAAATAGTTGTGGTGTTACTTTTTTTCCCGTTTTCTTAATATAACGTAGTATCCAAGAATACTCGAATACATTACTTACTTTACTAAATGACACATTAGTCCAAACTCACATATTTTGTCCTTAATATACTTAATATATTGAATTAACATTGGGAAAAGGGGTAGGATTTAATAACTGCTTCTTCCTACTACTTTTTAACATGAATAAAACTTGTTTTTGTCTTGTGTTTATTGTCGTTTGTTTTGCTTTTAGTGTTGTTCTTACTGTTTTTTTTTTTTATCCCTTTTCAAATAAACATTCAAACAATAGGTGTTTTTTAGCCTGGTATCATTACTTTACTAGTTTTTTTTCTTTGTTGCTTTTACTAAACTACTTTTACTCCAAACCCCAACATCTGTTCTTGATACTTCTGTGGTTAGCCGTGCTTCTTGGTTAAATTAATGAATTGTGGTTAGCCGTGCTTCTAAGTTCAGAGCATTCGGCTTGAGTCCTACATGTTTTGTTTTTGTCATATAAGACTCCAAAAGCGGCACTTAGCATTTCCAAAGTAAATATACTGTCTGTCAATTATTTTAAACAAAACAAAAAAATAACATTTTACTTTTAACATATTGAGTCAAAAAACAACTTTAAAAGTAAAATGCATCCAGTTTACACTTATGTACTTTTACTTAAGTGAAGAAATCATTCCATAACTTTGATTTATACAGTAGATTTTTATATTCACTGTACTTTTGCCGTTTCTGAGATTTTGTCAGAATGTCAGTCATCGCATCCTTCGCTTATTTAACAAAGAAAAGTGCATTTTTGGTACTTTTTGTTTACATTCCTGTCTGTCCCTGACGCCCACAGCAGCGATCCCTATCTGCTAATTGGACCTGTGTAAGTCTACAAGTGTGTGCGTGTGTGTGTGTGTGTGTAAGTGCACATATGTTTGCGTAAGTGTATATTATTTGTTTGCAAATGGAAATGGCCCTGTGTCCTGGCGCTGTCCCACTTCCTGACCACCCCCCACCCCTCACTAAGCTCTCGGAGGATTTCCTCATTGATATGGATTCACAGAGATAGAGAAGGCACATGTTTGCGATCATCTGTTCTTGTGGCGGGAGGTTCTAGTCCTGATGGACCGCAGCCTCCTGCCTGAGGGGAGTGGTTGGAATAGTCCATGTGCAGGTGAGAGGGGAGTGGTTGGAATAGTCCATGTGCAGGTGAGAGGGGAGTGGTTGGAATAGTCCATGTGCAGGTGAGAAGGGAGTGGTTGGAATAGTCCATGTGCAGGTGAGAGGGGAGTGGTTGGAATAGTCCATGTGCAGGTGAGAAGGGAGTGGTTGGAATAGTCCATGTGCAGGTGAGAGGGGAGTGGTTGGAATAGTCCATGTGCAGGTGAGAGGGGAGTGGTTGGAATAGTCCATGTGCAGGGTGAGAGGGGTCGGCTGTGATACGACCAGCCCGGCCTCGAGCTCGGGCGACGTACAGGTCCTGCAGCGATGGAAGGCTGCGGCCGATCACTTCCTCTGCAGAGCGCACAATGACTCGTCCTACACCCAGCGGCTACTCCACCTCTGCTACTATGACCCGTCCTGCTCCACCCAGAGGCTACTCCACATCTGCTACTATGACCCGTCCTGCTCCACCCAGAGGCTACTCCACATCTGCTACTATGACCCGTCCTGCTCCACCCAGAGGCTACTCCACCTCTGCTACTATGACCCGTCCTGCTCCACCCAGAGGCTACTCCACCTCTGCTACTATGACACGTCCTGCTCCACCCAGAGGCTACTCCATCTCTAAAGTATCTATCTATCTATCTAAAATAGACATCTCATTTCAACTGGCATAGTATATACAGAAGGCCATTTTACACAGATCACTCTGGTAATATGTTACTTAAATAGGTTTATCTTAATAATTTATTTTCAACTAAAATTATCCCTGGGCTAGATCCCCTGGTTACTGTTGGAATATGCCTTTAACGGTTTTACATTTTACTTAGACATTGCTCGGATGTGACTGAATTGGACAGTTCAGCTCTTGATGGCGCTCAAGGTTTTTAGGTTCAGCATTTTTGATTCTGTACTTGAATGACTGAAATGTATTCTTGTTTGCTCGTTTGATTACTGGTAATTACAGATATTGCATTCAAGTATACACTAATGTCTTACTTATTATTCACAATGCGACAGAAGGACTGATGTGTTTTAGAAAGTCTTCAGAACGATTCAGAAGATTGTGCTTTTTAAATAACATAAACAAGTTGGACATAATGCATCAGGTTGTTGCAGTAACTTTCCCAACATTGATTGTGGTTCATGTAAACTCATATCTGCGGTCTTCACGTAACAATGACGTCCTTATTTTCACTTGAAGCATTCAGGCGAGCAGTGATGGGTTAGAGATTCAGATCAGAGCGCTTCAGCAATTGCACGACTCTCACCAAAGTTTCTCACACCAGAAAAGGCTGTTTCCAGTTTCCCTGTTAATCATTAAAGAGTATGTGTATCACTTTTGCCTCACATCTAAATACAAAATATTCAAAGCTCAAAAAGATGTGCCCAAGTTTCTGCTGCTATGTTTAGTGTTACGGCACAGTGGCTGAGTGGATAGTAGGAGTGTGTACTTTCTCACGCGATTGATTATCGATATGCTTTTGCCATGTATTGTTAAAAAAAATATTCAATTCTTAATGTACGGCTACTTTACGCATTGTTGTAGAAATCTAACTGGGATTACAAATCAATTTAACTTAAGAATGAATGTAGGACAATGTTCAAAGCTAATCAATCTCTTCAAGCTAACTAATCTGTTGTTCTGTAGAAACGGCGAGGCCCATGACGGGATAGAGGCCGATACTAGCTCGATATCTGGTCCAAGGAGCACGGGACCCTGGTCAGACTGATTTCTCTTGTAATATCAGAGTAGTATTGTCATGAGGTGAAGTGATGGAGGACTCAAAATGCAGGAATGCGAAAAAACAAAAATGGTTTAATGATAAAAATCAAATAAAAGTCCAAGATGAAAAAAAAATAAATCCAAGAACCAGGAACACAGACTGACAAGGACAGACAATATAATGAACCAGCAACAAGAGGAAAGGAGCACAGGTACATATCGACACAGACACAGGTACATACAGACACAGTCACAGGTACATACAGACACTGACACATATAGACACTGACACAGGTACATACAGACACTGACACAGTCACATACAGACAGTCACATACAGACACAGTCACAGGTACATACAGACACAGACACAGGTACATATAGACACTGACACAGGTACATATAGACACTGACACAGGTACATATAGACACTGACACAGGTACATATAGACACTGACACAGGTACATATAGACACTGACACAGGTACATATAGACACTGACACAGGTACATATAGACACTGACACAGGTACATATAGACACTGACACAGGTACATATAGACACTGACACAGGTACATATAGACACTGACACAGGTACATATAGACACTGACACAGGTACATATAGACACTGACACAGGTACATATAGACACTGACACAGGTACATACAGACACAGACACAGGTACATATAGACAAAGACACAGGTACATACAGACACAGACACAGGTACATACAGACACAGGTACATATAGACACTGACACAGGTACATACAGACACAGGTACATACAGACACAGACACAGGTACATACAGACAAAGACACATACAGACACAGGTACATATAGACACAGGTACATATAGACACAGGTACATATAGACACAGACACAGGTACATACAGACACAGACACAGGTACATATAGACAGAGACACAGGTACATACAGACAGAGACACAGGTACATACAGACACAGACACAGGTACATATAGACAGAGACACAGGTACATACAGACAGAGACACAGGTACATACAGACACAGGTACATATAGACAGAGACACAGGTACATACAGACAGAGACACAGGTACATACAGACACAGACACAGGTACATATAGACAGAGACACAGGTACATACAGACAGAGACACAGGTACATACAGACACAGGTACATATAGACAGAGACACAGGTACATACAGACACAGGTACATATAGACAGAGACACAGGTACATACAGACACAGGTGAAACACATCAGGGCGGGGCAGACAATCAACACAGGGGAACAAGACAGGAAGTACAACTAAAACCAAACTTATGACAAAATAAAACCAAAGTACAAAAATAAAAATCCTCAACATGACAAGTATCAGAGTAAGACGTCAGGAGGGAGGGGGTTTGGGCGATAGTGACCACCGAATCTCCGACTCAGAGACGCCAATTGATAGACTCTTTGTTTGTTCCATCCTTACGAGAGAGAGTGAGCACTATTGAGCAGATCTACTCGAGACCTGCTCACGCGGTGACGGTTGTATTTCCTGTATATGTCCCATCTACTGAGATAATAAACCACACTTTGATTGTTTTACAGCTCTTGCTTGTTTATTTTATATTTAATTATTGTGAATTTCAATCCTTAGAAATTCCATAACAGCATCTCCATTTAATTTATCATGAAATAAAGTGTATTTTTTTGTGTTTTCTTTTATTTATGTCAATATGTGCTGTATTTGAATCCAGAGTTGAGAATTAGTTAATAACTTACACTTATAACTATTCCGTGTTTATTCAGATTGCTTTACTAAAAGATTTCTATAACAATATATTTCTGACCAATGTATCGATAATCGTCATATCGTGATATAATCGTTATCGTGAGCTCTGTATCACGTATCGTATCAAATTGTGAAGTACTCCGAGGTTCCCACCCCTAGTGGATAGCACTCTCGCTTCTCAGCAAGAAGGTCCTGGGTTTGAATCCCAGTCGGAACAGGGTCTCTCTGAGTGGAGCTTGCATG